CTGGACGCCGCCGTAGAACAAGAGACCGTGAAGATCGCCGTATAAGGGACCGTTTCTCCACTACCAGGTCCATTGCAAATGAATGGTTTGCAGAACACGGAAGACCTATTGGCATGCGAAGTGTTTACCGACGAATGTGAAGTTTTGGCTTGTTTTCATACCGGCCACACTGGGTCCTCTCTTTAACTCGAGAACAGCGACGTAATCGCCTTGAGTGGTGCAGACAACGGTCGCTCTGGGATCAGGAATGGAACAGTATTGTCTTTAGTGACGAGTCTCGATTTTGTTTAGGCATGCACGATGGTCGTGCCAGGGTTAGAAGGCGACGTGGTGAAAGGAGGAATCCACAGTTTTTTGTTGAAAGACATGTTCATCATACTGTTGGAGTTATGGCTGGGGTGCTATAGCTCATGGTTCCAGGTCACCTTTAATCTTCATCAGAGGTAACATGAACGCGCAGCGTTATATCCACGAAGTTCTAGAACCCCATCTTTTACCCTATCTTGACATCCTGGCAGATCCAACTTTCCAACAAGATAATGCCCGAGCCCATGTTGCAAGAGTCACAATAGACTTCTTTCAACATAATGATGTCACATTGTTACCATGGCCACCAAGATCTCCCGACTTATCCCCAATTGAGCACGTGTGGGATATGATGGGTAGGAGATTGCTCAATTTGCAACGTCCTCCTCAGACTCTAGCAGCACTTCGAGAGGAGTTGGTGGTTGCCTGGAATGAGATACCACAGGAGGACATTGACCACCTGATGAGAAGCATGCCTAGGCGCGTTGGAGAATGCGTAGCACATCAGGGTGCATCCACACATTATTAAAGGTCAAAGGGCTTTAAAGCAGTGCAATCATTTTGAAATTTTTATCATTTACTCATTATGCTTCATTAAGTACTTATACAAAATTTTATTAAAATAAAACCATTTAAACTGGGTGTTCGGATTTATATGTCACTTAGTATATTTGCAATCATAAAAATTATACTATTCCGATATGATCTGGTGAAGTTTGTGTGAACTTTTAATAAAAAAATACATTTGTCAAAAAAGCGACGTGGTATTGATAACTATTTTTGAAAAAGTCTTGAAATAAATTGATGGAAGTATTTACAATAAACAGAAAAACATTTACTTTAGTCATGCTGTCTTTGATGCTGCGTTATCCATTCTATTTCCAATGTAAACACTGTTAAAACATCGCAATCAAACCTGACATTTCTGACGAATCCTCAGCTAAGACGCTTCTACATACATAGCTAGTTTTTAATGTGTAAGCAATCGGTAGTTCTGATATTTTAAATAAAAGTTAGTTATATATATAGTTATATAGACTTTGAAGTTGAGTCATTAATTTTCAGATAATGATTGTAGAAGGAAGATAAACCAAAATATGTGTGTAAAATAAAAAAAAATTAAAAAAATGTTTTACCTTGTTTTATAAAGTATCCTCCCGACAAGTATTTCAGTGCGGACCTGTATTTGATCGTGAGGTCCCCTGTGAGGTCTTAAGTCACCTGATTCACGAGCCCGTTGTACTACATTAACAAAGTCACGAGGGGTTGGTTGCACTCGATTGGGAAACCGATCCGCATAAACATGTGCCATTTTTTATTTCGTTTGAGCCACGCAACAGACACCACTATTCACACGCGTTACCGACTGACACTGACTGTATGTATACAACTGAATAAAATAATTGTAAAAACATCGTTCCAAATTCTTTCGCTTTTTTGTTTCCGATGCGATGAACCGATAAGGCGGATTATATCCGTTGTTGCCAAACACGAGCACATAATATTATTACTGAGACAGGGCGGTACTCAAACTTCCAAAGGGCTATAACTTTGTTACTTTAATTTTACCAGAAAAATGGTAAAGGAAAAAACATTTCTTTTGATCAGATCTACTCACTGTTAAAATAAATGACTCAACTTCGAAGTCACCCTGTAGAAATTGTAAGCAACTATACCCGTTTTACTTGGAAAATATGTGGCTCTCCACGATGTGATTCATAGTTACATGACAACAAATACATTTTTTAAATGAGTTTCTTCATATTGAGTGAAGAATAAAAAAATATTCATGCAAAATGGTTTAGTTTTACTGGTAAACATCGTTTCTTAAATTTCTCATTTAAAAGTTTTTGTGCTCTCGATAAAGACACCAAAATCCTTGTTATTGAGTGAAGATTGTATTTATCTGGTATTATTAGCACTGCTTACATTGAAAATGCATGGCAGTAGCGTAGAATAATAATAATAATAATATTTATTCACTCAATGTACAAAGATAACAAACAATATGAGTAAATAAATATAAAATCAAAACAGGCCCAATAGAAGGCATCGCCTGTACATGGACCAATAAATTTAAGTTGAAACTGTAGAATGCAAATGACAAAAAAGGACAAAAATTAGCTACAGTAGATTATGTATTTAGTTGATGTTCGTATTTATGAGTTTATGAATTTCAGTCCTAGATATAGAATGTAGCCACTTTTTTAAATTTCTTTTGAAACAATTTCCGAAACGTAAATCTTTTAAGTCTTTAGGTATAATTTCATAAAATTTAGGCGCTAAATAGAGATATGATCGCTGCATTATAGATTTATGCGGTTGAGGAACTACTGTGCCACGAATTTTGTACCTGGTATAATGATTATGTTTAATTTTTTGGTCGGTGTTTACAAATTTATGGTAGTGAGTGATACTGTGTAAGAAATAAAGCTGTCTTATATCATACATTCGAACATCTGCGTATAATTTTTCAGTGGGATGAAGTTTCGGTTTTTTAAATATCATTTTTAGAATACTTTTTTAAAAAACATCTAAATTATAGATATGTGAGGAACATGCAGCTCCCCATGCTAATATACCATATGTGAGATGAGGCTCAATCAGTGCATGGTACAATGTTCGAAGATATTTTTCTGTCAATATATTCCCAAGGTATTTAATTTTGTAGGATACAAATCTAACTTTCTTTAAAATATAATTGACATAGATGTCCCATCGTAAGTGAGGATCCAAGACCACTCCAAGGTATTTTATGTTGGGCACTCTATTAATTTGCATTTTTTGATCATTAATATTGAAGGAGAAATTTGTGTAATTTGGCAGATGTCTAGCATAAGATCCAAATGGTAAAAAATGTGTTTTAGAGTAGTTAATTCTTAATTTTCTACTGTTAAACCACCGAATAATTTTGATAAAATCATGTTCAATTACATTTTTCAGATCAGACCAGTCAGTGCCTTCATATAATATTGCAGTATCATCTGCAAAACTAGTTATTTTGCCAACACAATTAATTTGGCAAATATCATTTAAATATATATTGAATAACAGCGGACCTAAGACAGTTCCTTGTGGGACACCACACTTAATATACATTTCTTTACTAAATGATCCTGATATCTGCACAGATTGTGGGCGATTTGATAAATAACTTTCGATCAGTGAGTACGCGTTTCCTCTGAAACCAATTCCCTCCAATGCTTCTAATAATAATTTGTGATTAACTGTGTCGAAAGCTTTCTTTAAATCAACAAAAATGCAGATTGAAGGGATTCTGTCATCAATATTTTGATGTATTTGATTTACAATTTTAGTTATTGCGTCCGATGTAGCGTTCCCTTCTGTAAATCCATATTGATTTTCACTTAAAATTTTGAATTTTGTGAGGTATCGAATCATTCTAGTAGATAAAACTTTTTCAAAAACCTTTGCTACACTGGATATTATTGATATTGGTCTATAGTTGTTAGCATCTGTTTTTGTTCCTGATTTATGTATCGGTATTATATTACCTTTTTTTAAAACTGAGGGATATATGCCAGATTCAAAGCATTTGTTGATTAGGTAAGTGAGTGGTTCTGTTATGTCCTCGGCTATAATTTTCAAATGCTCGCTTTTAATACCATCGAACCCAGGACTTTTCCGATTTTTTAAGGACATAACATAGCAAAACTAAATATTATTCAAACGCGATTTTCTGCGTCGAAATGGCTGCCGTTTTCGACACTGACAGGCGAGTTCCATAGCTGATTGTTTATCTAAGCTGTGCCTGGTGTAAGGCGTAAATGCTTATTTTTCATTGATGCATTTTAAGATCATGGCCGCTGTTTTAGTGTTGGGACGCAAATGAAAAAATAAGTTTTTGTAGTTAAATCAAATGATCTATGGCATATTTTTTATTTAATATAGGAGATAGATATTACACAAGAAATGGACCAAATTCATCATATCCATTACCTGAACAACACCTTCTTATTGGTTGAATTTGTGCACCACCCACTTTTTTGCGCTCCATTTTAGTAAAATCGGACCTGCGAAATCTGGTCGAGTGACGTTGGAGCTTAGACTGTAATGCAAAGCTTATTGAAATTCTGATTATGTCATCTTGTAAAAAAAGTGGTGATGTTAATTTCCTATTTATTCTGAAATGCCACTACAAAGTCAGGAAGATTTTGGTATAATTTAGTTTTTACAGTCTCTCTTCGGAGGGCGTTTCATTAGTTACCTATATACGCAGCTGTGGCCCCGTTTAAGCCACTTCCTGAATGGTGAGGATCGAATTTGAAACACCCGGTATAATAGTAATATCGGTAATATGTTGCCTTGGCTTGATCGAGATCATGTCTGATTCAATACAGGGTTTACAGGGACGACCAAAAATTGCGGCGAGTGGAAGTGTGCCAAGAAAATTTGAACATGTGTGAAAGTGACCACCAACTTTTGAATAACGTAATCACAGGTGACGAGTCGTGGATCTTTGAGTATGATCCCGAGACAAAGAGGCAATCTTCCGAGTGGCACACGACGGCATCTCTTCGCCCAAAAAAGGGAAAAATGGGCAAATCAAAAGTGAAAACGATGCTCAGTGTCTTTTTTGACATCCCAACGCTTCCGCAGCCGCCCTACAGCCCAGATGTGGCCCCACCGGACTTTTTTTTGTTTCTTCGCCTGAAAAGGCCGATGTAATCATTTTGATAAGACAGAGGGGATCCAAGCAGCATGCACCGCGGTTCTCAAGGCTATTCCGGAGAATGCCTTCCCTGACGCCTTCAATGCTTGGAATTCGCGCTGGCAGCGCTGCATCGACGCAGAAGGAGCCCAATTTGAAAGTTTTTAAAGAATTGTAACGATTGGCTCAATAAATCGACTTAGTCCTATTACTTTCCGGACAAACCCTGTATATGGGACAAGCTACTACTAATTTAATTTTTATGAAGAAATGTGTGATACGCTTATCTTGCAGGATCAACTTTTGAATCATTCACCTACAATTTCTCTTCAAATTCACTCCGGTTTCGTGCAGTATATCAATATTGGAAAAGAATCTTTGGCACAAACTGGCCTTCCACGAGAGTATTTATCAATATAGAAATCTTTAAATTGTATAGGATGTCCTACTGAATATACCTTAACGAAAGAGTAGTGTAGCACTAGTTTTATTTCCGCGCCACACATGCCTCCATAATCGTAATTCATCAAAAACAGTTCAGAGATTTAGTAATCGTGTCTCAGTAAAAGCTCTACCGTGTTAACGTTTCATCTAATACAAAGTAACAATGTCCTAGATAATCGTACACATGGATATCGGGCAGCACTTGAACCTCCTGTAGTTGGTCTGCGGCGGCACTAGATGCAAGTCTTCTTCCTCTTCGTCATCCCCTGAGATGCTCATCTCTTCTATGCTGAATGTGTCGGTGAGCTCTTGGTGGATGCGGGTCTCTTTGCGGGATAGAGGGAAGAAATTCACTATATCCTCTTCGCTGAAAGTGAAACATGAATCAGTGGATACAATCGTGATTTGACATACAACTTTAGGGTAATCAGTCTCCGGTGAATCTTGCTCAAACTTTGGGAATTAGCTTTTCAAAGCATCATGATCAAAATTTCTCACGGGCTATTGACAATCCTATGAAGCGTTTCTGTAATGTACAAACATGCGATAACAATTTAGAAAATATGTTTTTGATGTGGTGTAAAATTGGGACACCCTGTATAATTGTGAGTATTTTAGAAATGTTTCCTCATGTCCCATATTTACACTACCACGCAAAATTCACCGAACAAACAAATTTTTTTACAGATTAAATTTTGAATATCTGTTTAACCTTTGCATCAATTTCGTGAATTTTTTCGTCAGGTAGTGTATAACTTTATTGTCATCATTATCGACTGACGATCTTGCAAAAAAATTGAAAATCTTTGTTGTTATACAGGGTGAAACTGAAAGGTATATTTTGCCCTAAATTTCCGAACACCCTGTGGAAACATTGAAATACTGAATAATGTGGCTTTGTATGGGAACTTTTTTCAATAGTTCTTTTTTTGATTCATGTCAATATCTCAATTATCGAACAATATATATGCTGTTTAGAAGAAAATCATGCGAATCATAGCCATAAGGGGCCGTTCAAGTATTACGTGAGCACTATGGGGGGCCGGGGGGTCTTTGCTTTGCTTATTTTGGATGACATGGGGGCTAGGGGAGTCTAGATGATGATTACGTCATCGGTAGTTAGTTACTTTTTACACGAATGGCAACCCTCACATTGTCTGTGGAAACATTGGAATACTGAATAATGTGGCATCGTATGGGAACTTTTTGCAATAGTTCTTTTTTTGATTCATGTCAATATCTCAATTATCGAACAATATATGCTGTTTAGAAGAAAATCATGCGAATCATAGCCATAAGGGGCCGTTCAAGTATTACGTGAGCACTATGGGGGGCCGGGGGGGCTCTTTGCTTTGCTTATTTTGGATGACATGGGGGGTAGGGGAGTCTAGATGATGATTACGTCATTGGTAGTTAGTTACTTTTTACACGATTGGCAACCCTCACATTGTCTTTGCTTGAAAACGAAACGCATTTTCGGGGATTCCCGCAAATAATGCATATGTTTAGTGAACAGCGCGCGGTAATTCCCCTACTCGGTTCTAGAGCGGTGTTCTCTCTTGTCTTGTCTCTCTCTTGTCTAAATTTCCTCTATCAGTGTATTGTTTCGTTTGGTTACTATAGCGAGTAGACGTATTGTAAGCCTAGTAAGGCATGTTAACATTTGTGTTACCATTGATTCCATTAGCCAAAGTTTAATGTTTAAATAAGATGTCGTTTCACATAGACAAATCCAAGTTATACCAAAAATTGTTTGAAAGTTTAAAAAAATCTCATACAAGTACGAAAGTACGAAATGTACAAAATTTAGTTAACGAAGTGTGGTGAAATTACAAATTACAAGCAAAATACGACAAGGAACTAGATATTATTGAATCTAAGAGAATCGAAGAAGAATTGCAAGCGGCGACTAAGAATAAATCCAATCTACAAAATTTTTTTTCTAAGGTGACTGACGAAATGATTTTAGGTACCTATGAGTACTAGAAATACTAGAAATCTCCAAAAAGTTTCTCTTTACTGATTAAAAAATATTATGGCCTATCTCAAGGTATAGAGGTAATATTCATTATATTATAGATTTATTTCTTATGATTGATTCCGTCAATTGGTCACAAAGTACAGGATGTTAGTTTTATACATATATACAGAAAACTAACACCCTGTATTTTGTGACCAGAACGGATTGCTCGTTTAAACATATTAGATTTAAAGTCATAGGGTCTTGTATGTACCATATATATTGCCATACTTTGTATTTATGTAGCTTAATAAGGGAATCTTTAGCAGAAGCCATAGAAAGTTTTTATTTTTAGGCAACCTGTAAACCTGCAGAAAAAACACAAATTATACAGTCAGCTTCAAATATTAAAACAGAGGAAGAAGATAAAATAAAACCCGGTTATGAATCACAACAGCAATGCGAAATTAATGAAAATATAGATAAACAGAGAGCAAAACCTTCTCAGGAAGCTATGAAAAATAAGATTGCTCTACTCGAAAAAAATCAGAATGCTTTGTATTCTGCTAGAGATACTATGCCAAGCCGTGCTGAAGTTGATAAACAGATCATTAAGAGGAAATAAAAACAGCAAAACAGTCTTTAAACAGGAAGGTTCAAAACGCAGTTGTCCAGAAGAAACACAGGGATGGTATGAAAAGAAAGAAGATATTTGTCATGAAAATCCAGAAATAAAAAAAATACTATCTCTGAGGGATTCAGTGGGACGTCCTAATCTTGAAAGCAATCAACATTCACTATTAAAAACAATCGCGGATATAGCTTTATTTGGGGTGCAGCAGATGATAGAAGACGAACGGAATCAATTCGCAGCGGAAAAGGGCTCGTATTGCCAACGTTACAAACTTATACAAAGATGCTGATCACATGTCAGTAATCGTCAAAACGTAATGGATGCTCCTGCAATAGGATGTAGATATTGTTAAATCTCGTGAATGTTTGGCGATAACCTACCTATCATCAGTGTCCCATTGGACTAACGGCTGCTGATCCTTGCCCTGCGGTACGGGCAATCTTTGTATAGGGATGAGTCTGCCATGATTAGCAGGGCTATACTCCGGCGGATGTTGCGGTATCCTGCGTTGGCTTTGAGACAGTCGAACGTCCAATTTGCGTTGCAATTGTCTGGAAGCTGCAGCGCGTGGTGGCGGGGATCGGCTGCCGGCGCTTCCTGCGCTGCTCGACGAGGATAGACTTTCCTGAAAGATGATAATTAAAATTGAATTTCATGGATCACGTTGGGTTGTATACCAAATTCCTACAAACCTTGGTGCTAGACGTTTTCTGATTGCATTCAATTCAATTTGAAACCCCCATTTTATATAGATTACTGATCAACAACCAAAAAATATCCTAAATAAAATCAACAAAATATTACTATTTTTAATGTGCTAAAACCGGAATGAAACTTATTTTTTCAATATTAGTTCAAGTTTTAGAGATACGGTAATTATATGTGTTCCTGCTGTGGCAGTGTTGATATACTGTAATTCACAAGAATGCACGTGCTACATTTTGATATTCGGCAAGGAAAGATGATGTAATCGGCATGATTGTGTTACGTTATACATACGTGTACATTATATTGTTTTATATTAGAGAATTTTTTCCTCAGTTGGCTGACAGCGTTCATGCAAGATGTCTCGAAAGTGTGTAAACAATCCAGATCAGTTTTGTTACGTGTGTGGTGATGTGACTTTTGCGTCTCAGAGACGGTCTATTACTCCACTAATAACAAAGGCATATCAGCTTTATGTCGGTTGTAAACTAGGTGAACAAGACAAACAGTGGGCACACCACATCTGCTGTAAGGAAGAAGATATGCCATCAACGTCAAGAGATCCTGATTTTATACCGAGCACGTCATGCCACCAACCGCACAAAATAACACAGTTAGAATTAAATGATCTTGTAAGAGATTTAGAACTTCCAAAATGTAAGGCAGAGTTACTTGGATCAAGACTGCAGCAGTGGAACTTGTTAGAAGACGATGTTTTGGTATGTGTTTTTCGTAAACGCCACAAAGACTTAGAACCATTTTTCAATATGGAGAATAACTTGGTTTTCTGCAGTAACATTAACGGCTTACTGGTGGCTTTGAATATAAACTATAACTCAGAAGAATGGAGATTTGTTTATAGACAGTTCAACATTGAGTTTAAAGGCAGTGTTATTGCATATTGGAAATATTTTACCATCTCTTCCTGTAGGGTATGCAGTTCACATGAAAGAATCATATGACAATATGAAGTACCTATTGACATGCATAAAATACGATGAGCACCAATGGCATATTTGTGGCGATTTGAAAGTTGTTGCACTTTTACTTGGGCTGCAGCTAGGCTACACAAAGTTTTGCTGTTTTTTGTGAGAATGGGACAGTCGGGCAAAGGCACTTCATTACACCAGACAAAACTGGCCTGTTCGTCAATTCCTAGAGCCAGGTCAAAAAAATGTACAGCATATGCCATTAGTAGATTCGAAAAAAATTTTATTACCACCACTGCATATCAAGTTGGGCCTAATGAAAAACTTTGTCAAGGCATTAGATAGAGATGGGTCAGCTTTTCAATACCTGCGTTAGAAATTTCCAAGACTAAGTGAGGCAAAGGTTAAAGAAGGTATTTTTGTTGGGCCACAGATTCGAAATATTTTAATAGAAAACACTTTAACAGGTATTGAAAAAACTGCTTGGAATGATTTCCGTCTGGTGGTCACTAATTTTTTGGGAAATAGAAAAACTGACAACTATAAAACCCTTGTCAAAAGTATGCTGTCATCGTATCAAAAGATGGGCTGTAATATGTCTCTTAAGATACATTTCCTTCACTCACACCTGGACTTTTTTCCTGACAATTCCCGTAAGTGATGAGCACGGCGAACGTTTTCATCAGGATATTTCAACAATGGAAAAAGGTACCAGGGAAAGTGGAATCCTTCCATGCTTGCAGACTACTGTTGGACTCTTGGTAGAGATGCTCCAGAAACGATCCATAAAAGAACAGCAAAAAGACGCATATAGTGATTCTTATAAGTATATGAATCTTGTTACTTTTTTTAATATATCCTTAAAAATAAAAATTTTTTTTCTAAACCGCAACTAATTTTTTTATTTCATTGTCATTTTTGGATTCAGAGCCCCAAAATTAACAAAGAAGTGCACTTTTCCCACAAGATACAATTAAAAAACTAAAATTTGTTGTCCAGTGTTATGGTACGTGTACCTTTGGCTTATGCATAAACCATAAGACACAAAGATATATTGCTCCTGTTTATACTCAACATATGTACCTTTAATTATCTAATTAATGATGGGATGCTGATGATTAATGATTAATCTTTTTTTCTAATAATGAGTATCACACATCTCATGAATTCAAGTTAGTGTCAGTGAGGATGATGTCTATGTCTAACCGTCAACCTGAATGAACTAAAATTTGATATGCGGATTTACATAAGTATTGTCCACATTTAAAAGTCTTTACTTAAAATTAGCGTGCACCAGTGGCGTAGATACAGAGTATTAGTGACATTACTTTTCCAAATAAAAATACTACGTTACTGTTTTTTTTTTCGTAACGCGCGTTATTTTTTCAATTTTACGTTCTTTTTGCTACAAATAAAAAATAAGAAAAAGTAAATTAGATAATCAAAGTTTTATTTCAATAAATGTTCAAAAAGACCTCCATTCTGATGAATACAAGTGCGGCATCTTTTTGATAAAAAAAAACGTTTTTCCGCAAAATTTGTTGTTTCCGCTACCTAAAAAAATCCACCAGAAAGCTACACAGATCTTGGACCTATCACCATACTATGTGTCCTTGTCAAGGTTTTTGGAAAGGTTCGTCATTCACATTTGCTAGACTTCATTGAGAAACATAAGATACTTCAATGCCGATGATACAAGTTACATATAATATCCGAAAAGACGGATATCGAAAAAGCATGTGATCGATTGAATGACGATTTTTTTTTCTGGTAGGTCATATAAAACAACTGGAGGGGAGGTCAATTGATAGCCTTTGCAAAATCTCATTACCCTGGTCGATAAACAACTCGGCGAAGCGTCCCGCCATTTTCCTCGCCGTCTCGCTAACTGGATTTAAAAAACGCCAAATATCACTTCTAAATATCACGCTTGTTCGCGTAACTGGGTCACGTACTTTTACAGCCAATATCGCAGCCTAAAAACCTTTAAACATGAGGTTTTACAGCGTTTTCGGTGGTAAATCCCGGCCTGATTGCTTTAGCGACGCCGACATCATTTGATTGTGTACACAACACTCATCGCGTGAATCGGTTGTTGTTAAACTTTAGTACACAACCGATTTCACTCAATAAAAAAAATCGGATTTGCTCGTATGGGAACATTCTCATATTTAAGAATGCTCGTTACAACCTAGTTAATGAAATGGTTATAACTTTTGATAGATAGCGAGATTTTTATTCGGTATACCAAAACGCATATGGATTATACAGGGTGGCGCATCGAAAACGAAACAGACGCATTTAGTGGCAGCTCAGTTTTTTTTTTTTGGAAAAACGCTCAGACCCGTCGATATTGTTTTCGATGGGTACACAGGCTTGGCAAAAAATCACGTTAGCATGTGCGGCACCCTAAGCGGGGATGACACCACCCCCAAAATCTTAAATGGAAAGGGGGGTCGAGCGATACCTTATTTTAAAGGTCTTTCAATTACCTTTATAATGATTGCCACCGCTCTGTGGGTGTCATTGTTGTTTCTCTGCATGTACTTCGGATAATTGAACGCTTGATACCTCAAATGAAAGCTTGTTAGATAGAGATATTATTTACATAATTTGCATATTTCATTACTAGGAGATTTTTTACAGAAAATTGCATTTTTTATCGAATATGTTAGTAAAAAAAAAGAAAATGATACATTTAAATAGCGTAATTTTAAAACGTTTCTAGCTTTTCAACATTTTATTACTTATTATGAACTATTGGAATGTTTGCTATGCGACGATAATAAAAAACTCAAAACCAAGCATGCAGTTTTTTTGTATTTCAATTTTATCCGTCTGAATAAAAAATAAAAAACTTGAAATTCAAATAACTCAAAAATGGTTAAATTTTGGACAAGACATGATAGGACAAAATAGGTTGCTTTTGACCTAATCTATCACCCCTTAACAGGAATACGTGACATTACAAGTCACCCTGTATATGTATATGTGTATATACAGGGTGTCCCAGAAGTCGACGTCAAGCCGAAACCGGGTGATAGGCAAAGTCATAACAGCTATCAGAAAAATATTTAAAAAAATTTTATGTACGTGTTTTGAAAATTATAGGTCTTTGAAAAAATATAGAAATTTCACACCCTACGGCAGTCTGTCAACTCCTGTTACTACAAATATTAACTTTTTTTGGATTTTATTTTTACAATGTAATGATGAATAATGCATCTTCAAACTGGTGTCTTAACCTTACTGCCAACTTTTCTCGTTCAGGAAAAATTGCCACTTATTTCCCAACCAAGTATTCCAAAGTAAAACTTTGCTCAACTTTAACTGGAAAAAAATGTACTACGAGAGTTTGGCAAGTAACCTTAAAAGTTGGCGCATTTAATAAGGATTCCAAAATGGTATAACACTTAGAAGATTACTTGTTAACTTATGCACAATTTTTATTTGAAGAAAAATTGATGAAAATTTTTCAAAATTTCCTAATTAAACAGCGATTATGAAAACGCACAAGGACACAACAGTGGGCGTCAAAATGCTGCTGATGATGATTTACCTTTACAGCAAATGCTCAAACTGTTTTCCTTCAGCCGCAATACACGCTCGACATCTTCTTAAAAAAGATCGGGTTGTTAAATGAGCGAATCCACGGTTATTAACAAACTCAGCTGCTTCCAATAGTCTTTGCCGTAGCTCAGCTACATTTTGAATCGGCTTGACTGTCTCTTTTACAGTTCCCCAGTAAAAAAAATCTAACGGATTCAAATCTGGTGACCGAGCTGGCCACGGTATTGTACCAGACCGCCCTATCCATCTGCCTGGAAAGTTTTGATCGAGATACTCTCTCACTGAGAGTGCATAGTGCGCTGGGCAGCCATCATGCTGAAACCACATGTCGCTATAAATACTCAGTGGCACGTCCTCCAATAAATTTTCTAAATGATTTTGCAAAAAACCTAAATAAACCTCAGCAGTCAAAGTCTCTGGGAACTCAAACGGACCGATTATTTTACCATTTAAAATTCCTGTCCAATGGTTTATCTTGAAGCGATATTGAGATTTATCTTCTCTCATCAAATGTGGGTTTGCTACGTGCCACTCGTGTAAGTTATGCAGGTTCATGTACCCTTCTTTCTTAAATGTGGTCTCATCTGACCATAAAATTTTTTCAAAGAACCGTGGATCTTCCCTGTGTCTTTCTAACATTGTGCGACAAAAAGCAACTCGCGGCTCATAATCCCGGGGCAGAAGAGCTTGAACACGCTGTACGTGGTATGGATGGAGCACGTTTTTTTGCAAGATCACCTGATTTGAATCCTTTAGATTTTTTTACTGGGAAACTGTAAAAGAAAAAGTGTATTTCAAGTCGATTCAAAATGTAGCTGAGCTACGGCAAAGACTATTGGAAGCAGCTGAGTTTGTTAATAACCGTGGATTCGCTCGTTTAATAACCCGATCTTTTTTAAGAAGATGTCGAGCGTGTATTGCGGCTGAAGGAAAACAGTTTGAGCATTTGCTGTAAAGGTAAATCATCATCAACAGCATTTTGATGCCCACTGTTGTACAAACAGTTATCCTTAAGGGTCCTTGTGCGTTTTCATAATCGTTGTTTAATTAGGAAATTTTGAAAAATTTTCATCATTTTTTTTCAAATAAAAATGGTGCATAAGTTAACGAGTAATCTTCTAAGTGTTATACCATTTTGGAATCGTTATTAAATGCGCCAACTTTTAAGGTTACTTGCCAAACTCTCGTAGTACATTTTTTCCAGTACAGCCAGTTAAAGTTGAGCAAAGTTTTACTTTGGAATACTTGGTTGGGAAATAAGTGGCAATTTTTCCTGAACGAGAAAAGTTGGCAGTAAGGTTGAGACACCAGTTTGAAGATGCATTATTCATCATTACATTGTAAAAATAAAATCCAAAAAAAGTTAATATTTGTAGTAACAGGAGTTGACAGACTGCCGTAGGGTGTGAAATTTCTATATCTTTTTCAAAGACCTATAATTTTCAAAACACATAACATAAAATTTTTTTAAATGTTTTTCTGATAGCTGTTATGACTTTGCCTATCACCCGGTTTCGGCTTGACGTCGACTTCTGGGACACCCTGTATATATGTATATGTGTATGTATATACTCGTATGTATATGTGTATGTTTATGTGTACGTATATATTTGTATGTGCATCCATTCATGTGTTTATTTATATGAATTATCACGTATTATTATTATTATTATTATTGTCTGTTTGGAGAAAATAAGGATAATCAAGCAATAGTTGCCAAATGAGGGTAGCAGTTTTTGAGGATTCGTTACATGCTCTCTGATGTCAAAGACACTGCAATTCTAATTTGACTTCCACAGTGTAAATTTACATGTGATCACTTTCATCGTGAGCTTAATAGGGTTATTGCAAACAAAGGAGTTTCAGATGGATAACAATATAATTTATTCCTCAACTGACCCTTTGTTTACCATCATGAAAATCTTTCACTACGTCTTCATTCGACAGTCTGAATAAACAAATAGGTAACAACTATCAGTAATCGAAAAACTTACGCATGGTTTGCCAGAAATATGCCCATGATGATCTCCACTGTCAATGCCACTATCTTCCATAACAACAGGTCAAAACCTCGAAACTCTCAAAGTAGTGTCACATTCTCGGTCACATTTCGATGTAAATAACGTGCGGTTCACGCTCAAACTATCAGACAACTGTTGACGTCCGCATCCGCTTTTAGCTTGCTTCCAAGTTGACTCGATTTTATAAAGACGGCCTACGTATTTATGTTGTTGTGACGGGTAGGTATTTGTGTGGGTTCTCGTTCCCGAGGACGAACATGATCTGGATGTCCGACGCCGCGTGAGATCCGTGCCCGGAAAATCAATAATTTGGCGGGAGTGGAATGAACGCTGGCTGTCGCGCTGCGTTGTGCTTGGAACGCGTGTATCTGGGATGTGCAATAAGTTTATTAAGCTCGATAAAGATAGCGTTACTAAGTTCCCAGCTAAAAATTTCTAATAAGGATAAGGCAGCTCTGTTAGATATACGTGGGTATTTCACAACAAATTTAGAAATTTCATGTTGCATTTCTTAAAAAAAATTATGAAAACATATCGTTTTTTTGCAGAAATATAAAGTTTTACTTAAGTGAGGTTCATTTAAAATGAAGGTCCTCCATATTTTTGTGTATAACATGTAGAAAAATGACTTTTAAAAAACTATGGAATGAGGGAATTACTGATAGGATGGGGGAATGTTTTTTTACAAGAATTTGATGCTGAATTTCAATAAAAAACAAGTGAATCTATTAATAGATGTAATGACTTTTGTTTTATACTTTAGAGAGCATAGATAGTCCTTCTTGCCTGGGCACATTCTCGTATTTTCATCCTTCTCCAAGAAACTGGCAACATCACTCTTAACTTTCAGCATCTTGGAGCTAACTTTACGAGTACAGTGCTTTTTGTACGTATCGTCTTTGAAAATATGTTTCGATCTATCTAACAATTTGTATTTTCGCACTAATTGCATCTTCAACATTTTGTAATATACTAAGTGACATATAAATCCGAACACCCAGTTTAAATGGTTTTATTTTAATAAAACTTTGTATAAGTACTTAATGAAGCATAATAAGTAAATGATCAATATTTCAAAATGATTGCACTGCTTTGTGTGGATGCACCCTGATGTGCTACGCATTCTCCAACGCGCCTAGGCATGCTTCTGATCAGGTGGTCAATGTCCTCCTGTGGTATCTCATTCCAGGCAACCACCAACTCCTCTCGAAGTGCTTCTAGAGTCTGAAGAGGACGTTGCAAATTGAGCAATCTCCTACCCATCATAACCCACATGTGTTCAATTGGGGATAAGTCGGGAGATCTTGGTGGCCATGGTAACAATGTGACATCATTATGTTGAAAGAAGTCTATTGTGACTCTTGCAACATGTGGTCGGGCATTATCTTGTTGGAAAGTTGGATCTGCCAGGGTGTCAAGATAGGGTAAAAGATGGGGTTCTAGAACTTCGTGGATATAACGCTGCGCGTTCATGTTACCTCTGCTGAAGATTAAAGGTGACCTGGAACCATTAGCTATAGCACCCCAAACCATAACTCCAACAGTGTGATGAACACGTCTTTCAACAAAAAACTGTGGATTCCTCCTTTCACCACGTCGCCTTCTAACCCTGGCACGACCATCGTGTATGCCTAAACAAAATCGAAACTTATCACTAAAGACAATACTGTTCCATTCCTGATCCCAGAGTGACCGTTGTCTGCACCACTCAAGGCGATTACGTCGGTCTTCTCGAGTTAAAGAGAGGAGCCAGTGTGGCCGGTATGAAAACAAGCCAAAACTTCTCATTCGTCGGTAAACACTTCGCATGCCAATAGGTCTTCCGTGTTCTGCAAACCATTCATTTGCAACGGACCTGGTAGTGGAGAAACGGTCCCTTAAGGCCAATAATCTTAGGCGGCGATCTTCACGGTCTGTTGTTCTACGGCGGCGGCCAGTACCCCTTGCTCTTTGCGTACGGTCTTCTCGAAGCCATGCCTGACAACACCTAACCACAGTGTCTACACTTCTTTGCACTCTAACTGCAATTGCCCGAAACGAAAGTCCAGCTTCCCGAAGTCCCACTATACGGCCCGTATCAAACTCACTAAGTTGACGAAATCGTACAGGTCTCCGTGCTCTAGGCATCGTAACCGATCGTAAAGGATGTCAAGAACCAAAATCCGCCAACGTTGATTCTTTACTGCGGCTGAAATATTCATTTTTAGAGCGTTAGTGAATAAAAAAAAAGCAGTATAAAAACCGGAATGTCCAACTGATAAGGATGAAAATTTTTTCACTTGTTATTTACAGTAAGATAAATACAATCACCAACTTTTATTAAAATAAAACCATTTAAACTGGGTGTCCGGATTTATATGTCACTTAGTATATTTTTTCTTTTCTCCATGTTTACTTCCAAGATCGTCATAGTTTTTTTTGAGGTCCGCTGACAGTGCTACTCCGAAAATGAGTCTTTTTCTTACAACGCCAGAACTTGAATATTCTTTAAAAGGGAAGACACTTTAGTTGCTGGAGATTTTGGGTCAGTATTTTTAGGTTTCAAACTCAAACACCTCTTCTATTTTTCGCTAAGCTTGACTGCGTTCCTTACTTTATTTTCCAAACTTTTAATCTCCGCGTACAGAATAGTTCGCCGCTTGCACATTCTACGTCTATTGAGAGCAGACAAATTCTCTGCTCTGTGCTAAAAAGATGGTGCAGGAGGTGGTGGGGGTGTTTCTTCAACTATTCTCTGTAAATTTTTTTGTAATGTAACTCGTTTTTCCCTATAAACTTTACTATTCTTTTTTCATTGTTTTCGTTTTTGGCTAGCTTCTCTTGCACTCAGAACTTATTGACTTAACTTGACTTTTACTCTTCTTCTTTAAATACTTTAGTCCTTCTTTATCACGCAAAGCTTCTAAAGACTCAGCATTACTTTTCATGTGTTCTCGCCTCTTTCTGTCGTACGACTTCTGTTTTAATTTCCTTTCTTCTTCACTTAACTTCTTAATTTTTCCCATTCTTGGTATACGGATATCTGTTAAAACAATAACACCCAAACAACAATTTTATATATGCTAAAATCATTCCCTCATATAATTGTCATTCCCTCACTTTCTAATATAGTCAGGTGTGGTGCCAGGCTACAAGAGGCGGATCTGAAGGTCCTTTTGGACTACTCGGGTCCGCTTATTGTGGCAGGGGACTTCAACTGCAAACATCGAGCATGGAATTCTAGGTTGAATTCTACTAGTGGGATTCGATTGTACAACCATGTGACGCGAAATGGGTACCTTATACATAGCACTGAAGAGCCGATACACCATCCGTTCAACCATCTTCAGGCACCAGATGTCATCGACTTCGCGATATCTAAAAACTGTAGATACAGTATCTCTTTTCGAATCTTGAGTGATATCTTTAGCTACCATCTACCTGTTGTCTTGGACGTGGCCAATGAGCAAACTTCTGAGGAGGAAGCTCCTCCCAGGAAACGCATTGATTGGGAGCTATACAAGTTGCTCCTTAGAGAGTTTCCCAATATCCCGATTATAGATGAATAGTCTGGAATAGATGCCGCTCAAGCGGAGTAGACAAGTTGTATTCAAGCAGCTCTACAGTGTGCAGCTGTACTTCCTGTACAACGACATCCTGATGACATTCGTAGGGCTACAAATTTTGTCCATGTAGTGAGAAACGCACTGTACGAACTCCGCAACGAGCAATGGAGCGACTTTCTGGCGGGAATGCTTGATTCAAGTATTCCACTCTGGAGGGTTGCATAGACACTCAGAAATGGAAAGCGAGAACAACTCCCGCACATCCACGGTCCTGAAGGCATAGTCTTCAAAACGGAGGATAAGGTCGAGGTTTTCGCTGATGCCATGGAAAAACAGTTCTCTTCCAACTATGATCTTGATAATGACCTCGACGAGGAACAGCACATCGTACGATCCGTCAGGAGATATTTTAGGGCCAACGGCGATAGCGGAGGCACTGAATCTTCTCCAGATAACTCTTCTTCAAAGGATTCGTCTGAGGCTCCACATAGCACATTAGCGGAACCCTCCGAGTTTCCACATTGCACACCAGCGGAGCTCCTAAGTCATATTAAAGACCTCATGGTGCGTAAAGAACCTGGGTAGGATCAAATCACTAACAAGGCGTTAAAGTTGCTCTCGCCGAAAGCCCTGACATATTTGGTGACAATAATCAATGCGACGCTCAGAATCCAGTACTGCCCTGCTGGGTGGAAGACTGCTGAGGTCATCATGATTCCAAAGAAGGTGGGTTCGATATCTCCTCAGGATTACCGTCCCATAAGTCTGCTGTCAGTTCCTTCTAAGCTCGCCGAAAAGGTGATTTATCGTCACCTTGAGAATTTTTCGTCAAATCAACATGTGATTCCTGACGTCCAATTCGGTTTTCGAGCACCGAGCTACAGGCAGTCAGGCTGGTAGAGCATGTAACCAGATGATTCACCCTCAGCATAAGTACTGGCATCTTGCTTGTGGATGTCTCAAAGGTGTGGCACGCGGGCCTCATCTTTAAACTAATCCAAAAGGGTTTTCCTTTTTGGCTTCTAAAATTACTGCAATCCTTTCTTGAAGGAAGGAAGTTTCGGATCAAAATTAACAATGTTTTGTCAACAACACGGCCAGTACGGGCCGGTGTTCCTCAGGGTTCGGTCCTAGGACCAATTCTTTATTTGCTTTTCATCCATGATGTCCCTTGCCCCAGCAACTGTGAAGTCTACCTCTATGCTGACGACACTGCACTTGTCGCCCAGTCGTGTACTGGTGATCTGGGTCACGAAGGGTTGCAGAGTGCGGTGGAAGAAGTACTAGAGTGGGCGAAACGGAGGCCATTTTTTGTACCAAAAAACGTCGCGGCCCCCAGCAGAGGTATCTGTAGACGGCAATCGTGTACCATAGACGAATTCTGTTATGTAGATCCAAATTGAGTTTGGTGAACAGAGTTCGCCTATATAAAATGATTATTGGACCAGCCATTACTTATGCATGTGCGGCTTGGTGTTTTCTTGCCAATACACACATGCAAAGTCTTCAAGTGCTGCAAAGCAGAACTTTGCGAACAATTTGCAACGCTCCATGGTATGTCTCAAACGAGGCACTACACAAAGACTTTGACATTCTTTACTTGAGGCATGATGTCAAGCTTCAGGCGCAGCGACGTTATAGTCAAGCGGAATCGCACAGCAACCCTCTGTTGCGTGACTCAGTGGTCTAGACAGTGGAGCAAGTTTGTAAGCATTCAAGGTCACGGCTCGCACTGTAATAAAAAATTAGCGCGAACTTTTAGTTAACTTAAAATTACACTCTAACAAAACCGAATCAAACTTTCTTTAGTTCACCTCAAAATTAATGTCAAAACGCCCAGGAGTTTTCTCTTAAACTAAATACTTCTGTTTTTCTTTGCTCTTCTCCTTCTTTCTTCTTCTTCCTTGACATACATTAGTCAGTGACTAATAGGCAAATGTCATACGGACTGCCCAGACAAACAAATGACGAATAGTCAATACCCCTGCAAAGTTGCATTCGACAGTGTCGCATCCGTCACCGTTATGGACGGGAGCTTAAGAATGCCATTTTGTGAGAGCGTTGGATGATTTTTATCAGACTCATAAATATTCCTCCAGGTGGAGGAATTTTGTTCCGTCTTGTGACTGCGCTGTATCTGAAAGTCCACTAGCCCATATAACTGCGATTGTTGTATGTGACCCATATTATGTCGATAGCAGCTAATGGTTACTAAGCAACAAGCTACAAAAATGGCACATGGCGGACAGATCCGTCCATTCAGTTGACGTTCCTTACTACGAAGAGTTTTGGATATAGTGTTAAACAATGCCTCCGGCCAATGTTACGAAAAAGTCGTCAGCGACTAAAGCTGTGGTAACTACATTACGCTTTATTATACATATATTGCTACTCATGTAATTTAGAGGCAAAAGATAGATTAAGCTTGAGATTATGGCTGTGTTTCCAATCTCTCTGCTGGTCAATGAAGCTCAAACAAAATATATTACTTAGCCACAATTTTCAATTTAAATTTACTTTTGAGCTAACGGGGTAGCTGAAACTCGGTTGCAACTTCATCAACATATACATACGTAATAATCCAGCCCAGTAACAATACGATGCTCAAGAATGATTTCTAATTTTTCTTTGATAGAACAAAGATCTAATGTTTTTTATTTTTGCAACCTAATGGGAGAATCTTACTTTTCTATGCATTTGCTGAATGACCATGCCCGTCTTCTATCAACAAAAATTCACAGCAAACGTAGTATGTGCTTCTATACCTACGTTTTTCAAATTCCCTCCCAGCCATTGTCTGGAAAAGTTTTTCGTGAATGTTGTATTTCAGAAAATGAAAAATTTTCGCAAGGCTTTTCAATAAAATAAAACTTATTTAAGGATAGAAGTCAAACAACTGAAATTGGAAACATTATGTCAAGCGTTCAAAATACATCAGTAGAGGTGCAACAAGGGACTAAAAAGAGAAAATGATTATGAGGAGAAACGTATATGGTACGAAAAGTAGGAAAATAATAGGGAAAATCCGCAAAAAGGAGGATTCGAGCAAAAAATAGGATATGTAACCCGAGCGATACGTATTTCTGCTGGTTGGCTTCATCAGGCCTGAAATGAATGCATATATGCAACTACAACGGTAGATGTGTATCACATATCCGGATACGAGTGTAACCTGAGGAAACGCAGGTGGAGAGGGAAAAATAGACACAGGAAGTCAACAGCAAGAGCCAACCTACAGATTGTAGTATAAAATGACTAGAAGACCTCGAATTTTCTTTACAAATATCCTTTGGGATTGAAGTACCACAGCAAGTGGCTATAATTGGCCGCATGGTTGTGGTTAGATGTCTCCTTGAAAATTCTAGGTCTTCTAGTCATTCTATTCTACAATGTGTAGGTTGGCTCTTGCTGTGGACTTCGTGTGTCGTCTTTTTCCCTCTCCATCTTCTTTTCCTCATGTTACACCCGTATCCGGATGTGTGGGCATGTGTATCTACCTTTGTAGTTGCATATGTGCACTCATTTCGGGCCTGATGAAGCCAACCAGCAGAAATACGTATCGCTCGCGTTACCTATCCTATTTTCTGCTTGAATCCGCTTTCCTCCTTTTTGCGGATTCTGTCTATTATTTTCCTACTTTTTGTTATTATACTAATATAAATGATGTCTCTAACACTATAGAACTCCGCAAAATTCAAACATTTGGACACAACTTTAGAACTGTCAAATAGTGATATTAAAAAAATATGGATTGGCTACATGTTAATAAACATAATAAGTCAAAATGTAGGTCAGTAGTGAAATATTTAGGTGACAATACATACGATTAGGCTCATGATTAGAAATGGTAAAATTGAAGCAGTCGAATCATTCAAATATCTAGGTATACATGTGAATAGTAAGCTAGTATTTCAAAATCATGATGAATACATTATTTCAAAAATATCAAAAAAAGATTCTTTAGAATTTCCCATAATCTCAGTATGTGTTACATAAAAATTGTGTATAACACTATGTATAATTCTTCCGCATTTTTTATATTGTTCAACCATTCTCTTTACAACAAACGAAAGCATATTTCCAAAATTAAAATTCTACAAAATAAAGTTATGAGAATCATTTTAAATAAAAGCAAATATGCTAAGATTAAGTACCTGTTAGAACTACAGTAGTTGAATGTTCTATTTAGTTCTTAGTTTCATATTTAGATTAAAAAATCATTTATTACCGCCACAATTAGAATACTTCACAAAATTAATCAATAATTATCATAACTACGAAACTAGAGTCAGTATAGATTTTCATCTACAAAATTGTGTTAGTAGCATAACCAGCAAATCTGAATTTCAAAACTGGGTATTTGAATGTAATAACTTCAATAACGATATTAGACTGTGTTCAAATTCAGTAAGATGAAATTAAATAATCACTTTGTGAATATTCAAAATGCATAATGATGTAATTTGTATAGACAGGAATGCAAGATTACAGAAAATTGATTAAAAAAATGTGTAAACTAATAGTTGACGTTGTAGCATTTGTGCTAAGTAAATCTACAACAAACAATGGTAAAAATTTGAAACTTTTGAGAGCACATTTCAAAAGCCTGACCTTTTTTGGGTATAGCTAAACGTTTTAAGTGTCTGAAAAAAGCTCGAAATATTTCGAAACCCGTTTTTTTGCCTAAACAAATCGTCTAATCCGATATAAAGATTTACGTATATTTGAAACTGAAAGTGAATGACATATGGCAAACTTATAAGAATATTGCACACTTTATCAATTTTTAAATATATCTGCTGCTTTAAGGTAATATAGTCATCATTGCAGCTATTTTCGATCCATCTCAGCTTCTAAACATGTTTACCAAGGTTCAGTTATTACTTATTTGTCATGTTGTTGCTGCAACATTTATACTTTCGTTTACAGAGAAAGACTGCAAAATCGCAAGCTGAAACTGATGACATCGAGGAATGGAAAAGAGCAAAGCAACTGCTGAAGCCAAAAGATCAATTGGAATTAAATGAACTTGTAAGTATATAATAATACAGTGATTACTAAACAATTTTAGGATACAGTTGTTTTAGAAAAGGTTCTAGCGTAAAAACTGAGACCAAGGCTTAAAGCACATAGACTATACTATAACTATCTAAAACTGTAATGACTCATCAATGTTCACGTGAACATCACTTAACTGCCAGTAGTCGGCTGTTCATAGGCGGGGTATGAATGTTTAACACGGGTGCACTAGATTTGTCACATGCTTAATAAAGAGTGGTTTGAAACATATTGTAAGTCAAAAATTTGGGAATTACCTTTATTCATCGTCGTTTCCACTTACATCTGACAGTAATAAGCTGTCGCTATCGCTTTCCTCGTTGAAATTGACTATAACTGGCTCTATGATGGTGTCGATGTGGTGGTCAAGCTGCCACATTTTTGTTTCTTCCTTCACAACATGACGGATAGCATTCTGCCAAGCTTCGGGCGTTACTAGCTGTATGGAAGTCTCAAGTAAAACCTTAACGTCTGGTAATTTGAAGGTTGTGTTATGGCGCGCAATATAACCCTTCACTTGAGCCCAGATGAGCTCTATTGGGTTCAGTTCACAGTGGTAGGGCGGTAACCGCAGCACAGTGACACCACATTGACGGGCGATCTCATCAGTCACGTAACTAATATTCGCAGGTTTGTGCTGTTTAATTTTTTCATACAATTCCGCTTTCACACATGAATCGTCAAACGGGATTCCTTTTTCGCGCATAGTCGGTACACGTTCGGCTCGACGACTATGGTAGGAAGCATTATCCATGAGGATCACAGAGTTGGGCTCAACTCGCTGAAGCACCCCTTGAAACCAGCTCTCGAAGTAGCTGGCATTCATTTCGTCATGGTAATCACCTCCTTTCTTAGAGACGAAAATCGCCAGGCGACTATTTCAGGTCTCTCTATCAATACTGACTTCCGATTACGCGTTTCGTAACAAAAATTAATTTCGTGCAGCGATTTCCTCATTACCTCGACGCTCATTTGGGGTAAAATTTCATTTATCTCTTATATAAATGAAGACTTGAAGCTTGTCTCAAAATGGTTAGCATCTAACAGACTAAAATTAAATGCAAGTAAAACGAAAGCCTTGTTAATCGGAAAAAAACAATGTACAAATGTTCAACTGAATATTGATGGTGAAGATATTGAATTCGTAGAAAATTTTAAATACCTGGGAGTTTTTGTTGACTCTCGATTAATTTTTGATATTCATTATGAAAAAGTTATAAATAAGATTAGTAGTAAAGTGGGATATTTATCGAGAGTTTCTGGATGTCTGAGTTCATATAGCAGAAAAATTATCTATAATACCATCATTCTTCCAAATTTCTTGTACTGTTCGACTATTCTATATTTAGCAAATAGTTCCATTTTTGAAAGACTGCAAATTTTACAAAATAAGTGCATGAGAATAATACTAAATAAAGATAAATATACTCCAATTAGGCAAATGCTTAGCAAATTAAAATGGCTCAATGTAAAAAATTTTATCAAATATCTTGTAATGATATTCATTTATAAAGTAAAAAATAATATATTTCCATCAAGTCTAACTAATTTAACATCATCAAATGTCGACCATCATTTACATAATACCAGAAATAAATAAAGATGACTTCCATTTAATGACCAAAAAGTATAACATATGCTACAAATCTGTATTCCATCAAGGGTTGATTGAATATAATAAATTATACTCGGAGATAAAAGACCAGAAAACTTTGACAAAATTTAAAGTAAAATTGAGAAATCACTTGTTAAATCTACAATTATAGGTTGCCCAGCATTTACATCATACACCATATGGCTTGAATTTACTAGTTCTAAGTTGTTTACAATTGTTCTGTTTATGTTGCCAAATGTGCTAAATAAATCTTTCTACTACTACTACTACTATTTTCCTTGATCGCTGCATGTACAGCCTTGAGTGTTGGTATCTCATTCCTAAAGAAGAATGAATGTACGGTTCGCCTTAACGCCATTTTGCTATCGTCATCCAATTTAACGGCCTTTCGTCCCTTCAAATTAAACTTTGGATCAGTAGTAGCTCCAGTTTTCTTCTTTTCATGCACCACCCTGCGAATGGTCCACTCTGGAACGCCTGTCATACTTTCACAATGCGCGAGTGCATCTCCCTGCGACATAGTTCTGTTCAGATAATTGAACACGTTGAGCACGATTTCTTTCGCGTCCCTCTTCAGTGCTTTACGAAGCCGTCTACTTGTTCCCTGGCTTTCAGTACTTCCACTCGTGCCATTTGTACTCTCCATGGTTAAGTATAACCAAAACAGTAACCACAGAAACCACAACAATAACAATCACACAACAATTCTTATAAAAACACACAATATGCGATCGCTCAACGAAACACGTTCCAATGCGTTGCCGACGGCTATGAGTCTGCCGGTCGAGGCGCGTCTTTGATTTACATTGGTTCTACCGGCGGAGAACAATCAGCCATTATTTCCATCTCTGTCTGTGCTGTTGACCACCGCAAAGCCACAGAAACGACATATGTCGTACGCTATACGGCTGTACTGGAAGGAAGCCGGGATCGAGCTCTGATCACGTGTTGATCACGTGTTGATCACGCGTATGAGTCATTACAGTTTTGAATAGTTGTAGTATATCAGTCAAAATTTTTTTACACCCAGGCAATCGGGGAAAATAGTTTATTAAATTCACAGGAGAGTTTAAAACATAACATGGTACTAGTCATGGAGCTTTTATACCAGAAGAAACTACCACAATGTTGTTCGTACTCTTAAAACGACCCCGAAACGTAACAAATCGAATACCAGTGGTGCTTTGACAGGGTTGCCATACTGGGGCATTTTCCCCCAAATTTGAGAGACTTATACTTGGGGAGAATTCTTTCGGAATATAATGTTTCACACACTTCCGCGGATATAAAGCACCCTCCCGCTCTTTGAACCAAATCTACCCCTTTCCATTAAGTGACTGTGATTTTGAAGCTTTTTTTTTAAAGTGGCTTTTTTGTGCTTGTTCTGGAGATATTCTTTCCGACCCATTTGGCAACGATGTGCCATATAAACACTTTCTTAATAGTCTAAGATCCCGCCAGTTGAATCTACAGGTATCCTTTCTTATAAAACGTATTTTTCTGAATGATAAATAATAGTATAATCGATCAAGACATGCAACATAAAAAACTCAATAATTTACAATGGTCTGAAAATGCATCTGACTGACGCTATCAAAAGAATTATTAATTTAAGAAAATTTCGCCGAGAACTTGAATACTCTTTAATATGTAAACCATATTCCATGGGTGAGTCCTCTAGTTCACTTTCTTAAGATCCAGATGTGTAATAATATTATAGTTTAGTTTTAAGTTAGCTTTGTCATGGTAGTATCCTTCTGACAATAAAGCATATCAAACTATTTATCTATCAGTCTCATAAACCTGCGTTTCAACATTTATGGTATACTTATCGAGAGGTAGCTGGTTTAACTTGAGCGTAAGCGTTAATAAATATTAACAATAACTTGAATTCCAGGAACTCAAAGAGACAATAGGCAAACAGCTTGTCTCAACAAATAACCGCCTACCTGACAGCCTGATTGAATTCAGCTATGCGCAGGGAACATTCATACCAATACCATCACCTGGAAACGTGGTGGTGTCCTTTGAGCAGCAAGGCACTCTTCTTCATAAAGATTCCGAAGAGGCGCGACAGCAAATGCTAGAGATGGGAATCGATCGTGAGTATTTCCCGATAGCTCACACATTTTTGGCACGTCCTCTATGTATACGTCATACCCAACGGCTTCAGATCAGTTATACGATTACGTCTGGTTGCCCTCAAGGATCTGTGCTGGGGCCAGTATTTTTGACGTAGACATTCAATCAGATGTCCAGTCTCTCCTATATGCTAGCCCTCTTGATGATTGTGAAAAGTCACAATGTAATATAACAGCTGGAGTCACAGAAATGCTGCGAAACTAAGTGTGGTCAGTTATATGTACCCATCGTATGCGGTGTACTCACAATTTCGATGTTAGGCAACCAGAGTTGCGCCACCGTGCGTCAAGAGTGGTATAGTTTGCAGCAGGGTCGAGGTGGATCGGCCGACATCGGAAGCATTCGAGAAGTATCCATCTACATATAGATAACTTCGATGAAGTCCTGGAAGGCTCTGGGCTGGCCAATTCTTGAACATAAACAGGCGGCAAGATGGAAGAATGGCACAGTCGCCTATGGATATAAATTTGCAACAAATAAGTTGTTATAGATTACTGTAAGAGGAATAAATTAGACTTTTTCCTTACAGCTTTACTACAAATATGTTCTGATGTTCGCTTTTCTTTAAACAGCTTTGACCTACCAAACATCCGTAGAAACCATCTACGAACCAGAAGCTGAAGCGGAAGTACCATCGGAAACAGCAGAGCCGAGCGTTGCACCGGAAGGTGAGGGTGATACTACAGAAGGGGGAACCCAGACGGAGGAGGGGAAGGAAGAAGAGGAAGGCGCAGAAGGAACGGCTGAAAAGCCACCGGAAGAGAAGCCTGAGGAGGAAGATGAAGAAGGGGAAGGTGAAACGGTGATAAAGGCAACGGTCAAACCTGCAGCTAAAGGGGGAAGGCCCAGGAAGCTGACCAATCAGTTCAATTTCTGCGAAAGGGCCGCGCTGACGTACAACAACCCAGTTAGGGTAAGAAGCTGAAATTGTTGCATTCAGAACATATCACTTGCCATGCCTACTGGCGAGGAAGTATTTCAGAAATGGGATATATATATATATATATATATATATATTTTTATGTTACATGACATATGCATTAGGGTGTCGAATAAGAATTACAGCATTTTATTCACAGTCCCAGGAAACTCAAACCATTCCCCCGCCGATGGCGAACTTCTCAGCCAATGTACTGCAGTGGGTGATCTACGACGCGTATCAAGAAGACTTCGCCGCTCAACAGCTAGAGAAGGAGTTGGAAAGAGAGAGGAAAGAAAAAGAGAAAATGTCAATCGGCAAACCATCGCAACCGAAGAAAGCTGCAATGGGAAGGGCGCAGTTGAGTGAAGCAGTGCAAGGGAGAGTTCTGGAATGTTGGAGGGTGTTGGAGAGAATGATCAACCAGAACACGTTCAATGACATAGCTAAAGGTAGGAATACAGATATACATCCGATTTAGAGGCTTTCATTTCATTATGCTATCATTTTCCATCCAACAATCCATGAAAGGTTAAGACTTAAAGTCAAGGTCATATTTAATCCAAAGTTATAGTAACGGTCAATGACATGATCAAGGGCAGCGTGAAGGTCACATTCAAAGTTATTGTCATGATCATGGTCAAGGTCATGGTCGAGGTCCTGGTCCAGGTCATGATAAAGATCATGGTCAAGGTTCATGGTCAAAGTCAGTCAATTTTATGATCACTGTCAATGTCATGGTCAAGGTCAGGGTCAATGTCAGGGTCAATTCCATTGTCAAGGTCATAATCAATGTCATTGTCAAGGTCGTGGTCAAAGTCATGGTCAAATACGTGTTCAAGGTCATGCTCAAGGTCAATTTCAAGGTCATGGTCAAGGTCTTGGTCGCTGCCAAGGCCAAGGTCAGGATGAAGGGCACCTTGGGGTAATCCTCATAAAGCTAACAACAGAGCTGTAGAACAACTATTTTTTATATCTCCATTTTACCTTGAAATGACTATGGAGCCAACGATCAAGGTCATAGCCACGGCGCTGTTCTGGCGTAAAATTTTCTTCCCTTTCAAATTCCGATTTGAAAAAGGGATAGTTACATTCAAAACATTCACTTGACCTTGGAGGAATCATAAAGGTCGTAGTCAAGATCATTGTCAAGGTCTCCGTCATTTTGCCCCACCCTACAACTTTTGTTTGGAACTTTTTTTCTAGAATGTGCTGCTTTCGAAATGGGACGCCGTGTATATTGGCCTTCATCGCTCCTTTGGCTTCTTCTATCTTCCTCTATTCTTCTACCTTGTTTCATCAAAATATTATGCTGACAATACGTGGTCCTGGGAATTTGAAGTATTGGTTGTTTTTCAGATTACCGGTACTGGGATGACCCTTCAGACGAGTACAGGGACGAAGAAGGAACCCTGTTACCCTTGTGGAAATTTACCTACGACAAAACAAAGAAGCACACTGTCACGGACATGGAATGGAATCCTTTCTATTACGACTTATTTGCGGTCTGTTTTGGATTTCGTAAGTAATGTTTTACCGGAAGCCTTTTATATCTAATCACTAGACGAAACCCGCCGCTCCTCTTGCGTAGAAGTGGTGTAAAGTGAGAGAACGAGACTGACAACGTAGCGTTCTATTTTTTTTTTGTGAAAGAGTTTTTGCTATGAATAGTGGAATACGAAAAGTGATAATAAAGTCCTTCAGAACGTAAATTTTTGGTATTCTCTCCTAGAACGTGAATAAAATTCGAGAAACAACAATCGGTTGTTATCATAGTTTACTCGTGGGTGCATTCATGACAAGTGTGGGCCTCAAATTTTGCGTTTCAGTCCGAAAGTGATGACAAATTCTTTAGAACGTAATTTTTCAGATGTTGGAAGAATAGCGCATCATTTTCACTATTGTCAGAGTTTACCATGGTTTACCCAATCACCTTTCGCTAGCACTCTCCCATTTTTTTACTAATGAACGGTCACAGATTCTACACTAATTTTAGTGGGCGCATTCGCCATTTTATACAAAAGTCGGTCCCGAGTTTTACGCTCATACGTTTCAGTCCGACAGTGATCAGAAATTCTTTCAAAACGTCATCTTTTAGTGCTTCCTCCAGGATCTTGAAAAACAGACAAAAAAGAACAATAAAGGACGATTTTCACTATGGTCATTGTTTCCGCGAATCCTGAACAATCGACTCAACGTGGCAACGTGGAGAGAGAGTTGAGAGAATAGGCTACCGTCCACGGTTTTCTTCTCAGCACGACAAAAACTGTCTAAATAATTGTAAATTTGAATATTAACGTAAAAAAGTGTTTTTATAAAACGTCTAATACAGACTTCAATTGTGTACTACAATAAAACTCCAAGAATTCAACGCAGCAAGCAACAAAGTCTTTTCTTCATTTCACCCCACAAGGCGGCGACCTAACTTCTCAACTTTCAACAGCCATAGTTTACCCGATTACCTTTAGCTAGCGCTTCCACCATTTTTTACAAATGTCGGTCACATATACTGCGCTTATACGCTTCGGTCCCGTCTAGATCATGAAAAGAACTCGAAAAACAACAATACCGCTCGATTTTAACTATTACCATAGTTTACTCAGTTTTAATCGGTGCGTTTACCATTTTTGACAAATGTCGGCCACAAATTTTGCGCTAATTCGATTCAGTCCGAAAGATCTTTTAGTATATTTCTTGAATCTTGAAAGACAGTCAGAAAATAAAAATGATGGACCATTTTTTTCGTCATAGTTTAGTATGGTTTACCCAATCACTTTTAGCTAGCTCCTTCACCATTTTTCACTAATATCGGTCACACATTATACGCTAATTTTAGTGGGCGCATTCATCATTTTTGACAAACATCGACCCGAAATTTTGCGCTCATACGCTTCAGTCCAAAAGTGATCCGAAATTCCTCCACAACATCATCTTTTAGTCTTTCATCCTGGATCTTTTGAGACAGTCAGAAAACAACAATTAAGGGTGGTTTTTTGTCATAGTTTGCTATGGTTCAGCCAATCAGTTTTAGCTAACGCTTTCACCATTTTTTACTAATATCGGTCACCGATTATATGCTAATTTTACTGGGCGCGTTCACCATTTTTGACAAATATCGACCCCACATTTTGCGCTTATACGCTTCAGTCCAAAAGTGATCCGACATTTCTCCACAACCATCTTTTAGTATTGCATCCTGAATCTTGAAAGACAATCAGAAAAGAACAATGAAGGACGATTTTTTTGTCATAGTTTACTATGGTTCACCCAATCACATTTAGCTAACGCTTTCACCATTTTTTCATTAATATCCGTCACAGATTATACGCTAATTTTAGTCGCCGCATTCATCTTTTTTGACAAATATCGACCCGAGATTTACGCCCATACGCTTCAATCCAAAAGTGATCCGAAATTCCTCCACATCATGTTTTAGTATTTAATAATAATAATAAATCGTCTTTATTTTTATTATTTTCATGGTTGTGAACCAATGTAAATACATGTAATTAACATGTATATATACAGTGTTTAACCAAAGGAAAACAAAAATAATGCAAGACATAATATAGAAAATATAAACAGATTCAGCAACACGTCAAATAAAATTTTTTTCTGGCGGTTACTAATCTCAACTACAAACTACTACTTAATTACTTCTAAGAGTCATTTTTGATAGCAAATGCGGCTTGACACAAACTCTAAATTTAGTTTGAGATAAATTTTTGAATGCATCAGGTAGCACGTTATACAATTTGACACAATTATACCTAAAAGAGCGAGTAAATAAAGCCGTACGGTGCCGTGGAATATCTAATAATTTGCCATACCTGAGCATGCGATCTCTAACAGATTGCCTGAAAACAATTTTTTTGAAGAGGTATTCGGGAGTTCCCGTGATAATCAAATTATGAATGAACTTCAAGATAAAATACTCGTAAGAACTATTAATATCCAACCATTTCATCCTGGATCTTGAAAGACAGTTAGAAAAGAACAATGAAGGGTGATTTTTTGTCATAGTTTACTATGGTTCACCCAATCACTTTTAGCTCGCGCTTTCACCATTTTTTACTAATATCTGGCACATATTTTACGCTAATTTTTGACAAATATCGACCCGAAATTTTACGCACATACGTTTCAGTCCAAAAGTGATCCGAAATTCCTCCACAACATCATCTTTTAGTATCTCTCCTGGATCTTGAAAGACAGTCAGAAAAGAACAATGAAGGACGATTTTTTGTTATAATTTACTATGGTTTACCCAATCACTTTTAGCTAGCGCTTTCACCATTTTTTCCACTAATGTCGGTCACATGTTTTACGCTAATTTTAGTGGACGCATTCACCATTTTTGACAAATATCGACCCCACCTTTTGCGCTCATACGTTTCAGTCCAAAAGTGATCCGAAATTCCTCCACAACCTCATCTTTCAGTATTTCATCCTGGATCTTGAACGACAGTCAGAAAAGAACAATAACGGACGGTTTTGACTATGGTCATAGTTTACCCTATTAACATACTTTTAGCTAGTGTTTTCACCATTTTTACAAATCTCGGTTACAGATACTGCGCTAATATGCCGCACGATTTTAACTATCCTGATAGTTTACTCAGCTTTAATGGGCGCGTTCACCATTTTTGACAAATGTCGGCCACAAATTAACCTCTAAGGCAAAGCGTTTGCTATATATGATGGAAAGATCATTTAGCGGTTGCACCGTTAGTACCTCCTCCTTTTTGTACACAACTTTCGTACGACCCCTACTGGAGTTTGCTGGTCCGGTATGGGATTCAAACCTTGTTCGCGATAGCAGCTTATTAGAGGCCGTTCAGCGTCGTGCTACACGTTTGCCATATGGCACACGTAGGCCAAGTTATGAAGACTGCCTCGAGCTATATAACCTGCCTGCTTTTGCTAATAGAAGAGTAGGAGGAGATCTCATCATCACTTTCAGAGCACTGCATAATTTGTTTGGTGTGGACATGTCGCATCTGTTTCGTCTGGCAACGAACAGTCTCAGAGGCCATAACTTCAAATTGCAGAAGGAAGCTTTTAGAACATCTACCCGTCAGCGCTTCATCTCAAACCGTGTCTTCGATGCATGGAACAGTCTTCCATCTTATGTAGTGAACTCGGAATCCGTCAACAGTTTCTAAAACAATTACGATAGACTCCGCAGTGCTTAACATATTGTTCCCATTCTGTATATGTCTACTTCAGAAGTGCTAAGATTGTCCAATTGTTATATTTCTTTTGTCTGTACACTATTATCTATTTTTGTGTTTGAGTTTATAGTACTTGTACTCAACTCAAATTTGTTGTTTAATAATAATAATAATAATAAATTTTGCGCTTATTCGATTCAGCCCGAAAGATCTTTTAGTATTTTTCCTGAATCTTGAAAGACAGTCAGAAAATAACCATGAAGGGCGATTTTTTGTCATAGTTTACTATGGTTTGTCCAATCACTTTTAGCTAGCGCTTTCACTATTTTTTTTTCATTAATGTCTGTCACATGTTTTATGCTAATTTTAGTGGGCGCATTCACCATTTTTGACCAATATCGACCCCACGTTTTGCGCTCATACGTTTCAGTCCAAAAGTGATCCGAAATTCCTCCACAACAACATCTTTCAGTATTTCATCCTGGATCTTGGACGACAGTCAGAAAAGAACAATAAGGGACGGTTTTCACTATGGTCATAGTTTACCCTATTAACATACTTTTAGCTAGCGCTTTCACCATTTTTTACAAATCTCGGTTACAGGTACTGCGCTAATATGCCGCGCGATTTTAACTATCCTGATAGTTTACTCAGCTTTAATGGGCGCGTTCACCATTTTTGACAAATGTCGGCCACAAATTTTGCGCTTATTCAATTCAGTTCAAAAGATCTTTTAGTATTTCTCCTGAATCTTGAAAGACAGTCAGAAAAGAACAATGAAGGACGATTTTTTGTCACAATTTACTATGGTTCACCCAATCACTTTTAGCTAGCGTTTCTACCATTTTTTCATTAATATCTGTCACAGATTTTACGCTAATTTTAGTGGGCTCATTCCCCATTTTTGACCACTATCGACACGAAATTTTGCGCTCATACGTTTCAGTCCAAAAGTGATCCGAAATTCCTCCACAACATCATCTTTTAGTATTCCATCCTGGATCTTGGAAGACAGTCAGAAAGGAACAATAAAGGACGATTTTCACTACGGTTATAGTTTACTATGGTTTACACAATCAGTTTTAGCTAGCGCTTTCACCACTTTTTCATTCATATCGGTCACATATTTTACCTTAATTTTAATAAGCGCGTTCACCATTTTTGACAAATATCAACCCCAAATTTTGCGCTCATACGCTTCAGTCCAAAAGTGATTCGAAATTCCTCCACAACATCATCTTTTAGTATTTCATCCTGGGTCTTGAAAGACAGTCAGAAAGGAACAATAAAGGACGATTTTCACTACGGTTATAGTTTACTATGGTTTACACAATCAGTTTCAGCTAGCGCTGTCACCACTTTTTCACTCATATCGATCACATACATATTTTACCTTAATTTTAATAAGCGCGTTCACCATTTTTGACAAATATCAACCCCAAATTTTGCGCTCATACGCTTCAGTCCAAAAGTGATTCGAAATTCCTCCACAACATCATCTTTTAGTATTCCATCCTGGATCTTGAAAGACAGTCAGAAAAGAACAGTGAAGGACGATTTTCTGTCATAATTTACTATGGTTTACCCAGTCACTTTTAGCTAGCGCTTCCACCAATTTTTTCACTAATTACGGTCCCGGGTTTTACGCTAATTTTAGGGGCGCATTCACCATTTTTGACAAATATCAACCCCAAATTTTGCGCTCATACGTTTCAGTCCAAAAGTGATCCGAAATTCCTCCACAACATCATCTTTTAGTATTCCATCCTGGATCTTGAAAGACAGTCAGAAAAGAACAGTGAAGGACGATTTTTTGTCATAATTTACTATGGTTTACCCAGTCACTTTTAGCTAGCGCTTCCACCAATTTTTTCACTAATTACGGTCCCGGGTTTTACGCCAATTTTAGTGGGCGCATTCACCATTTTTGACAAATATCCTCCCCACATTTTACGCTCATAGGCTTCAGTCCAAGAGTGATCCGAAATTCCCCCACAACATCATAGTTTAACTATGGTTTACAGAATCACTTTTAGCTAGCTCCTTCACCATTTTTTTTCTCGCGAATATCGGTCACAGGTTTTATGTTAATTTTAGTGTGCGTATTCACCATTTTTGACAAATACCGACCCCACATTTTGCGTATACGCTTCAGTCCAAAAGTGATCCGAAATTTCTCCACAACATCATCTTTTAGTATTTCATCCTGGATCTTGAAAGACAGTCAGAAGAGAACAATGAAGAATGATTTTTTATCATAGTTTACTATGGTTTACCCAATCAGTTTTAGCTGGCGCTTTCACTACTTTTTCACTCATATCGGTCACAGATTTTGTCCTAATTTTAGCGAGGGCATTCACCATTTTTGGCAAGTATGGACCCTAAATTTCGCGCTCATACGCTTCAGTCCAAAAGTGATCCGAAATTCCTCCACAACATCATCTTCTAGTATTTCATCCTGGATCTGAAAGACAGCCAAAAAAGAGCAATGAAGGACGACTTTTTGTCATAGTTTACTATGGGTTACCCAATCAGTTTTAGCTAGCCCTTTCACTACTTTTTAACTCATATCGGTCACAGATTTTATCCTAATTTTAATGAGCACATTCAGCATTTTTGACAAATATCGACCCCAAATTTTGCGCATATTCGCTTCAGTCCAAAAGTGATCCGAAATTCCTCCACAACATCATCTAGTATTTCATCCTGGATCTGAAAGGCAGTCTAAAAAGAACAATGAAGGACGACTTTTTGTCATAGTTTACTATGGTTTGTCCAATCAGTTTTAGATATCGCTTTCACCATTTTTCACTAATATAGTCACAGGTTTTACGCTAATTTTAGTAGGCTCATTCATCATTTTTGACAAATATCGACCCGAAATTTTGCGCTTATACGCTTGAGATCCGAAATTCCTCCACATCATCTTTTAGTATTTCGTTCTGGATCTTGAGAGACACTCAGAAAAGAACAATAAAAGACGATTTTTTGTCATAGTTTACCGTGGTTTACCCGATCACTTTCAGCCAGCGCTCTAACTATTTTTTACTAATGTCGTCACATATTCCGCTCTAGTTTTTAGTATGTGCATTCACCATTTTTTTACAATTGTCGGCCCAAAATTTTGCCGCAAATTCAAGGAGTCAAAAAGCAGGATTGTTTGACTTTCCACAAATTTGGGGACTGTTTACCGTCCCTGGTAAATTTATGGGAATAAAATGTTCTGGAGGATCTTTTTGAGGAAAAATAATAACGCTAGGTATTTTTGGGGTATTTTATTCCATCTTCTACGATAAACTGTGAACTGCTGAATAACAATTTTATCTTTGTGTAGCTTTTTGTTTGTTCCCATAACGCACCCATCCCCATAAAACGTCTACATCTTCACGTTAATTGTAGGTTGTTACACCTGCGTGATTAGGAAAAAATTGGTCTAGTTTTTTTAGGATATCCTGATAGCCATACAGCGGAATAATAAGTTGCTAGCCGGTTCGTGAACTACACACCACTAATCTTCTATTCCAGTGGACTACATGAAACCGCTGCAGGCCGGCGCGGTGTGTCTCTTCACGCTGAAGAACCCCTCGTTCCCGGATTACATCTGCGTGACGGACTCCGGCGTGATGTGTGTGGACACGCACGCGAAATACCCGTACATGGTGGTGATCGGGCTTTACGATGGTAGCGTTGAGGTGTGGAATGTCCACGCTACCTGCACCATGCCCGCGTACAGGAGTAACAGTGTCACGAACAAGCACAGAGGTATAGTCTGGGAGGTATATAATGCGATGTAGTTATAGCAGTAGTAAAAATAGAATAGTTTAATGAAGTGCGAAAGGCTTTCGCGGCCATTGTCCAATGTTACTTGTTTGGTTTTTGGCTAGTTAGGCCGCCGTAAAATATTTCTGCTTGGCGTTCCACCAACACGAGTGGTTGGCATCTTCAGAAGACGTTCACAGTTCGAAGTTTTTTTTTTGTAGGTGTTGTTGTTGAAGATTTATTTAGCATTAATGCTACAATGTCAATTTTGTATATCGATTCGGTTACATATTTTTCTTCAATCCATTTTCTATAATTTTACATTCTTGTCTATTCAAATTAGAATTACGTCACTATGTATTTTGATTATTCATAGAGTGATTTTTTAATTTAACCTTAAACATTTTTAAATTCAAACTCTGCTTAATATAAATTTATTAAATTCAAATACTCCCTTTTGAATTATACAGGGTGTCCGCAAAGTTGGGGTTTTCCTTTTCAGAAACAACTACCCTTGAAATAACAAAGGTAATGTGTAGTGAAACGAGGGCGACCAAGTAAAAAAAAAATAAAGGAAAAAGTACTCACTCTCCAGTTGACGAGAAGGGCTAAGTACGTCTCTGCCCGAAATCATACCGCTCCAACAGAAAATGAAATCAGCTGATGCGCTACCGAGCAGACGCAGGCGGTGGTGTAGACCACGAACAGAGGTAACAAATATGACGGCGTTGCTGCGTTTTCAGTTTTTAGGTAAACGTACTTTATAGGTATTGTTCGAAGTTATCGCCGTTTGATTCAAAAACACAGGTGCGTGCACGACGTAGTCAAGCATCGGTGCAGGCTTTGAGAATGGAGTCCCTCCCCCGAATGAAAGCACCAGCTTGTTCAATTCTGAGACGAAGTTCGTCAACCGTATGCACTTCAGTTTTGTACACTAAGCGTTTCATTTCTCCCCAAAGAAAAAAATCACATGGTGTTAAGTCTGGAGATCGCGGAGGCCACGCTACGGGTCCATTACGTCTGATCCACCTATTCGGAAATAATTCATTCAAAAACTCACGCACTTCGCGTCTAAAATGGGGCGGTGCACCATCGTGCAAAAACCACATTGATTGTCTTACACTTAATGGCACATCTTCTAACAAGGAAGGCAAAATGTTGCGTGAAAAGTCTAGGTATTGCATCCCGTCCAATCGATTTGGGAGAATAAATGGTCCAATGAGCATACCGTTCACCATGCCAGCCCAAACATTCACCGAAAATGTTTGTTGAAAATGTGCCCGACGGACAGCGTGCGGATTTTCTGCTGACCAAACATGAGTGTTGCGAAAGTTATTCACCCCATTACGCGTGAACGTAGATTCGTCGGTCACCAATATGCACTTCAAAGAGTCCGGATTATTGTCACCACCCACAAAACCGCACTCTTGCTGGAAAATCGTCAGGTTGAAGGGCTTGTACACGTTGGACGTGAAACGGATACAGCCCCTCTTCACGCAGCGTTTGCCACACTTTAGTTTTTGATACTTGCACTTCTCTAGCCACGTCTCTAGTGCTTGTTGAGGGATTCTCGTCTACGCGATTACCTCTACACGCGTGACCGTAACCGTCGGTTGAAGGTTGCATACTGACCTGACACACTGACCCCGACCCAGTTCTGTCGTCGGGTTGAGCCAGTGACCTTGTACTAGTCGATGATGTCGCGGCTACAGGACGGTATTCAGATATTTTTGATGTTGCAGAGCCCTTTATCTCGGTTCCCTTAAGACATTGGTGTATATGGTACTAAGAAGAATTGCTTATGTTTTCAAGATCTACACGTCGTGTAAAGGAAAACCCCAACTTTGCGGACACCCTGTAGATTTACTAGTTATGCTACTATTACAATTTTGCAGATCAAAATCTATACTGCCTCTAGTTTCGTAGTTATGATAATGACTATTTCATTATGTATCGTCCGCAAATATTTGAATTTTGCAGTGTTCACTCACTTATTTCCTACTTTAGTTTTTTGACTTCTATTTACTAAATAATTTTGTAAAATGTGTAATACTGATCCTTTAAAGCCATAGTGACGCGATTTCATTAACAATTTTTCCCTATCTATAGTCTCAAATGCCCTTTTGATGTCCATGTATTGTTACAATATATTGTTTCTCATCTATACTTCTTCTCCAGTCTTCTACCACCATTTGGATTGTCGTTTCTGTGGAATATTTTTCTCTAAATCCAGCTTGATTTTTTATCAAAATATTGGTTTCTTCAATGAATTCTATGATTTCTTCGTTATCCCTTCGACCAGCTACTCAACATCGGGCAAGACATTAATCGGTCGCATATCTGTATACAGCTTTTTGAACTTTTGGCACAGGAGTAATGGTGGAACACTTTAATTTTGATGGGAATTCACCATGTACTAAACAATGATTCACCAATAATAATAATTTCCCTCCAATTATATTGAAACAATCATTTAGAATGTTTTTTGAGAGATTCTCACTTGGATTTTATTAGATTTCAATTTTGAGATAGCTTCTCTTAGATTGTTGCTGTTAATTGTCCTAAATTGCTTCATTGATGAATTCTGACATACTTGTAATAGACATAAGTTTGGTTCACCATCATAATAATCATTCGCTCTTTCTGCTATGATTAATTTGTGTGCCACTACCCCATCTTCGAAACGCATTTTAGATAATTCAGTCTTTCTATTAATGCTTTCCTCATCATCTTATAATTATTTTGAGAACTGCTTCACACTCATTTCTTGTTTTGTATATTGTTTCCAATCATTTTCATTTTGGGTTACTGAAAATTTTCTGTAGTCGTTATCGCGTTTTTATTTAGACTCCTTGAATATCTGCGAAAACCAAGGTGTTGGGGTCACTCTTTCATATATTATTTTCTTGACCATAGCTTCACTAATATTTTTATCCATATTATTCATAATTTGCTCGAAGTAATTGTAGCAAATAAAAATATTTTACGATGGCCTAACTATCCAGAAACCAACCAAACGACATTAGAAGAGTTTATATCCAAAAAGATCATGACCTACCAGTACTCACAAGGACTGGGTTTTTTCATATGATGCATAATGTACGTATAAACTTCGAAGTTGAGTCATTTATTTTAACAGTGAGTAGATCTGATCAAAAGAAATGTTTTTTCCTTTACCATTTTTCTGGTAAAATTAAAGTAACAAAGTTATAGCCCTTTGGAAGTTTGAGTACCGCCCTGTCTCAATAATAATATTATGTCCTCGTGTTTGGCGACAACGGATATAATCCGCCGTATCGGTTCATCGCATCGGAAACAAAAAAGCGAAAGAATTTGGAACGATGTTTTTACAATTACATATTTCATTCATTTGTATACAGTCAGTGTCAGTGAATAGTGGTATCTGTTGCGTGGCTCAAACGAAATAAAAAATGGCACATGCGGATCGGTTTCCCAATCGAGTGCAACCAACCCCTCGTGCCTTTGTTAATGTAGTACAACGGGCTCGTGAATCAGATGACTTAAGACCTCACAGGGGACCTCACGATCAAATACAGGTCCGCACTGAAATACTTGTCGGGAGGATACTTTATAAAACAAGGTAAAAATTTTTTTTAATTTTTTTTTTATTTTTACACACATATTTTGGTTTATCTTCCTTCTACAATCATTATCTGAAAATTAATGACTCAACTTCAAAGTCACCCTGTATATATATAACTTGAGACGTGGTCATTGTCGTCTAGACCAGTTAGGCGAAAAATTAAAGCTTCCGCCTTTTGTTGGGTACTTATACTTTTTTTAATTCTCTCTAGCTTTCAATGGACTTTGCCATCATCATCAGGAGCTGCAATTACAATGATAACAGTAGCAACAAAAGTGTAAAATGAATTTAAATTGAATTAACTTACAGTAGTATGTGAGGATGTTGCTAATTGTTGTTTTCGTATAGGATGAGGGAAACGTCCAGTAACATGGTGAGAGCTGGATATATGGTACAATGGTTAAAATTATGTAAAATATGACAAAACAAGTTAAAGACAGATTAAAAATTATTTAGAAAGAGAGAATTAAAAAAAGTATAAAGAGTCCTCTTTGCTTAAATATTGTCGAAGTACCCAACAAAAGGCGGAAGCTATATATACATATATTATTCTAGACTTTTAAATTTACTACCACTTTTCTCTCTTTTTTCTGTTTTTTAAACTTAATTGTCGTTGTTATTGACGTTTGTCTATGTGGCATGTATATGTGTATATATATTATTCTGAACCTTTTTTTTTTGAGAATTTACTACCACGTTTTTCACTATTCTCTCTTTTTATTAAAAAAATTATTTACTAGCATAATGTTCATAATAATTTCAAGGGATGAGTGGAAGAGCACTAGATAGTGGCTTCCCCTTGTGGTGCAAATCAACTGTCAAGTTTAGATCAGTTCAGCTTGCATTGCTGCTAAAGGATGGGAGTTTAAACATTTATTATGAATTCAATAAATACATTTTACGAATTTATAAAAGTGTCCTTACTGTCACTACGTATAATGACACTATCCGTCACTCCGTCTAAGAGAAAATGGAATTTGTAGTAGTAGGAACTAAGAGATCATCACATCGTTTAGATCTCTCCGATTTTAAAGCCTATAATTTGAAAAGTACACGACTTAGATCTTCTTACACAGGGTGTTTCACAACTTATCCGACAAATTTTACCCACATGTCCGCTGTTACGAAAGAAGTTGATTTCTCAAAAAAAGTGCAATAAAAGTCTTACGGAAATCGAAATAATAAAGTTTAACAATCCACTTACTTATAAAAGCTGTTCAAAATTGTTTCCATTGACTGCAACGCAAGCTTGACCGCGTCTAATCAAATTTCGGCGCACTAAAGATGTGGAAGACTTTAAAAAGCCGCATGATTGTGTAAATCAAGTTCAATTCGAAAACGGTACCGAAACAAATTCTTTGGTGATTGCAAACAAACTAAATGAATATTTTGTGGAAAGTATTGTTGATATTGTGGGTACAGCCAATGCTGCACCTGACTATATGAAAATCAGTTTCCAGTGGGAAATGTTGCATACACTTTCAAAATTTCACAGCGTATCATTGAATTATCTAAGAAAAAAAGTAAACAGTTTAAAATCTAATAACAACTGTGCCGAAATCACTACTAAAAACGTGCTGAAAAGCTGTTTCGAAATTTTGGGATATCCTGTATTAAATTGGATCAATTGTTCACTGAGAAGTAGTTCTGGTAATGAAAATTTGAAATGCTCTACAATAACACCAGTTTCCAAAATAAAAAATTCTAAAAGATGCAGCGATATGAGACCAGTAAATGTGTTACCAGACATTGAAAGATTATTAGAGTCCATAGTGCATGACCAATTAATGCAGTTTATAGAAGAAAACAAAATTTTAGTGGAGGCGCAAGCAGGCTTTCGAAAAAAATATTCCACAGACACAGCTTTCCAGTTGGTAACTGAGAATTGGAGAAGAGCCATAGACTCAGAAGAAGTTGTCATGCAAGTTACAAAAGTTAATGACACTATTTCATCAAAAATTGAAAATACGTTGGGTGTTCCACAGGGCAGTATCCTGGGACCACTTCTTTTTATTTTATACATAAATGATTTACCTGCCATAGTCAAAAAATGCAAAATTCAGATTTTCGCCGATGACACTCTGATTTATATAAGTACTAAAAATATTCAGTCTGGTATCTCTTATATAAATGAAGACTTGAAGCTTGTCTCAAAATGGTTAGCATCTAACAGACTAAAATTAAATGCAAGTAAAACGAAAGCCTTGTTAATCGGAAAAAAACAATGTACAAATATTCAACTGAATATTGATGGTGAAGATATTGAATTCGTAGAAAATTTTAAATACCTGGGGGTTTTTGTTGACTCTCGATTAATTTTTGATATTCATTATGAAAAAGTTATAAATAAGATTAGTAGTAAAGTGGAATATTTATCGAGAGTTTCTGGATGTCTGAGTTCATATAGCAGAAAAATTATCTATAATACCATCATTCTTCCAAATTTCTTGTACTGTTCGACTATTCTATATTTAGCAGATAATTCCATTTTTGAAAGACTGCAAATTTTACAAAATAAGTGCATGAGAATAATACTAAATAAAGATAAATATACTCCAATTATGCAAATGCTTAGCAAATTAAAATGGCTCAATGTAAAAAATTTTATCAAATATCTTGTAATGATATTCATTTATAAAGTAAAAAATAATATATTTCCATCAAGTCTAACTAATCTAACATCATCAAATGTCGACCATCATTTACATAATACCAGAAATAAAGATGACTTCCATTTTATGACCAAAAATATGCTACAAATCTGTATTCCATCAAGGGTTGATTGAATATAATAAATTATACTCGGAGATAAAAGACCAGAAAACTTTGACAAAATTTAAAGTAAAACTGTGAAATCACTTGTTAAATCTACAATTATAGGTTGCCCAGCATTTGCATACACCATATGGCTTAAATTTACTAGTTCTAAGTTGTTTACAGTTGTTCTGTTTATGTAGCCAAATGTGCTAAATAAATCTTTCTACTACTACTACTACTACTACTACTAATTCAAATACAACAACACAAATTCGCAAAATACTTACTCTTATTTAACTTCACAGAAATCGACCGTTCTTCATTCAGATCACCCAAGATACAGATTAAACCTTATTTGCTTATTCTCTTTATTATGAAAAAACAAAAAAGTCCTGGTATTTTGTTTTCGTCAGTTGTTTGGTACAACATTTGCTAGAATAAATTATTAATGCGTGTTCTAATATCACGACGATGAACGCAAAATGAAGATATTCATTTTTCAATTTATTATTGAAACTCCGGTTTATAACTTAATTTCTGCAAGACTTTTATTACCTTTTTTATTATTTGAGAAATCAACTTCTTTCGTAACAGCCCAATTAACAATTATCACTCCTATTAGAATTGCAAGAATGATTATACAGTATTCCTTACACAGCATTGTATACTGTAAGAACGTTTGCAAAACCCTCTTAGAACAGCTATACAAGCGAAATGGGCACACCTAATAAGACGCTTGAGTCATTTAAGAGGCTGTATAAGGGCTGCAGGTAACAGTTATACAACAAAAGTGTACGCCTCTTGCAGCCGCTATAGGACATTTGCGTCAGTGCAAGATTCAGTTTTTGTCAACTATACAACTATTCTGTTACGTGATTCTACTTTATTACAAGCAAACTATTTCTTATGTATTGTATAGACGAAGTGAAGAATATAATAACAGTCATCTTGTTTACTTACATATCGGCCATTGTGAATTTCATACACAAGTACCTATATGACAAACGTCTACACTGTGATATAGGGCTATTGAATTACTTGCGCAGCAAAAGTATGCCTAGATTTTTAAGATGGAAAACTGAACTTATCTGCGTTAAATCTTCCACATCCTATATATAGACACAATTACACTAATGTTTATCACTTCATATCTGTAATTTCGAACTGAAACATAATTATTTAATATTAAATAGAGGAATAAATGTTTGCCCAATATGGCGGGTGGTTGTGTATAATCATGGCATCGTCCATGTTGTCGTTAGCTTAATAGAATATTTTGGTGTTGTCTGCAGGTGTTATACAACAATTTGACAAATGTCTGAAATGAAATACCGACAGAGTCGAATGATTTACCCAGCACTTTTACCAGATCTATATATTCTGTTTGAACAGTTGATAAAACCTTTTGAACCACTATGCATGCGTTGTTTGTCTTAAAACATTGGTTATGGCATTTTAACAAAAATATGACAGCAGAAAGTTAGGTTATGGTGAAGTTGTATACCAACATATTTAGCAACAAATGTATGCCGAGCACAGCAATTTTGTACTACCAAAGTTGTAATATTGTTGCATATGTACAGTCACTAAGGCCCGTATCGTCAGTTGTCCCTACAATTGTAGGGCGCCTTTATGGCCTCCTTGATTGTAATAGCTTTCTACTTCTCCGTCAGCGCTCTATTTTGAGGTTATGTCACAAACATCTATTTGCATCAAACTGTGCTTGCTTTATATCATGTTTTATCAGCCTCAAATTTCCTACAATTTAAAAAGAAAACATATCTTCACAATAGGAGAGCGCTGACGCTGACACGGGACAAGTGTAATCTAGAAATTTTTGAAAGAGAGAAAGGGGTATCAATCAAGGAGGCCATAAACGCGCCCTACAATAATTGTAGGGACGACTGACGATACGGGCCTAAACAACAGTTGTATAAATACTTCCGTTGGGAGCAATTTGTTGGCTAAAGTAGTACATTTGCACAGCAAAACAACAAGGCTCGGGTTTGTTGTATAAACGTTACCATGGATGCCACAATACAACCAATTTGATTAAAGTGCAAATATGCCGTATAAACGTTTATGAAACAGTTAAAAATTTGTCCTATAAGGTGTTGTATAACTATGCTATAAGAATATTTTAAACACCTCATTTTAGAGCAAATATGCTGCAGAAAGCAAATTTGCATTCCACACAACATTAAGCCAGCATTTTGGTGTTCAGGCAACAACAACAGAGAGCTTTTATAGCTGAACGGTTCTTTTACCGAAAGCTTATAGCACTACTTTGCTAGTTGGGAGTGCGTATGTGGTTAAAATCTGTCGTATAAGTTGTGAAAAACCTTGAATTTTTCTGACGATTATTCGATAACTATCCCCCGTTTCCGGCTTGACATCGACTTCCGGAACACCCTGTATGATTTTTGATACGCTTGTTCGCCTACACGACTTGAATAAGCCTCCCCTTCTGCAGGTCAAGTGGGCTCCAGATTTACCAGATGGAGAGCTGAATTTCTTTTCCGTGGCAGCTGATGGAAAGATCAACAATTGGGTACTGATGCAAAATGAGCTCGCCGTTACCACTATTATCACATTATTTCTGGACAAGGATCCGGCGTCTGGACCTGATGGAACGCTGTTGAGGGCAATAGGTAATATATTCGCTTACGATTGATCATTTTCATATTTTTCGGCTCAGTTCGTATGTATGGCGCGGCAAGTAAAACGGTAATTTTGTTTCATATATGATGGGTACAGGGGAAAAAAGAAGAATGTCTGAAAAAGTAAGTTTCAAGAAAAGCGAATATAATAGTTTGAAGACTCCTAGGTCGTTGTACAGGGTGGGCCAAAGATCCGATGGAATACCATAGATTCCTTATTAGGAGGAAATAAAAAAAAGTCGAATTACAAATAATTTGTTTATACAGGGTGTCCCAGAAGTCGACGTCAAGCCGAAACCGGGTGATAGGCAAAGTCATAACAGCTATCAGAAAAATATTTAAAAAAATTTTATGTATGTGTTTTGAAAATTATAGGTGTTTGAAAAAGATATAGAAATTTCACACCCTACGGCAGTCTGTCAACTCCTGTTACTACAAATATTAACTTTTTTTGGACTTTATTTTTACAATGTAATGATGAATAATGCATCTTCAAACTGGTGTCTCAACCTTACCGCCAACTTTTCTCGTTCAGGAAAAATTGCCACTTATTTCCCAACCAAGTATTCCAAAGTAAAACTTTGCTTAACTTTAACTGGCTGTACTGAAAAAAAATGTACTACGAGAGTCTGGCAAGTAACCTTAAAAGTTAGCGCATTTAATAAGGATTCCAAAATGGTATAACACTTAGAAGATTACTCGTTAACTTATGCACAATTTTTATTTGAAGAAAAACTGATGAACATTTTTCAAAATTTCCTAATTAAACAACGATTATGAAAACGCACAAGGACCCTTAAGGATAACTGTTTGCACAACAATGGGCGTCAAAATGCTGCTGATGATGATTTACCTTTACAGCAAATGCTCAAACTGTTTTCCTTCAGCCGCAATACACGCTCGACATCTTCTTAAAAAAGATCGGGTTATTAAACGAGCGAATCCACGGTTATCAACAAACTCAGCTGCTTCCAATAGTCTTTGCCGTAGCTCAGCTACATTTTGAATCGGCTTGAAATACACTTTTTCTTTTACAGTTCCCCAGTAAAAAAATCTAAAGGATTCAAATCAGGTGATCGGGCTGGCCATCATGCTGAAACCACATGTCCCTGTAAGTACTCAGTGGCACGTCCACCAATAAATTTTGTACTTGATTTTTCAAAAAATCCAAATAAACTTCAGCAGTCAAAGTCTCTGGGAACTCAAACGGACCGATTATTTTACCATTTAAAATTCCTGTCTAATGGTTTATCTTGAAGCGATATTGAGATTTATCTTCTCTCATCAAATGTGGGTTTGCTACGTGCCACTCGTGTAAGTTATGCAGGAGAGGTTGAACACGCTGTATGTGGTATGGATGAAGCACATCACTTACTTGCTATTGCACACTTTGATACCGATCAGTACTCCTTCGTTTACTGCGCATCTTTACATGTTCGTGCTTGTTGCTTTCGTACTGTTACTAATTTTGGATTTGTGAACTGGACTGTTGATCGCTTGTGATTTGTATTTGGACTGTTTAATTGCTCTTCAAAACAACATTTGCTTTCCTTAGACTATCTTTGATAGTGTGATTGTGCAGTGCCGCTATGTCCGTGTACACCGTACAAGAATATGCTAACATGCACCTCATTTATGGGGAATGCAGGTGCAACGCTAGTGCTGCAGCGAGACTTTACTGTGAGAGGTACCCGAATGCAGCTCGTCATCCAGATCATCGAGTGTTCACAAATGTGCATCGCTTACTGTTCTGAGAGGGCCAACTACCAAACCAATCACACGGTGAGGGAAGATTTTTCCTTCCTTACGAAGACGTGGTGCTAGGAGCTGTCGAAGAAGACCCGAGTACTTCTGTGCGTGCAATAGAACTAAAAACAGCTGTGCCCAAAAGTACGTCCCATAGAATCTTGCAAAAAAACGTGCTCGATCCATACCACGTACAGCGTGTTCAAGCTCTTCTGCCCCGGGATTATGAGCCCCGAGTTGCTTTTTGTCGCACAATGTTAGAAAGACACAGGGAAGATACACGGTTCTTTGAAAAATTTTTACGGTCAGATGAGACCACATTTAAGAAAGATGGGTACATGAATCTGCATAACTTACACGAGTGGCACGTAGCAAACCCACATTTGATGAGAGAAGATAAATCTCAATACCGCTTCAAGATAAACCTTTGGACAGGAATTTTGAATGGTAAAATAATCGGTCCGTTTGAGTTCCCAGAGACTTTGACTGCAGAGGTTTATGTAGGTTTTTTGCAAAATCATTTAGAAAATTTATTGGAGGACGTGTCACTGAGTATTTACAGGGACATGTGGTTTCAGCATGATGGCTGCCCAGCGCGCTATGCACTCTCAGTGAGAGAGTATCTCGATCAAAACTTTCCAGGCAGATGGATAGGGCGGTCTGGTACAATATCGTGGCCAGCCCGGTCACCAGATTTGAATCCGTTAGATTTTTTTTACTGGGGAACTGTAAAAGAAAAAGTGTATTTCAAGCCGATTCAAAATGTAGCTGAGCTACAGCAAAGACTATTGGAAGCAGCTGAGTTTATTAATAACCGTGGATTCACTCGTTAATCTTTTTTAAGAAGATGTCGAGCGTGTATTGCGGCTGAAGGAAAACAGTTTGAGCATTTGCTGTAAAGGTAAATCATCATCAGCAGCATTTTGACGCCCACTGTTGTGCAAACAGTTATCCTTAAGGGTCCTTGTGCGTTTTCATAATCGCTGTTTAATTAGTAAATTTTGAAAAATGTTCATCAGTTTTTCTTCAAATAAAAATTGTGCATAAGTTAACGAGTAATCTTCTAAGTGCTATACCATTTTGGAATCCTTATTAAATGCGCCAACTTTTAAGGTTACTTGCCAAACTCTCGTAGTACATTTTTTTCCAGTACAGCCAGTTAAAGTTGAGCAAAGTTTTGCTTTGGAATACTTGGTTGGGAAATAAGTGGCAATTTTTCCTGAACGAGAAAAGTTGACAGTAAGGTTGAGACACCAGTTTGAAGATGCATTATTCATCATTACATTGTAAAAATAAAATCCAAAAAAAGTTAATATTTGTAGTAACAGGAGTTGACAGACTGCCGTAGGGTGTGAAATTTCTATATTTTTTTCAAAGACCTATAATTTTCAAAACACATACATAAAATTTTTTTAAATATTTTTCTGATAGCTGTTATGACTTTGCCTATCACCCGGTTTCGGCTTGACGTCGACTTCTGGGACACCCTGTATATACAGGGTAGCCCAAAAGTGAAGGTAGACCAAACATTTTTTCAACGGAAAATCCTTTTTGTTGGTTGGTACCGCCTCGGTCGACTGTTAATTCTTTTGCTTGTTAAGGTCAAATACGGTTGGTCCCAGAAGTACCCGACCCAACGAAGAAAACACAAAAATTTTGTAAAAAAATATATTTATTTTGTAACATAATCTCCTTTGAGCTCTATACTCTTCAGTAAGTTCGATACCCTTTTTATAATAAGAACTGTTTTGCTTCTCAAAATAGCCATTAACTGCCGACAGCACTTCTGCATCGTTGGAAAATCTTTGCCCACTGAGCCATTTTTTCAAGTTTGGAAACAGAAAATAATCCAAGGGGGCTAAATCTGGTGAATAGGATGCATGAGGTAGCAATTCAGACTTTAATTCGTTAATTTTGGTCATTGCAATAACGGATTTGTGAGCTGGCGCATTGTCTTGATGAAACAACACTTTCTCCTTAACCAACTGCAGCCGTTTTTGCTTGATTTCATCGCTCAAACGTTGCAATAAGTTCGCATAATACTCGCCGTTGATAGTTTTACGTTTTTCAAGATAGTCAATGAAAATTATCCCACGCGCATCCCAAAAAACCGACGCCATAACCTTGCCTGCAGAGGAAACGGTCTTCGCCTTCTTTGGAGCCGGTTGTCCCCTTTGAGTCCATTGTTTTGATTGTTCTTTTGTCTCCGGTGTGAAGTGATGGACCCATGTTTCATCCATGGTTATGAAACGACGCAAAAATTCTGCTTTGTTGCTGTGAAACTTCGCGAAATACTCAATTGAAACATCTTCATGACACCGTTTTTGCTTGATTGTGGGCAATCGCGGCACCCATCTTGCACACAGCTTTCTCATGTCCAAATTTTCAGATAATATGCGATGAACCGTACTTCTTGAAATACCTGCTATGTCTGCTAGCTCGCGCACTTTCAGTCGACGATCATTCAGTACCGCTTTGTGAATTTTCTTCACCATTTCTGGAGTCGTCACCTCATTTGGTCGACCACTGCGATACTCGTCTTGGCAGCTCTTACGGCCTCGTTTAAACTCCGCTACTCAATATTTTACTGTTGTAAACGAAGGACCAGACTCACCCAGAGTAGAATCCAGTTCAGCCTTTGAAATAAAAGTATTGTACCACATAACGATGACCAATTTTCTCCATTTTCACAAATTCACTGAAAACGTTCACTATTGATGGCTGACAAACAAATACTAAACAACGTGGCGTCTTCAAACTTGACATATAAGCTTTATAGGTTGCATACTTTCTAATACAATGATATTTTTCAAACAACTATCGCCATCTCTAGGTCAGGCCGGGTACTTCTGAGACCACCCTCGTATACCTAAAGTGTCCCGGTACTTAAATATTATCTATTTGAATCATCCTGTTGTTAAGCTTTCGGTTATGCATATTGCAGGGAGCGAATTTTGTTTTCAGCCTGTGCGTCGTGCGTGAAGCTGCACCCAGACAAGCCTCTCGTTTACTTGGTCGGCACTGAAGAGGGACATATCTATAAATGCAGTACCGCGTACAGTTCGACGTACCTCATGACTTACTATGCCCATACGATGCCTGTTTGTAGGATAGATTTCAACAGATACAACACGGACATATTCATATCTTGCAGCGCCGACTGGAGAATCAAGATATGGGAAGATGAAAGACAGTATGTAAAAATCTTTTATCTACTCACCTTTAATGGATGATGATTATGCAAGACGTCACTACTTGCTGTTGTACAACGGGTTACTTGACACATATCTAATTTAATAAATGCTTACAGTATTTGGCTCAGAAAAACGCAATGTATCGATTTCCGTCGGTTCTGAGTGAAATTTTTTCATTCTGGAATATTCGACAGATTTCAGCTTTGGCTTCTCGCCCAACCAAATTGTAGATACTCGTTCTGATTTCTAATTTATGCGACATCTCCAAGCGAAAACTTTAAAATAAATAAATGTCAACTGACTGAACAAGCGTTTGTTTCTAAATGCAACTTGATATTATTTTGTTTGTTAAAATAGAAGCCAATGAGTTTTTTAGGAAATACGTTATAAGACCAATTAAAAAAATATTTGTTATACAGGGTGTCCGCAAAGTTGGGGTTTTCCTTTACACGACGTGTAGATCTTGAAAACATAAGCAATTTTTCTTAATACCATATACACCAATGTCTTAAGGGAACCGAGATAAAGGGCTCTGCAACATCAAAAATAGCTGAATACCGTCCTGTAGCCGCGACCCGCGACATCACCCAGTGGTACAAGGTCACTGGTTCAAACCGACGACAGAACTTAGTCGGGGTCAGTGTGTCAGGTCAGTATGCAACCTTCAACCGACGGTTACGGTCACGCGTGTAGAGGTAAACGAACTCGTATAATCGATTGCGTTTCAAAAAACAACAAGCACTAGAGACGTGGCTAGAGAAGTGCAAGTATCAAAAACTAAAGTGTGGCAAACGCTGCGTGAAGAGGGGCTGTATCCGTTTCACGTCCAACGTGTACAAGCCCTTCAACTTGACGATTTTCCAGCAAGAGTGCGGTTTTGTGAGTGGTGACAATAATCTGTACTTTTTGAAGTGCATATTGGTGACCGACGAATCTACGTTCACGCGTAATGGGGTGAATAACTTTCGCAACACTCATGTTTGGTCAGTAGAAAATCCGCACGCTGTCCGTCAGGCACATTTTCAACAAACATTTTCGGTGAATGTTTGGGCTGGCATGGTGAACGGTATGCTCATTGGACCATTTATTCTCCCAAATCGATTGGACGGGATGCAATACCTAGACTTTTTACGCAACATTTTGCCTTCCTTGTTAGAAGATGTGCCACTAAGTGTAAGACAATCAATGTGGTTTCTGTGTCTGCTCGGTAGCGCTGCAGCTGATTTCATTTTCTGTTGGAGCGGTATGATATCGGGCAGAGACGTACTTAGCTCTCCTCGTCAACTGGAGAGTGAGTACTTTTTCCTTTATTTTTTTTCTACTTGGTCGCCGTCGTTTCACTACACATTACCTTTGTTATTTCAAGGGTAGTTGTTTCTGAAAAGGAAAACCCCAACTTTGCGGACACCCTGTATAATGATGTGAATGTAGATTAGTTCCCACGTTATGAACACCACCACCAAATTACAACAAAATAAGTTAAAGGACATTTAACATATTTACGAAAAATCTTTGTTTTTAAATTCAATATCCTGTAAATTACTCAAAGAATCGTCTATCAAATTTATGGTACATATTCAATCAAACGCCCAAAAAGGGCGACTATTAGAATAAAAGTTCCAAGATGGCATCCAACCGCCACCTTGAAATTATAAATTGCCACTTTATAGTATTTATGCATCCCGAATGTGAACTTGATCCGTTCAAAAAATATCTGGGCGCCCTTTCGAATAGTACTGTATATTTTCAACAACGCGAAATCTTTTCAGAGAGCCGCTTTTTGTATTTGACGTTGGAGATAGAGTGGGCGACGTCAAATGGGCTCCGTACTCTTCTACCGTTTTCGCGGCTGTCACAGCGGAAGGAAGGGTGTACGTTTTCGACTTGAACGTGAACAAATACAAACCTATCTGCGTACAAGCAATCGTGTCGCGAAGAAAGAATAAGGTCACCAGAATTTCCTTCAATCCAAAGCTGCCGATACTGATTGTCGGAGATGATAAGTAAGTTACATACTTTCATTACTTAACAATGACTCAATAACCTCCCTCCTAGGCTTAGAGCAAAAAAGCATTGCATTGGGTCTTGGATGCATTTATGGAAAGATTGTGCGGTTCTGAAAATTGACAGAGCCTTTCACTATCAGAGTTTAAATTAGTTTGAGCATCGTGGATATTATCTATATATTGCAGCTTCGATAAGAAACCTGGTGTACCACAAAGCGACATCTAGAATGTTAGAGATCACTTCGCGTCGATCTAGAAGGCGATGCACTCTCACGATCCTCACAGTCGCCGCCAGGCGGCTTGTGCGCCGTGGTTCGCGTAAAAGCAGAGAGCCGCAATTAAGCTCTGGCCCAACAGATGGCGCTATTTGTCACAGTATCTCCGAGTTGTTGAAATATCTTGCCAACGGAAAAAGTAGCGGCCCAAGGTCAGATGCTTCGGGTACACCAGACGTAATTTCCTGATAAATTTGATTTCTTGGATATTTTTAAAGAAACACATCGAGAACGATTCTGAAAAAAAGTATTATCTTTTTGATAGAAGCCATAGTTCCTTGTCGGTTTCCGAGTATATCCATTTTTCAACAGCTATGTTTTTAGGGGTTGCGTGACGACTTTGAAGCTGTCGCCAAATTTGAGAATAATGTGCAAAGCACCGAAGAAACAACAGCATTTGGACCAATGGACGCTGCAGTGCATGAAGTTGGACAAGCTGCTCGCTCTCGTGCGCGAACCAGTTACATTGACGTTACCTGAAGATACAGCAGGGTCTGAGGATTCATAAGAAATGTGATTTTAAAATATATTTATTAACACTTATTAAACTTCTACACAACACAAAACTTTATAAAATCTATAACATGTCTTGGCACCTAAACTTTTATCTACAAGAAGGAACGATACAAGGAGAGGAGCTATTTTTATTGAGTACAATGAATGTTTAATTTACAGAACGACATATGAATTACCTAATAAACGATATATTTCCTTAATCTAGACTGTTATTCATCGAATGACAATATGTTAATTTCTTGAAAAGCTGAAGGGTATTTGATATCTAACAAGGTATTTAGTACTGTACGGGGTGCGATGAAATGTCAATTGGCAACAACGTTATACCCGTTTTACATCAACAATCTCTTTACGAATTCATTCAGATGGTGTTCTTCAAGCTCATCCTGATTGTTTTGTGGTGTTTACATCTATGGAGCCTACATACCGGGAGAATCCGTGAAATGAAAAATAACTTAACGCCTAATTGAGGGCGTTGTAATCTCAAGCTGATACGTCAGTTTGCTACTACATTAAAACATTTTGACTAGGTATGCCAATTAGGGTCATCCTTGTCTGCTAAATATGTTGGAGCTCGTTCAAAATAATAATAATAATAGCATTCATTATCCAAAAGAATTTGTATAATTCCATTTACAGGACAGTACAATGAGTTAAATGGCAATCCGTTTGTTAAGCATCCCACAAACCGGCGCGAAATAATCGCGGCGAAGTATTCGCAACGAAATTCAGAGCGGAATTCGCAATCTGTTTCGCCTGTTTATTCATACCAAAGCGTCTTATTCGCTCCGCGAACGTGAAGGTTTCGACAGGTTGCGTACATTTTATTTTTGCCTTTTGCAATGAGCTCGTCTTCAGAAGAAGAGGAGGCACTTCTATTTCTTGCTTTAGAAGAGGAACAAAATGCACGGTAAGTTATGTTTATTTAACGCCATTTGATAGTTGGGTATGTATTAAGTTTAACGAAGTACATAAAACAAATATTTTCAATTTTGTTTAGGAAACGAAGGAAGTGGGTACATGATATTAACTTGGAACGAAATAAATTTGGCGAATACCATACATTGATGCCACAACTTCGGCTGGATGAACAGCGCTTTTACGTATATTTTAGAATGACTCCAGAGTGTTTCGATGAAATATTGAACTTGGTGAAAGATGAAATACGAAAATCTGACACAAATTATCGTGAAGCTATTTCGCCAGAAGAACGACTTGCTATTACACTCAGGTAAAAAAATTATATGTATTAAAATTAGTAGGCTTATCGAATACGAAAACTTCAGGGATCGTGAAATAAATATTTTATTGTAATAATTGGACTACATGTTGCCACTAGGATTAAATGTTGCTAAATAATTCGAGGCAGAATTTGCCTCCTCTGTTGGGTATATTATTGGAGTAAACCCAGTGCCACTTGGGAAGGACGACATACTACTATCATACATACTTGCAGAATTCTGGGTAGTAGACGCTGAAGACATTTCTTCAATATGTTCAAATTCTTCGTGCGGTATTAATTCGGCTATTTTTAGTTTTATTCGGGCTTGACGCTTTAAGGGAAGTGTTTTCACAGTCTGTGCATGTGCCAAGAAAAGTGAATCAATGGCCTCGTTCTCTTTTTTAGGTTTTTTACCTTCAAAATAATTAATGAGCTGTTGTACAGACGAAGATGGTGGTTCATAGCGTTTTCTGCTCGTTTTATATTTTGGTGTAGTTGCTGTCTGCGAAAAGGTGTGCCCTAGAGTAGTCACTGCTGTAGTGTACTATGAAGAAGGTGGTGCTGTCTGTGTTGCCGAGGCGTTCTGTGCATCTTCTGCATCTACATCAGCATTTTCATCTTCTCCATGGCCGCGGTCTTCCAAATTTTCGGTTTCTACATTTCCAGCCCTTTCCTGATATATATTTGAGTTAAATTCGGCAGTCTCATAATGTATGACGTCAATATCTTTCACATTAGACGACGTTTTGGCAAATGCCAAAAAAGGACGGAAAAATTCCATGTAGTCAGCCCACTGCCATTTTTTTATGTTGCCCACTGCTTGGCCGGTCTTTGGTTTGGTAGATTTTATATATTTTGCAAATGTGTCTCTGATATTCTTCCACCTTTTTTTTACTTCATCACCTAAACACGATTTTTTTTATAGATTCCTTGCCACTGGTGCACCTTCTATACCATTGGGCATAGCTTTCGAGTTGGCTTTACAACAGTGAGTGCAATCGTAACCGAAGTCTGTGAAGCGATATGCAGACTTATGGAGCATATATATTTACCAGAACCAACAGAGAATATATGGAAAAAATGTGCTGAAGAATTTGAAAATAGATGGGGATTTCCCAATTGCATTGGCAGCGTGGACGGTAAACATGTAACAATCAACAGACCTAACAACAGTGGCTCCAATTACTGGTGCTATTTACATAAATATTCAATAGTACTTATGGCCATTGTTGGCCCGGACTATAAATTTATATGTGTTGATATTGGTGGTTTCGGAAAAAATAGTGATGGGGGTATTTTCGAAACCTCAAACTTGGGAAAACGATTTGAACAAAATTTAATGAGTGTCCCTGCACCTAGATTTCTGCCTGGGCAAAATGAAATCTGCTCGTACGTCTTAATTGGTGATGAAGCATTTGCTTTAAAACCATACCTTATGAGACCATTTCCTTATAAGCAGACTTTAACAGACATCAGAAAAGAGAAATACAATGTAAGACTTTGTCGAGCTAGAAGGGTCGTGGAAAATGCGTTTAGAATTTTGTCTCAAAAATGGCGAATATTTTACAGGCCATTAGAAACTAAAGTAGATACTACTATTCTAATTGTACGTACGGCATGTGTTTTGCACAATTTTTTACGAAGTAAAAATGGCGATGACAAATATTTTCAATTCTTAGATCCCCCAGAACCCGTGCTTGGATCCTTGGCGGGCAGCAAGGCTTGCATTTTCTACTAGTGACAAATTCGTAAATTATTTTAATTCTGATATGCCTATGCCCAATATATAGAATGTTCGTTTTCACATTTGTGTAGACTGTAAATTATTTAACAAGTTAATAAAAAATATTAGGTACATACCATTTGTATTTAATTCTTTTCCTATTTCCATCCAAATCTTGTCTTTCTTTCTCACATTCCTGTATTCATCGTTCGACAAATCATACAAACAAGGATACTTTTTCACTATTTCTATCAATAATTCCGTTTTTGCCATTGCGAATTTTTGAAGAACGGCGTCAAAAACGCGGTCAAAGGCGAACTGAAATACGCCGCGATAAAAACGCTGGAACAATCGCATTCGCTTCGCACAAGTCTGAGCCTGTCCGTAAACCGCCGCGTTTTAATCTGATCGCGAATTCATCGCCGCGAAATTTTCGCAGCCAAAGCGAATATTTCGCGCCGGTTTGTGGGATGCTTTAGTGTTCATGTGGTAGATCCGTCGAAGCACAACGTTGCCAGATCGGCAAGCACAGAAATTCCTCAGAATTACTACCTTTTCAAAAAAAATCCCCAAATCACAGTTAATTATGGAAAAGGGATAGGTTTAAGTGCGAGGATATTTTCTATCCGTGAAATGTATGATGTCCTCCAGAACATTATATCCCGAAAAAATTCCCCAAATTTGGGCAAACCTGTCAAAGAACAACAAGTACTCCACGCGTCAAGTTTTTACAAAACGAACAACATTCCCCACGTTTCTCCTGGTATATACATACATATAAAAAACCCAAATTACCATTTTTCTCTGTAGACGATCTTGAATATAAACTGCAATTGAGTTTGGGACAGGTAAAAGTATTATTGATCAGAATATAATACAATATCAAATACTCGTAGCAGACATATCGCTATCGAAATAATGTGATCTCATGTGACTACAATACAGGGTGACTTTGAAGTTGAGTCATTAATTTTCAGATAATGATTGTAGAAGGAAGATAAACCAAAATATGTGTGTAAAAATAAAAAAAAAATTTACCTTGTTTTATAAAGTATCCTCCCGACAAGTATTTCAGTGCGGACCTGTATTTGATCGTGAGGTCTTGGAGCACCGGCATGCCGTCCATATGTGAGGTTTTAAGTCAAATGATTCACGAACCCGTTGTACTACATTAACAAAGGCACGAGGGGTTGGTTGCACTCGATTGGGAAACCGATCCGCATAAACATGTGCCATTTTTTATTTCGTTTGAGCCACGCAACAGACACCACTATCCACTACCGACTGACACTGACTGTATACAACTGAATGAAATAATTGTAAAAACATCGTTCCAAATTCTTTCGCTTTTTTGTTTCCGATGCGATGAACCGATACGGCGGATTATATCCGTTGTCGCCAAACACGAGCACATAATATTATTATTGAGACAGGGCAGTACTCAAACTTCCAAAGGGCTATAACTTTGTTACTTTAATTTTACAAGAAAAATGGAAAAGGAAAAAACATTTCTTTTGATCGGATCTACTCACTGTTAAAATAAATGACTCAACTTCAAAGTCACCCTGTATATTCACTGAATGAAAGTAGTTACGTCACAACGTCAAATAATGACAGTGACGGATATGGTTGCCACATTAATTAAAACTACTACAAAATCTACTTTATGTCTTCGCAACCAACAATACGGAGCGTATATTTTATAAGCGCTGGAGCTAGTCACAGTGGCAGACCTTAACCAACATTACAGTACCTTGCGTATTAGTGACTGATTTTCAATGTATCAGGGACACGCTGTTAAGAAAATACGTAGATTAGTAGATGAATAAATTCTATTTACTACCTAATGCCTCTGTTTTACGGACTGTAAAGGCAATAATGGAGCTCCATAATCTCGTTCGGTCTCAAAACTTTTTTTTATAAAATAACATTGCAAATACTGAGGCAAAAAGAACGAAAATAAGCCACAAATAAACAACCTGACAAGCGACAATGTCACAACACCGAAAACTGTTACCAACATAAATGTACCCGGGCAATTCAAACTATACGTACCAATTTAGGATCTATTTTGAATTAAGGTTAGCGTTCAAATTTACTAAATATGACGCAACTCCTTTGTTTCAGTTAAAGGACTATATAAACTACAGACGTTTCCTTTTGCGCGGTTATAGAATTTCAATTTCCAATAAAGATATAATGAAAAATTGCTATGCTTGAAACCACCTTTGCTTATATTTATCACTTCTAATATTTTAACGCTAGTCTCACTAATAATAGGATCACAAGAAAATTGGAAGAGTCGATTATATTTTTTAAATCTTTGGCACTAGAAATGTGTAGCTATCATTGACAATAACTGATTTTGATGTGATCCTTAGACGGGTCAGCAGAAACGTTATATACAAGACATACATCGAAAATTTTAGAGTTTTTCACACCTCAGCAGATACAGAGAGTTGGAATATTTTATCTTTGCAAAGATAGAAATAAATAAGTTAATATGAATATAATGTATGACAAGTTTTTATTATAATTAGCAATGCTCCAATATTACAATCTACAGTGAAAGCAAATGTCTATTTTCGATGTCCACATTTTTCGACTATCGCAAGAATATGCAAAAATCGAGTGAAGAGGTCGTACAGTTTGCGGCCAGCTTTAACAAATGAAATACATTTATGGTCGATAATTATCACATAGTAAAGTTTTAGAGCAAAATCGGTGTAGCTACATTTTTATTTTATTATATCGTATTACGGAAACCTCAATTTAGCAGGATCTGGATATTCCGGATTTTCAATAGCGCCACTTCCATACTTCATTTCCAGAAAATCCCGTATGTTATTCGGACTCGGTACACTCCTACCCACAAAATCTATACTTGACATAGGGTGCAAGAAATTCTCCGGGAATTCCATATTCCTATGGCTCGTAAACCAAGAATCTCTAACCATAGTGCCGTTTTTCGAATAAAAAGGAAACAGATTGACGTGGATCTTGTTGGTCCTACTAAAATGGACGTGGTAATAGTTACCCTCGGTAGCTTTCTCCCAGAGAAACCCTTTGTTGTCTATGACCGGTCGGTCTTTAGCTTGCTTCAGCCAATGGCATCTAGTTAGGTCTTCTCTGACAAATCCGACATCCACGTCGTGATCCCACGGCAGTATGTCACCACTCCTCATTGCGCCGAGCAAACTACCAGCTTCCAACCAATACCTGATCCCAGATTCATCCAAAATACCGAAAGTGTACCTTGCAGTTTTCCTCAGGTTTGAGAGACAGCAAGGCGGTGTCCACTTTTTCTCATACAGATAAGACGGCATATTTTCCAGCACCGTACCAAAACACCTAGACGTATCTTTGGTACAACCATACCATTCCGTAATGCCACTTTCCTTGACCACTTGTTTGATCTTGAATAAATTATATAACTTCTTCAAACGCTGCGCTTCGGTTTGCTTTAGCTTCCACTGGGCATGATGGGAACGAAGAATCGGTTTACCTTCGTGGAACGATAGGCCTTTGACAATTTTTACCTAGAAATAATATGTTTGCTATCGACGAATATTCAAATGAAGAATATTGCAAAAAATGTACAGCACTTCTCATAGTCTCAGTACATTTTCGCGAAAAAAAGTTTATAATACGATTATTCTACTGTATTTACTATACTGTTCAAGTATCTTGTTCGCTGCCATTGAAGCTGTACTCTTAAAATTACAAGTCCTACAAAATAAAGCTATGAGATTGATATGGAATAAAAAATAAGTACAGCAAAATAAGATCTACCGGGAAAACAACATTTCTCTGACAGATTCAGTTCATTGTTTACGAGAGAGAAGTGTTAGAAAGAGATAGAAGCCGGCTGAAGCGCGAAGGTCATCACTACATTACCTACCAACGGTGACGCAGAGGTCGTGCAATCTGCAGCGTTGCCAATTTGTTACACCAGAAAGTGTTCGCACAGAGGCTGTTACAATCGGTTAGGTTACTGTCAAACCCAAGAAGAAGGTCTGTCCGAACATTTAATTTCATATTTTGTTTTCATTTTGATTAGATTTATTTCAATTCGGATGCGACTTGTGTGTCTTAATTTATTTTAGAATTATCTTTGATTTCCATTGCATTGCGTCATTGATGCGGTGTTGCCAGACGAACCAACGATGCAATGTTGCAGAATTTGTGGCCATCCTGACCTTTAATTTCGATCTAAAATAAAACGCCACTAGGACCGATCGACCGATTTGACCCAATTTAAGAATGTGTACGCTCAAAACAAAACCATTATTTGGGCGTAAAGAATAAACAAACGCATATTCTCAACTTGCATCTTGAATACAAAAAATTGATGTAACATATTGGCAACACGGGGTCAACGTTGCTAGGTAATCCAGACGATGCCTCTATCCCTTTCTAGCATACAGGGTGACGCATCGAAAAGGTCGCACCCCAAAGTGTGTCTTATTTTTGGGTCACTCCAACCTTTTCGTTGGGCCACCCTATATGTGTCTATACACACTTCTCTCTCCTACACATTAAACTCAAGCCATCCGACAAATTTGGTTCTCAGTGTATATTACACGAATTGTATTGGTTGAATATAAAAAAGTTCTAATATTTGTTTATTTTTCATATTCAAAATGAAAAATCATGTTTTGCCACAACGTTTGGATCATCATATAGTATTGAATAATCATTACCACAATTATTATACAAAAGGAAATATATATTTCCATTAACAAAATTGCAATAGCAAATCAATATATATATATATATAGAAGGAATTATTTAAATTTCATAAACTAGATAATGAAGTGTACTTGTAATTAAAAGATGTTTAGAGGAACATTTCATGGACAGTAAAAGTTTTGTTTTTCTAAATACTTTGAAGTTGAGTCATTACTTTTCAGATAATGATTTTAGAAGGAAGATAAACCAAAATATGTGTGTAAAAATAAAAAAAATTAAAAAAAACTGTTTACCTTGTTTTATAAAGTATCCTCCCGACAAATATTTCACTGCGGACCTGTATTTGATCATGAGGTCTTGGAGCACCGGCATGCCCTCCCCTGTGAGGTCTTAAGTCACCTGATTCACGAGCCCGTTGTACTACATTAACAAAGGCACGAGGGGTTGGTTGCACTCGATTGGGAAACCGATCAGCATAAATATGTGCCATTTTTTATTTCGTTTGAGCCACGCAGCAAACACCACTATTCACTCACGCGTTACCGACTGACACATTGACTGAATAAAAACATCCTGATCAGCGTTTCAAATTCTTTCGCTTTTTTGTTTCCGATGCGATGAACCGATAAGGCGGAGTATATCCATTGTTGCCAAACACGTGCACATAATATTATTATTGAGACAGGGCGGTACTCAAACTTCTAAAGGGCTATAATTTTGTTACTTTAATTTTACCACAAAAATGTTAAAGGAAAAAAACATTTCTTTTGATCAGATCTACTCACTGTTAAAATAAATGACTCAACTTCGAAGTCACCCTGAATGTATGTTACCTAAGCAAATGTTTTAATTTTTTAAAAGAATGGCAATTGTTGCAACCATCCTAAAACAAACATAAAAACAATATACTTACCTTGAAGTTTAATACTGATGTTTGAACATACAATGACTGTGGAAAGGGCAACAAAAATGCATTGGACATTTCTCGCAAATGATCAGTTTCTAGAAGAATTATATGCTTCCCTACTACACCATCACATTCCAGGCCTTTGATCTCACTATACTTCAGAGTCCATTCTTTAACGTGCATATGGATTCTTAGGCATTTCATGTTTTTCTTGTGACTGCTCAAAGGAGCAGCTATGATATGTCCTGAGAATTTCTCCAGCTCATTGATCATTATTTGAATGGTTTGTCTTGAGGTAAGTCTCGTAGAATCAGGTACAAACAGTACGTATTTTGTCTTTATTTGATTAACAGGATACTGGTCATAAAAGGAATTCTTCAGCGTGGGACTTAGTTTCACAAACTTTACGTTTGGAAGGGTGTTATTCGTTAACATTATATCCAAGGGAGGATAAGGAAGCTCGTCATACAAAATGTATATATGCACCGTCGGGAACAAATTCAGGAACGAATGTACTGTTAGGGTAACATCATTCTCGTGCAGCTCAAAGTCTCTTAATATAATTGTGATGAGCTTGCCAACATGTTTGATCGATGATTTTGTGGTTGGCTTTTCTGTTGGAACTTGCTCAGGTTTGGACGTAGTAAATAAGATAAATAAACGGAGGGTAAAGTACAACATAATTAATTTTATAAAAAGAAACACAAGGAAAAAAGGTAAGGATTTAATAAACTTAAAACGCATAATAACAAAATTAAACAAGGCCTAAAACGATACGCAAAGTAAGAACGTTTTCGCTAATAGCACCGGGGGACTGTCTTTCACTTTGAAAACCAACATTATTTAAAAATTCCACTTTCTTTGGCTTGGTCACAGTCTTGGCCGTCGAGGTTAGATTCAGATGACAGATGACATTTCAATGATATCTGACAAGTTATTCATAGCACAAGGAAGTGAAAGATGCAAACATACGACATATAATTGCCGCCATGTTTAGACCATTTTTTTAGTTGACGGCTATAGCAAACTAGGATTTTATTACTCAGAATCCAAACCATAAAGTAAACAGACAAACATCGCTGAAACCAAAAACTACTGCATGTCTTTCTTCCAAACTCTCCAACAACCTAGAAGATGGAAACCGGACGAGTTCATACCGTTACGTTGTATAGTTTTTTATCCTTTGCTCTTTTGTGACCGCTCTCCGCCACTGTGCTGACAACAATGACATATGACAGAATGTGTGACAGAAACGGCCGGTACATTTTGTGAGGTTAAGATTTGAAAAGGAAAAGGGATTTGAGAAAAAGTATTTTTCACCATCAAAAAAACATGGAAATATCTGAAGAAAACCTGAAGACGCTTGCAAATTACTTGCAGCAAACTCTCAGCCCTGATGCTAATGTTAGAAGGCCTGGTGAGTCATGTTCTAATATCATACTTATCAGAGGACTGATTTCAACTATTTCTGATATCAAATGTTCATGTTTAATGATGTTTGCTTGAATCACATGAGTTGGGAATTCTTTGGTAAATTCGTGATTCATCTTTATACTTATTGAATGATGTTTTGAATTCTGTGAGTTATAATAGCTGCTTTTTATGGATTTCTTTTCCTTTGAATGTTGTTACTGAACTCATATGATAATTGAGTAAGAACAATTTAGAGCTCTTACCTCCTCAGCTTTTCTCAGTCTTAACCTTAGCACTGAACATTCAAGAATTTTGAAGCTATAGTCCAATGCAAGCGTCATTTACTTTATGTGAAAGCACACATGGGCACCTGATTCTTGTTTGTTTGTGCTTGTTCAGTGACCTTTTCCAGGTATTTTCAAAGATAGCATATTGTATGATTTCAGTGCACGATAAAGTGCCTCTATCCTTTGGATTTATATTTTCAAGGGATCCTATAAAAATGTTCTTTGCAATGTGTTTGATATACATGAGAAATACGTTGCAATTTAACGTTGTCTGCATAGAGATTTTTTAATAGTAAAACAGTAGATTTGTTGTTCATCAAGAATGGAAGTTTCTATGTTTAACAGTTTCATGGGATATGTTTTTTTTTGTACATTGCAATAAATGTTGAAAGTAGAGCAGAAAATATCTACAGGATTTTTATTATTTTTCTTAACAGTTTTTGCAATAATTTTATTCTGTCTAGGTTCAGTAAGCCTATAATTAAAAACAGCACAACTTTCGTGAAAAAAACATTCTATTAAGCTTAGTATGAAATTTAAGAAGAAAAAACAGTTTGTTCACCATTTTAATCACCTATTAGAGAAACTGCAAGAAACAAACTGTTGCATCTTATACCTACTTTTCACACTCACATTTGCTCTTTAATGTTGGCAGACAAAACTTGTTTTGCTTGGAATATATCTCTTTTTGATTTTGTATGAATCAGGTAATGGTTTTTAATAAACAGCGGTAATAGAATTGTAAAAACGTTCACGTTTTTCTAGCTGAAAAGTTTCTTGAAGGTGTCGAAGTGAACCAGAACTATCCTATTTTACTGCTAAATTTGGTTCACAAGCCTGAAATTGATATGACCATCAGAGTGGCAGGATCAGTTGCTTTCAAGAACTACATCAAAAGGAACTGGCAAGTTGTAAGTAATTATACTACTACTTTTGTGTCATACAGGGGGGCCCAATAAAGAGGTTCACCTTTATTGTATGCCTATGGATGAAAAGACGTCCCCCTAGAACTCAAAATTGACGTGTCTGAGCGTTTTTCCAAAAATATACCAGGAAAGTCACACACATAAATTAGACTGTAGATGCTAAAAACACTGTTTTTGTTACAATATCTCTAACAGAAACGGCAGTCATCAACAACAGTACAAAATGTAATATAATCATTTATTATTGAAGGAAGAAGACCAACAGGACAGAATCCATGCACAAGACAGAGCTTCTATCAAAAATTTGATTGTAACATTAATGTTAACCTCGCCAGAAACGATTCAAAAACAGCTTAGTGATGCTATAAGTATCATTGGGAAAACAGATTTTCCTCTTAAATGGCCGGAACTCATTACGCAGATGGTTGAAAAATTCTCTACAGGTATGTTCATATTTTCAGTCATGGTTTTAGGATTTTTGATAAATTACCATCCTCTATGATATTTCGAATGATTTATACTGACACTCACCACCTTTGAACTACCACTCGAATTTTCAGCGTGTTTTGCCAACATCTTAACCATCCGTTTATGAAATCAATAGATGGGAGAAATATGATGGATTTAAATTTTTCAGGCGATTTCAATGTGATAAACGGCGTTTTAAGAACGGCACATTCTCTCTTCAAAAAGTACAGATACGAATTCAAGTCCAACGAACTCTGGATGGAAATAAAATATGTGCTTGAAAAACTGGCTCAGCCGTTGACTGATCTTCTGGTGGCTACAATGGGTCTCGCCGAAACGCATGCGAACAATGTGGATGCTTTGAAAGTCATCTACAGTTCTTTGGCGCTTATCTGCAAGGTGTTTTACTCCTTGAACTTCCAAGATCTGCCAGAATTTTTCGAGGATAATATTCAGACGTGGATGTCCAATTTTCATGCACTGCTGGTTGCTGATGTCAAGTGTTTGCAGAACACAGTAAGTTCTATATAATAATAAAATTACATTATTATTATCATGACTTTGTAGGATACAGATGAAGCGGGCATTATGGAGCAGTTAAAATCTCAGATTTGTGATAATATTGCCCTGTATGCTCAGAAATATGATGAGGAATTCCAACCATTTTTACCTCAGTTTGTCACCGATGTGTGGAGTCTTCTAGTTGCCACCGGATTAGAACCAAAACATGATCTGGTGAGTGGAATAGTAATTTTTTATACAACTTGTGCTGACCATGAATTTTATTTTAGCTTGTATCGAATGCTCTCCAATTTCTGTCAACAGTTGCAGAGAGAAATCAATACAGACATCTGTTTGAGGATAATACGGTACTGAGCAGTATTTGTGAGAAGGTCATTATACCGAATATGGAGTTTAGAGGTATTTATGCTTATTTTTAAGGTGACTTCGAAGTTGAGTCATTTATTTTAACAGTGAGTAGATCTGATCAAATAAATTTTTTTCCTTTACCATTTCTGGTAAATTAAAGTAACAAAGTTAGAGCCCTTGAAGTTGAGTACCGCCCTGTCTCCAATATTATGTGCTCGTTTTTGTTTACAACGGATATAATCCGCCTTATCGGTTCATCGCATCGGAAACAAAAAAGCGAAAGAATTTGGAACGATGTTTTTACAATTATTTTATTCAGTTGTATACAGTCAGTGTCAGTCGGTAACGCGTGAGTGAATAGTGGTGTCTGTTGCGTGGCTCAAACGAAATCAAAAATGGCACATGTTTACGAAAATGCTGAACTTGTGGACATGACTCTTATTTACGCGGCATCACGGATTTATGCGGATCGGTTTTCCAATCAAGTGCAACCAACCCCTCGTGCCTTTGTTAATGTAGTACAAAGGGCTCGTGATATATATAATCTCGGCCGTGTTTTAATCTGGGGCAAAGTTTAAAGTGGTGACGCTATTTTGCTTTTTAACGTTTTTTCTAAAAATCGCTTTGGTTAAGAAAATCCGTTAAAGGACAAAATAGGTTTAGGACAATCTAAAGTGTTGGTCCCAAAAAACAAAATCTGCGTTTTCATGATATGTTTTTCTAATATCTTTATATCCTTCACCAAATATAAATGTAATCGTATATATTAAATAAAAAAAAAATTAATTTAAAAAAAAATAGAAATTTTGTGACGGCCGCCATAATGGATTCAGAATAAAGCTACCTCACTTGTTATATTTTTCTTATCATCAAGTCCTTTAATTTGATACCTATGACATAGGATGACTGTGGCAACTATAAACGCCATCTTGGGGCGGTCGCCATATTGGATTTAGAATGATCTCACTGTGCTTATCGCCTTTCTCTCGTCAAGCCCTTTCATTTGATATCCATATGATAGGGGTGACTATTAATAATAAACGCCAGTCTTCGGGCCGGTTGCCATATTGGATTTAGAATAACCTCACTGTGCTTATTGTGTTTCTCTGATTACGCCCTGTCATTTGATACCCATATCATAGGGGTGACTGTGGATAATGTAAATCGTCATTTTGCGACGGTCGCCATATTGAATTTAGAAGGACGTCACGTTGCTTGTTCTGTTTCTCTCAGCAAGCCCTTTAATTTGATACCTCTGAAATAGGGATGACTACGGTATCTATAAACGCCATCTTGGGGCGGTCGCCATATTGGATTTAGCATGATCTCACTGTGCTTATTATGTTTCTCTCATATAGCCCTTAAATTTGATACCTATGCCATAGGGTTGACTATGGTCATTCTGTACGCCATCTTGGATTAGTCGCCATATTGGATTTATATTCTCCATATCATGGAGGTGACTACGAAAAATATAAACAGAGATTTTGCGGCGGTTGCGATCTTAGATTTAGAATGACGTCACTTTGTTTATTGTGTTTCTCTCGTCAAGCCCATTTATTTGACACGCATATCACAGGGGTTACCATGCAAAAAATGATAAATCCTCCATATTGGATTCAAAATGGCGGCGCTTAATTCATTTTGTATTATCCGGCGAACCAAACGTAGGTGTACAAAATTTAGTTCAAAGATTCGACAGTCACATATACATACTAACAGGTCAGGTTGAATAGAAGCTTGAAATAAAAATAATTTTAGTGTCAGATGAAGAGTTGTTTGAAGACAATCCTGAGGAATATACTAGAAGAGACATAGAAGGATCCGACGTTGATACGAGGAGGAGAGCTGCGTGCGATTTGGTGAATACGCTCAGTCAAAATTTTGAACAAAGGATAATGGAAATCTTCGGTCAATATCTGCAGGTATAACCTATGGGATGGTGTGGTTTATCGTGTATACTGAATTAGGGCTATACTTTATAGGTGATGCTGTCAAAATATTCAGAAAACCCCAAACAAAATTGGAGGAGCAAAGATGCGGCACTATATCTAGTTACCTCTCTTGTGAGCAGAGGTTCAACTCAAAGGCATGGCGTTACCCAGACTAGTCAGTTGGTGAATATCGCTCAATTTTGCCATGAACAAATTATACCAGAGCTGGAGAGACCAGATGGTAAGTGATTCAATAGTAAAATACAACAAATGGAGAAAAGATATAATCTGAATGTTTCACTTTTTCTATGAACTAGAAGAGGCACAACTGGCCGTCCAAAGGATCTTACACAAAAGTTTTGACTACAATTTTATAAACGAGAGTCTATACTCCCTCTAGTAGAATAAGTATGGTGCTCATTGTTCAATTCAACAAAATTTTCTAAGTGATTTGGTATATGATTTTTTAACTTGAATATGAAATTGAAAACCAATAGATTATGAATATATTCTGGTATATTTATTTTTATCTAAGATGATTCTCATACATGGTGGATTTGGTGCCAGGCATGTTCACAATTGTCACTATACTGTGAGTTTAGACATTTATTGTTACATTATGTTGATATTTATTATAGTTAACGAGTTACCGGTGCTGAAAGCAGACGCCATCAAATACATAATGATATTCAGAACTGTTCTACCCAGTGAAGTCGTTATAAGTACTTTACCTCAGTTAATAAAGCACATGACCAGTGAAAGTGCAGTTGTTCACACGTATGGTGCTTGTGCAGTTGAGAAAATTCTGATGATGAAGGATAGCAATAATCAGCCAGTGTAAGTGGTATAGTTTTAATTAAAAGACGTCAAATAGACTTACTGTACTTCTTATGCAATAAAAATGAACCAAATGGACAGGATTTCATTTATATAGTGTATTTAGTCTGCATGTTACGAGGTTTGTCTCAAAAATAAGGTGCTCACATTTTTTTCAGTCACATGGAATTTTTTATTTGAAATGACTTTTTGAATAATACGAGGGTGGTTTCAGAAGTACCCGACCCAACGAAGAAAACACAAAAATTTTGTAACAACTATCGCCATCTCTAGGTCAGGCCGGGTACTTCTGAGACCACCCTCGTATGCATTAGAGCCAGATTTTATTGTTAATTTTGTTTGGTGGAAGCTATTTGCATGACAAGTTTTCAGCAGCTGTATAGCATTTGTGTTTTCAAATAGAAATGACTTATTGTAATTTCTATCTATACAACAATGTCAATTTTAACAATTATTTACAGTTTAACAGGAGCTCAACTGGAACCCCTAGCGGCAGATTTGTTGACAAACCTATTTGGAGTGTTAGAGAAACCCATATCAGAAGAGAATGAATATGTTATGAAAGGTATAATGATAATCTTTTTTTTTTACTTCCCGCATCTACTGGCGAGGAAGTAGTGTAATGTTATATAACATATCACCAAAACCAGGTTACTGCTATGGCAAGGACAAAAAAGCTTTGTAGTTTTTGAAAAACGAAGAAAATTAAAATCACTCAAACTTCGTTTTTATCAGAATTTTAAAAGTTTTAAATAAGCGATTTAAAAAAAAAATTGAAATGAAAATTTGGAAAATTCGGTAATTTGAAAATAATTTCAAGATTTGGGAATTTTGGAAAAATTTGGAAATTTCGAAATTTGTAAAAATATGCCCAAAATTGAGCTTTTTGATTATAAATACCTGTGTTCTCGTTCAGAAAATAAATTATATTTTATAAACTACAAAGAAAAAGACACTTTAACAGCAAATCAGAACAAACATTTTTGTTTTTCTTTTGTAGGCTCGGACCGCACTCGTAACTAAAGATTAAAAAAAAATTAAAAATTCAACTATAAGTAAAAAAGCGTGGGCAATTAACTATAATACTCATAACTCCAATTTTGTAAATAAAATAAAAAATAATTTTAACATTTAATATCGAGCAACCTACGCTTTTTGCTACAATTGAATTTGTGTTAGTATCTTATTTTCTACTTTTCACTTCGATTTGCCATTAAAGCGTGTTTTTTAATTTTTCTAAATTGTAATTTATTTGACGATTCACCCCAACTAACAATTATTATCACTGCAAGCCAACTCATTTTTTTGTAACCTACAATCTTATTTCTGCAATAAATGCGAAACTATGATTTTTCCAGCAATTATGAGGACGTTTTCCACTTTGCAAGAAAGAGTGATACCGTTCTTGGGTGCGGCTCTGCCAAAATTGACGCAAAAGTTGCAACACGTCGCCAAAAATCCTTCAAAACCTCATTTCAACCATTACCTGTTTGAGACGTTTTCGCTGGCTATTCGGTAAGTTTTATCTTTGAAATGAGATAAAAGTTCTGAAAAAACGTATTAAAGACTTCTTTCTTATGGTAGATATTTATTGGTGACATTTTAGTAAATAAATAGAGAAAGAAAGAAAAAATGATTGATACATGATACAATTAATTGCTTTTTAATAAAAAAAATTGTGAATAATGTTTTTGTCCTTATTTAATATTAGTTGATTTTATTTACACCAAGACTCCATCCAAACAAGCACTACTTAGCCAGTGTTTCCATTATTTACATTGCATAGTATGCTTTCGGTTGTGTCTTATTCTCATTCATTTGATTGCAGAATTGTATGTAAAACAAATCAAGCAGCAGTTACATCTTTTGAAGACATACTGTTTCCAATATTCCAAGGAATTTTGCAGCAAGACATTCAGGGTGAGTTCAGTGAAACTTTTGACAGTACATTACATCTTCAAATCCACATATTCTGATACAATATTTCAGTGCTATGAGTTTTGGTTTTCCATGAAATATTTTTTCAATTTCCCTTAAACATTTTCAAAATGGCACACATCTTGATATCATTATTTAATTTATTAAATTCGTACAATCCTTTTTGAAATACTGATTTGTCTTTACTCCCTCTAGTAGAATAACTATGGTACTCACTCTTCAATACGATTTGGTAGATGATTTTTAACTTGAATATGAAAATGAAAACCAAGTAGGTTATGAAGGTTATAATATTTAACCATTGTAGTTCTTTCAGCATAAAATTTATTCTGGTATAATTATTTTTATTTGAGATTTTTATCATAACTTTATTTTGTAATTTTGAAAATACAGTTTAGTTTGCAGTGAATAAAATAGTCGAACAATATAACAAATGAGGAAGAATGATCGTTAATATACAGGGTGTCCCAGAAGTCGACGTCAAGCCGAAACCGGGTGATAGGCAAAGTCATAACAACTATCAGAAAAATATTTAAAAAAAAAATTATGTATGTGTTTTGAAAATTATAGGTCTCTGAAAAAAATTTAGAAATTTCACACCCTACGGCAGTCTGTCAACTCCTGTTACTACACATATTAACTTTTTTGGATTTTATTTTTACAATGTAATGATGAATAATGCATCTTCAAACTGGTGTCTCAACCTTACTGCCAACTTTTCTCGTTCAGGAAAAATTTCCACTTATTTCCCAACCAAGTATTCCAAAGTAAAACTTTGCTCAACTTTAACTGGCTGTACTGGAAAAAAATGTACTACGAGAGTTTGGCAAGTAACCTTAAAAGTTGGCGCATTTAATAAGGATTCCAAAATGGTATAACACTTAGAAGATTACTCGTTAACTTATGCACAATTTTTATTTGAAGAAAAACTGATGAAAATTTTTCAAAATTTCCTAATTAAACAGCGATTATGAAAACGCACAAGGACCCTTAAGGATAACTGTTTGCACAACAGTGGGCGTCAAAATGCTGCTGATGATGATTTACCTTTACAGCAAATGCTCAAACTGTTTTCCTTCAGCCGCAATACACACTCGACATCTTCTTAAAAAAGATCGGGTTATTAAACGAGCGAATCCACGGTTATTAACAAACTCAGCTGCTTCCAATGGTCTTTGCCGTAGCTCAGCTACATTTTGAATCGGCTTGAAATACACTTTTTCTTTTACAGTTCCCCAGTAAAAAAAATCTTCAAAACACATACATAAAATTTTTTTAAATATTTTTCTGATAGCTGTTATGACTTTGCCTATCACCCGGTTTCGGCTTGACGTCAACTTCTGGGACACCCTGTATAAAATAAATAGTAATGGACCTAATTTGCTACCCTGTGGCACACCTACCGAAATGTTTTTAATGCTTGATAATGTATATTTAATTTTAGTTCTTTGACATCTATTGATTGAATAATTTTGTAATATGTTGAACACCGAACCTTTAAATCCTTAGTAATGCAATTTCGTTAACAATTTCTCGCTGTCAATAGTCTCAAATGCCCTCTTGAAATCCAAGAACAATGTTACTGTAAACTTTTTTCATCCATATTTCGCCTCCAATCTTCTACTACCTTTTGAATTGCTGTTTCAGTAGAATATTTTTTTCTCAATCCTGCTTGAAATATTGTCAATATGTTGTTTTCTTCAACATGTTCAATGATTTATTCATATATGATTCCTTCTAAGAGCTTCTCGACATCTGGTTAGATTTTTTCTAGTCCTTATCAATCAATTAATTGTACCTACTGCGTTATATGTTACATGTGTTAGGATAATATCCACTCATAAGGATATTTCCCTTTTGTGGCATATCAATTTATTCACAATTTATAATTGATGTGAATAAATACAAGGTTAGTTCAAAAAGTATCGCAAATTTTAAATTTTTGCGGGCTACGTTTGTTCGATTTTCGATCTTTTTGTGGCGTCATGTTGGTACTCATGACCCTGACTAATTTTGACAATATCGGCCATTTTGAATGTTCACTCAGTGTTTGACAGCTATTGCGCGTGGACGTGTTTTAGCTTGTCTCCGATTTTTGTCTATTCCAAAAAAGGATCAAAGAATTTGAATTAAATGTTGTGTAAAAAACAACTTGAAGTGCGCGGACATATTCCAAATATTGACTGTTGCATACGGCGAAGCTACTTTGTACAAAATAAACGTTTATCGGTGGTACAAAATGTTCACAGAGGGACAAAATAGATATCCATGAATAAATAAATAATTCTTGAAAAAACATTAAATTCGCGATACTTTTTGGACAAGCCTCGTATTATTATTAATTCCACCTTGGAAAGTGTTCGAACCCGCACTAGGCAACTTCGCCTTTTGCGTGCCATCTCATGTTGATCCTCAAATGAAAGGTACAGGAAAAAAATGGAAAATGTCAGTTTTTTTTTACTTTCCCATTGGAAACAAATCCTTGTATATGATATTTTAATTCCCAATCGTTAGCTTTTAAAATAAGTAAACTGATGGCGCGAAAAAGTCATTTTTGCTTATGGCCCAATATCAACAACAAAATTATATTAGATATAAAACACTTAACTAGTTCTAAGTAAAAGTTGCTGCATACTTGGATCTGTATAAAAATATTATACAGCAGACGCTCGATAATGTCAACTAATTTAATCCAAGTGTGGTTCACATTAGCGAACGTGATTTATATAATATTTGATTTATTAAAAGAAACGTTTAATACATACTATTTATAAGAAAATAAACAAATATTCTAACAGCGATAAGTCTTTTTTTAATTAGAAGAAAAATAATTAACAATTTTTGTCTGCGTAAATTTGCGCTTAGCATTGTCTTCCAATGCCTGCGCCAGTAATTTACGAAGAACTAAAATATCCGTGTATGAAACTTCTTTTCTTTCAGCCCAATCTAAAGCTCGGTTAAAAACTTGTATAGCTTGCGCGTCAGTCACTGCACTTCTGACTCCAATGGGATCGTTCTCATCATCCTCACTGTCCGTATCCTCCTCCTTATCAGCATCATTCGTCTGCTTATCTTCGTTACATAAATTAATATCAGCAGGAGTACAAACAATGTTGGGATTCACTGTTTTCAATGAATCAACAACATCCAAAGACACACTAATAACATTATCATTATTGGATCGCAAACGTTCTCTAATTACGCTTAAGGGGACATCGTCTTCTTCATTATTGGTACAAAAGAGATTGTTCCGGCATTTTTGAATAGTTTGCTGGTTAAGTTCATTCCAGGCCATATGTAAATCTAAAACAGCTTCTCGTAATGTTACTTTTTTTAAAGCCTCAGATAAGTTTTCAGGATTCTTTGATAAGACAGACGAAAGTAGAAACTTCCTATAGTATAGTTTGGTGAGTCTTATTATATTCTGGTCCATCGGTTGAATTAACGGTGTTACGTTGGGCGGCATGTACATCACGAAAATTGACCCATCCCTGCTCCTCAGTTGTTGCTCGGGAGGATGACTTGGTGCATTATCCAATAGTAACAACGCTTTTATTGGAAGCTTCTGTTGTTTTAGGGAACCTTTTACCTACAAATTGAAAACACATCTTCAAATTATGAATAGAGCAATTGTGATAATTGATTGTCATACCTGAGGGACAAAGCACCCCTGTGGAACCATTTCAGGAATGTACTGCTAGTCATCCAAGCGGTTTTTGAACAGTCATAATCAACAGGGATATTAACATTTTTAAATGAGTGCGGTTTTTTGCAATTACCAGTGGCTTTATTTTGTGTGAACCATTAGCATTAGTGCAGGCTAGAAACGTTATTCGTTATTTCTCCGGCTTTCTTCCCGGGGCAGATTTTTCAAATGATGCAGCGTAGGTTTTCTCTGGTAACATTTTCCAATAAAGGCCACTTTCATCTGCGTTGTAAATTTGTTCCATTCTTAAATCTAGCTCGGTAATTGTTTTCATCAATTTTTCTTTGAATGGTTGCACTAATTGTGGTTGTGCTGATAATTTTTCACCAGATATAGACAGCAGTCGAATTCCATATCTTGTTTTGAATCGTTGTAGCCAGCCATCACTAGCTACGAAATTTTCAGTTTCTTTCAGTTTTTCATTTAACAGTCTCGCTCTCTGTTTAAGTACTTCGCCACTAACTGGGACATGATTTTCCCGTTGTTTTAAAAACCACTTATACAGGGAATTTTCCATTTTAGGTGCCTTCGCATTTTTTAAAGTTTTTCTTTTTCCCGGACCTCCAAATGTATTGCACGTTCTTTGTAAAATTTGAGTTTTCATACGCTTAATTTTACAGATTGTTGCTTTCGATACTCCATATTTTTTTGCTAACTGTGTCACTCCCGCACCTAGTGCAACTTCGTCTATGATTTTCACTTTCTCACTCAACTTTAAACACTTTCTTTTATAGGATGTGGATGCCATAGTCGTAAAATATATTAACGCGTGCAATGTATTCACTTAAGTTCAAAAATGAAATACATACGTACGTATAAACGTATCCTAAACGATCATACGACTGACCGAGTTTGTCGTATTTTATCGCAGAGGTGAATCCCCTACACTCTACATCATAAATCGGGGACTCCCCGACGCCCGAGGCTTCAGCATTTTACCGTCGCGCTGTTTCCGTGCGCCGAGAGTTGTTTACGTTATCGAGCGTACTCATTGTTTACGTTATCGCGCGTTCCGTTTGATCCTATAGAACGAAGTTTGCGCAAGTTTTCATTATCCCGTGTTTACGTTATCGAGCGTCTGCTGTACTTTCAATTGCATTTTTCTCAAAATCATTTCATTATGTTATTCCCTGTTATTTGCCTGTACCCTTCAAATGATCGTTGTCTTGCATATTTGTTCTAGAATTCATTCCATACGTTTTCCAAATCCTGTCTTTGCTGATGGAGCACACGCCGCCGGGATCCGTACCTGAACCGTACATACAGCTCCTGCCGTGTCTATTGGCTCCTGTCCTGTGGGAAAGGCCTGCCAACATCAGCCCGCTGGTCAGGCTGCTGAGCGCATTCGCTATCCAGGCGGCGCCACAGATCATCGCTCAGGATAAGTTGGTAAGGCAATGTACATTAAATTCATCAACATAAAACAATTTTTGGGTTTCGATTACATTATCCAAATCATTAATGAACATATTAAATAGTGGCGGGTCGACGTTCGATCCTTGCGGAACACCGGAGTTTACGTAAATTTAATCATAAGTATCTCGGAATTCTTTTAAACTATCATCTTCGTTGGCATGTACATATATGATATATTAAAAAGAAACTTAGATTTTTGTTATACAGGGTGTTTGGTGCATCGTTTGCCAAATTGAAATGGCGGACAAACAGTTTTTAGCCCAACGGAATTAATTATGTAGATTTTTAAATTATTTTAGTAAGAACTCCAAAATGTAATACACAAAGTGAAATAAAAAAAAGTAAAGACTATGTGGTGTGCCGCAAGGATCGAATTTAAGATCGCCACTATTTAAGACAAATTTTCAATGAAACTCAATTAAAAATTATATATCAGACATTAGTTTAATAACAACCATTTAAATTCTTTACAAATATTACAAAAATTATTAATAAAAAGATGAATCCCAAACTGTGAAAACGACTAATGTTTTCTGTTCTATCGAAGCGTCAAAGATAATGTCAGTTTTGCGTGCATTCAAAAATGTGTAGATACGGAAATAATTGACGCTATTATATTTTGCTAGTTCAGAAACGTTTCCTGCACTTTCCTTATAAATCTTGTCTTTATCTTGCAGGGCGGTTTCTTGGGCGTGTTCCAAAAATTGATAGCGTCAAAGGCTAACGATCATGAAGGATTTCGTCTAATACAGACGATGATCCAGCATTTCCCGCCGTAAGTTAACATCACGACAAGTTGTAGTTCCTATTTTGAGTCTGTCTTTTTGCAGGGAATCACTCACTGCATACCACAAACAGATATTCTTCCTGCTGTTCAAAAGGTTATCTTCCAGCAAAACCACTAAATACGTTATAAATCTGATAGTTTTCTTTTGTATGTATGCCGTGAAATATTCTGCTAATCAGCTTGTATCGACGATAGATGGAATCCAGGCACAGTAAGTTTAACATTGGTATATTATTTCACTGACTTCGTAAAGTGTAGTCTGTCAAATGTCTTGAAAATCTATATGGTAACAGCACAGCTTATTAGTATTATTTATTTATCGACTATTTTTGAACGGCTGCGAATATTGCTTCGCTATTATGATCAAGAATGACTATAAATGCATTTTGAGGATATTTTACTGTGCTGTTTTTCAGAATGTTCGGCATGTTATTAGAAAAGCTGCTTATAACCGAATTACAAAAGGTAGCCGGCAACGTAGATCGTAAAATTGTCGCCTGCGGGATTACGAAACTGTTATGCGACTGTCCTGAAATGTACACGGGCGCATACCAAAAATATTGGTCGCCATTATTGCAGGTGAGTGATGAGGATATAGATTCGTTCATAAAAGTAAAAATATGTTTTGTTTTACATGATGATAGGTAATGCCTTGGATTTCTCACTTTTCAAAAAATCACAGTAACTGTGACATGCAGTAGCGGACAAAGGTTTGGAAACAGATATTAACATTATTATGAACTGTTTCATATACCTAAATTAAAATTGTGAAGGAACAGATAATATAAATAGTAAAGTTCACCTTTGGCTCCCGTACCAATACAAAGTTTATCTTATCAATACTCAAATTCTCTGAAAATAAAAATAAGCGTTTTTGTAACGGCAAAAGTATGGAAACATTTCAGTTTTGCCGTATTTATTCGTTCTGCGATACTCTGATCGTGCGTGCGGTAAATATTAACATCAGTGGCAAAGGTAAAACAATTTTCAAAAGATTTAAAAGACAAAGTGATTGAATTTTTTAGAAGTGGTATCAGAAATGTTGACATTTCTCAAAGATTAAAAATGAACAAAGGGACGATTTCGAAAATTATTAGTAAATATCAAGAATACGGATCAGCAGCAACGCGGCCCAGGTGCCAGATTATCGAGGCTTTTTAGTTTTGTAACTGTGGAAAAGTTGGATAGTTTGAATAATCTATTTTTGAGCTACATATACTAATAGCTTTATTCTGAAACTTTAAACTTTGTACAAAAAATTGTAGTATTCGGCCGCATGATTCTATACTAATTAAATATTGCAGGCTCTTGTCGCTTTCTTTGAAATGCCCGTTGATGAAAGTACGTTGCCGGATGATCACTTCATTGAAGTCGACGATACGCCTACCTTTCAGACTGCCAGCGCGAAGCTGAACTTTGCTAACAGTACCAAGAACGATCCATTGGAAGGTATGTGACATTATGATTATTGATTCTTGACAGTATTGATGCACCCACTCATATTTTCAAACACATTTAACAGCTTAGTAATTGCTGATACTGTAAAGTCATAATTTTTGGAAATAGATAAGCGTGGCATTAAGATATTCGGTGTTTCGTATCAATAAATTATAATTTCAAAACGCTAAAAAAAAACGCAATTTAATAGCAAAGTCAACTAAAAAGTAGAAAATAATTTTTAGGTATAGCAGAGTTTGTGTTACTGCAATAGAAAGTCATACGATGAATATAAAGATTGAGATATTAACAAAAAATGCATTGATATTAAAAAAGCGTGCTTGATAGTAAGTGTAAGAAGTATTTTTTAAGTCTGATTTTACAAAATTGTTATTATGAAAATATAGTTAATTAAAACAGAAACTCTCCTATACTTGAAACTTATTTTCTACTTTTTAGTTCGATTTGCTATGAAAACGTTTTTTTTTTTTTAGCGATAATTTATATTCTGAATTTTTAGCATCAAAATAAGAAAAAATCACGCTCTTGCCATTCATCCTTTGGCAAGTTTCTCACCTTATATCAGATTGGGTGAATTTAACTTTTTTATTTTTTTCAAAATTTGAATTTTTTTCCAAAGTTAAAAGTAATTTTTTTAATTAGCATTTTTTCCCATTTTTTAAATCCAAATATCTTCCAAATTTCTAAATTATTCCCCAAATTTCCCAGTTGTCCAATTATTTTGCAAATATTCAAATCCAATTTTTCCCAAATTTCGTATACACAACCTTTGAAAATTATTTTCTACTTTTTAGTTCGATTTGCTATTAAAGCGAATTTTATTTTTAGTTTTTCTAAACAATACGAGTAATTTATTTTTTATTGATAGTAAAAAATCGTGGGGTTCTTGATAGTAAGTGTAAGAATTATTTTTTAAGTTGCGATTTTACAAAATTGTTATTATGAAAATATAGTTAAATGCAGCAACACCAACTCTCCTATATACTTATTTTCTACTCTTTAGGTTGATTTGCTGTGAAAGCGTGTGTTTTAGTTTTTTTTAAACTATAATTTATTTTCTGAATTTTTAGCATCAAAATAATAAAAAATCACGCTCTTGCCATTCATCCTTTGGCACGTTTCTCACCTTATATTAGATTGGGTGAATTTAACTTTTTTATTTTTTTCAAAATTTTAATTTTTTTCCCAAAGTAATTTTTTTAATTAGCATTTTTCTCATTTTTTAAATCCAAATTTCTTTCAAAATTTCCAAATTTCTAAATTATTTCCCAAATTTCCCAGTTTTCCAAATATTCAAATCCAATTTTTCCCAAATTTAGTATACTTGAAAATGATTTTCTACTTTTTAGTTCGATTTGCTATTTTAAAGCGAATTATATTTTTAGTTTTTCTAAACTATACGAGTAATTTATTTTCTAAATTGTTAATCTAAAAACGACAACAAAAAACCACCCTCTTGTCATGCATTGTTTGGCATGCTTCTCACCTTATATTGGATTGGGTGAATTTAATTTTCTTTCAAAATTTTAAAATTTGCTTCCATATTAAAAATTATTCTTTTTATTTAGCATTTTCCCTAATTTTTAAATCCAAATTTCCGAATTTTCCAATTATTTTAACTTTTTAAATGCAATTTTTTCCAAATTTAATATACACGATAAAGAAGAACAAATTGTTGCATTTACGCTCCACGTGGCCTCTAGCCTAAAAGCACAAACATGATAGAGCTTTTTTTTATATCGTCAGCCGACTCAATTGTAAGCTGCCTGTTTCACCAAAAATAAGAATGACATATCTACCATGTGTTGAACAAAGTTCGACCGCAGCTCAGAGTACAATTAGCTATGTAACTCCTGTCAGTGTCAAAAACGGCCGCTACATCGGCGTGTAAAATCTCCTAGTACAACGATGAAAGAGGTATTATGTGTCTTGAAAAGTGAGATTTTGCCGTTTTTTGACATTTTATAGGTTTTCTGTGACATAACATAGGTTTTTCCACAAGATGTCATAATTCCATTGGTTGTTTGTCTCAAATACACTTGATATGTCTTCATAGCTAGAAATTAGTTGCGCATCCACTTTTTCTTATTCATTCTGAAAATTACATATGCAAATTTGCTGTATTTCAAAAATAGGAAAGATAAGAAAAGAAAACCCTTGGTTGGTGAAGTAATTAACTTTATGTGGAATCTGATATTTTATACTTACATACTGCGACATATTTCAATTATATTCACTGTCAAATTACAAGTCATATACATGCTGACAATAATTACAGACAGCGCGGACGCGGCGGTGATTTGCCGTAATTCTCAAAGGTTTTGAAAACAAAAAAAATAAACGGAAAATCGTAATTTATAACTTTGAACATAACCTGACTTCGGAAACGACAACATCTAATAGATATACTTCATTGGCAGCATATTCAGTAATAATTTCTTCTGAGAGATATACTCTACAGACTATATCGGCATTCTGCAACCAACAAAGCATGTTTGAGCGTGTCGTGTCGTTGAGTCATTACTCCATAGATGGACGCTTTTGATGTCGCTCACAGCGATCATATCGAGAAAACGTGGAATGAACTATTTGCTCACTAAAAACTATTTAGTCTGCAAGATTACATTTCGTCGTTTTTTTTTACGAAGATTTTTCATAAATAAAGTCATCAATGCTCAGTCACTTCTGTTTGGACAACTCCTTTCTATTATTGGGTTTTACATCATCTTGGAATATAATTTTTACAATCTGCGGCCGCTGGAATTTACGCGGCAACGGCTACTGAAGACTAAAACCTTTCGTCATTGTACTAGGAGAATTTATATGCGATTGTATGAAAGAAATAATAGTGTCGCGGCGAGGTACATGGCAAGGTGAACAGTGAAGACCCCACAGCAGACTGCTAGCCCTAACCGACTTTAAATTTTGTCTTTCAGCTGTATCTGAACCAAGGCAATTTTTGGTGCAAAACCTTTCTACACTTGGTAGGTCTCAACCGGGTCGTCTCCCGACTTTGATCAGCAATACTAGCGCAGACTGTCAAAGAATACTTCAGCAGTACTGTGCAAAGTTTAGCGTACAACTTGTATAAAATTGTAGAGTCAACATATTTGTTCATAGGTACCGACATTTTCTCGTTAGTTCGTATTCCACTGTTACAAAAAGTCGATTTCTATACTCTCAGTTCTTGTTTTAAAGTAATTTTTGTTTCATTTGTTAAGTCTATCTCAGGTTGATAATATCCACCTATCTACAATAATTTTGATCGAGGTTATTGAACCCGTAAGTCACTATTGTTTTGTTTGTGGTCTAGTTTTTATAACACTCAATTTATGCCATCATGAAAATTCATAATGGGTTACCTGACCGTTCTATTTTAAACTTGACCTTACACGTACCGAGATCCTCTTGTGTTTTACCCTACTGTACTTTTGATATAAAATAAATTATTTTTATTATTCTGGTTATTTTATTGAAAGTGGTTCTTGTATTAAGCAAATCACACATACTGCGTAAGAACTTACTTACTTTTTGTTGACTTTATCCTGGAAATACAAAATAAACTGCTTATTGACATTTCCACTTTTTGTTGTCTAATAGCAATTAACACATATTTTGCATAAAGACAAATCTCTGTGAACAGATGATTATAGCTAAGGTCAGAAATGATCCATCCACTACTAAAAAATATATACCTATCTATCCGGATTTTTGCGGACAATAATGTGATGATAAAAATTTTTTATTAGGTTATTTTAGCAAAATTCGTAGGTATCGTATAAATTGTGTAATTCGAACGTGTCATTGTGAGTTTTCGTGTTGAGGGGGCAACTTCTTGTCATTTGCATTTTCTTTATTTCTATCCACACCGATTTTTTTGCGCCTTTGTGAACTTAATAATGGTGAGGCACCGATATAAATATATGTAAAATTATAGCTCAGACGGCAGAAGAACATGTGTCGCTTCATGGGTAAGTGTATGTTGTGTTTATCGCAATGGGGTGGTTGTTAATTCCTAACCCCAAGTTGGATGATTTAATGCGTTTCGACTCGGATAGATTTTAGCACAAAGTTCGCTTTATTGGTGTAATTATATTGTTTTAATTATGGACAGCATACTATGCCCCTTTTTAGTTACATCCAGGTCATAAGTATATTAATTTTCATCATATTTTTATGCAAAGCATTCTTTATGTACAATTTTTTCTCTTCATACCTCTCTATACTTCCGAACTCTACATATCAATACTATAAATCAAATCAAACCCCAGCACACAACCAACGTCAATATCCATCGATCGCAATCCTTCTTCGGTGATCGCGTGATTTCGCGCAGAGGAAATGTGCCATGACCATCAAGATCGTGCGATTTGACTCCCTTGGACTTCTTTTTATAGGGATATTTGAAAAGCAAAGTCTACGTCAACAAACCAGCCACCCTCCAAGAACTCAAAAACAACATCATTGCCGAGATAAATGTCATAGAACCGACCATGTTGCAAAATGTCATTGAAAATTTCGACCATCGCGTGGACGTCTGTAAATCCAGTCGTGGTGAACATTTGAGCGATATTATTTTTCATACATAAATGGTATAAATGAACCTTCAAAATAAAGTACCCAACTTGATTTTAATATCAATCTTTCTTGTTTTAATATGCGTTTACTTTCCTGCGTCCGTTTTGGACAGTAGATCAATAAATTATGAAATTTGACAAATTGATCAAATTATTACCTAAAAAAAATGATGTGATTTTGACATGTACACTATAATGTTGTATGGCCATGTTTCGTGGTTTAATGATGAATGAAAAACAAAATATTTTTAAAAACACTTATATTAATCTTATGCTACTTACTACACCGTCCAATACCACAACCGACCTTGTAACATACTGACTGCAACAGCAGAACATAAAGGTTTCTTAAAAATGACATAACAAAGATTAACAAATGGTTTTGCAAAAATCACGCAAGAAAATGCACAGCACCCTGCAGCGCCATGTACCCTGTTATAGCGTATCCGACAAAGCACGCCAAAAATCTAGCAGGCTGTGGTACCACCACTACGGCGTAGACCAGCGTATAAGCGATTCGGGCCGCAGTGAAGGTCAAGAACAACGTTTTGGCCAACCAGGGAGAAGGACTGGTCATCAGGTATGAAAAGGCGGCCACAAAGTAGATTTGGATGTTCTCCAAATCATTCTGGTGTGCCCTAGAAAATAATGAACTTTGACATTATCTATTTTTCTTACATTATGTAGGTTATTCTACAAGATGTTAACTTAGCACTTAGTTGTACGTGTTGCCTAAACGTCATGAGGCTTGTTATCAATCTTTGTCTCTGATCTGATGTAAAATCTGCTTCTGAGATGGCATTACTGGAGGTCTAAGCTGTAAGTTCTGTGTTGATGATAATTATATTGGGTTCTTGTCTCAAATACACTTAATTGAGATTCAAAGCTAGAAATTACTTGCTCATCCACTTTTTTTATCCATTCTGGAAATTACATAAACAAATTTGCTGAATTTCAAAAATGAGAGAGATAAGAACTAATTATATTCACTGTACACTGTCGAATTACAAGCCATATACAGTAATTACACACAACGCGGGCGCGGTGATGATTTCCCGAAATTCTCCTCAGTTTTTCGTAATTTATAACTTTGAACATAACCTCTCCTCAGAAAGCGCAACATATAAATAACCAGTCATATTCAGTAATGATTTTCTCACACAGCAACTATCACTGATTTTATACACATGCAGACCAATACATATATAATCATCCAGATGCGATCTTGTTATTCAACCAACTTTCTTCTCGGGGATAAAAACTTCAGACGAGGACCACTCGGCCTCACCAAACGTATGCAACCAATAATGCGTATAGTTTAGGCCCGTATCGTCAGTCGTCCCTAAAATTCTAGGGCGCCTTTATGGCCTCCTTGATTGTCATAGATTTCTATTTTTCCATGACAGTGCTCTATTTTGAGGTTATGTCACAAACATCTATTTGCATCAAATTGTGTTTGCTTTTGAGTTATATCATGTTTTATCAGCCTGAAATTTCCAACAATTTAAAAGGAAAACATATCTTCACAATAGGAGAGCGCTGACGCTGACACGGGACAAGTGTAATCCAGAAATTTTTGAAGGAGAGAAAGGAGTATAACAATCAAGGAGGCCATAAACGCGCCCTACAATAATTGTAGGGACGACTGATGATACGGGCCTTAGTTGAGTGATTCCTCCGTAGATGGACATTCACAACGATCCTAGTGAACAAACGTGGAATGACTGTTTGCGCCCTAACAACTACCTAGTCGGCAAGTTGACATCTTATGGGTTTTTTTTGACGTTTTGTAGGTTTTTTACATGATACTGTTATAGCAAAAATACTAGGGTTGCCTCAAAAATATGGTTCCCAACGCTGTACCTTTGCCGCCCGTGATGCTATGCGAAATCTGGCAACAGCGTTGTATTTGAAGGCTCCCCCACCACCGATCCCTACAAGAGGCGCCTATTTGCAATACTCAGTATCGGCCCGACAGCCATGCGCAATGGAGCCCTTCATCGCCGTCACCGCCAGGTGCGAAATTCGTGAGTTATAAGATCGATGCCTGGAGATCGCTTTTTAAAAAGTTTATTTTCGAAAATACAAAACTCAAAAATGTACTTTGACAAAATTATTACAATGTTATTATAATGTTAACAATATAATGGCTTAAATCTGACTGACTATAAGGTAAACCATCGTCAGCAGTATTCCTGGCATATCAGCAGGAATGGCTGATATAACTCGTGCGATCATTCGAACGTTACCACCCATAGAAATTCATCGCCACTTGAGTGAAGTATATGTATACAAGCTCTTTGATAAACTAAGTTATCATAATTCTTATCAGAATAATATAGTATAAAAGTGATGGATCATTTTGCAATCACAGCCTAGGTCTAGAATGAATGTTTTTTGTTACCTTCTCACTCTCTCAACACTTTCGTTTGTGATTGGCTTCCTCTTGTACATTACTGCATCTTCAGGGTTTGCAAAGGCCTGTAAGAGATAATAATATGTAACAATCTAGGGCGCCCACAGGAATTTTTCACAGGGGGGCCCATCAACCGCCAAGGGCAGGTTTTGTGAATGTGAATCAGCCCCTAAAAGATTACAAGAGCAGGGGATAACAAATTTTCTTAGAGGGGAGGGGGTTAGAAAGCCTTAAAAATCCCCAATGTTTTACACAGAACCAAGCTAAATACGCAAAATTTATGAGTACTGAGTGAAATAAAGAGATAAATAAAACCCAAGAATGCTCAATCAGCATCAGTTACAAAAGTCCACTACGAATATGGATCTAAGTATTATTTATAAAATGCCTCACATGAAATCAAAATTGAATTACTATTAATGTATCATTCCAGTAAAATACTGCTACATCAAGCAAAACAATTTTTCTGATGATGGTTTATCAGGTTATCAGTGATGAAATGAGTGTTTATATTTTATATTAGCTAGCATGTGAAAAGCATTGCAATTTTCTGCATGCAACACAGTGTTTATTCATATCGATAGATAAGGAATATTGCATTGCATTGCAAAATCAAGTTGAGATACATACGAAATCTAGTGTATAATCTTAAATAACGTCTGTTTTCAAGTTGATAAATCTTAAAATTTAATTTAAACGTCAGCGAACAAACGTGAAATGAACTAATTGCACACTAAAAACTACCTAGTGTGACCTACTCTGCAAGATGACATTTTCTTGTTTTTTTCATGTTCTCAAGGTTTTTTACATACATTTACCAACGAAAATGAGTGACACGATTTTTCGTGATGTAAATGTCATATAACATCAAAAACCTTTTCGAAAATGCAATACGCCAGAAGGCGTGGGAAGTAAAATGTAGGACGCCTTTATGGCCTACTTCTTTTACAGTTTTCTGTTCCGTGTCAGCGCTCTATTTTGAGGTTATGATACTACAAATACCTATTTGCATCAAATTGTTTATGCTTTTGATTTAAATCTGTATGAATTTCAAAAAGAAAACATAGCCTAGAAATTCCCCAGCCTTTCTGAAATCTGAAGAGAGACCATGAAAATCAATTGTAATACGAATATAATAATGTAATCGGCAAAGGAGTAAATAGATAAAAAAAAGCGCATTACCTTATTTCTAATCCTGATAAACGATGTTAATGCGGACATGGACATCATCTTTAACACCAAAACCGAATTATAAAACAGATATGCCCGAAAAACGGGATTTTCCAGAGAAAACAGTTCCTCTGTTTTTAGGGACATCTTGAAAGTACGGCCGGTATTAGCTGTATTGCGTTGCGGAGAGATGGATGCCAAGCGCTAAGTTGACAACGATCGCACTTCTACTATCAACTGAAATAAATACTAATAAACACTAATAATTAAAAATTCCATAAACATCGGTTGAAAGGTCAAGGTTCAGTGAACAGTGGCGGATCACGGCAATCGGCAATTAATAAAATGCGAGGCAAAAAGATAAAGCTTTTGACGGATTCCTATGCACATGACCATTGATCAACGTATTCTACCTGAAGATAGCTAACCTAAAACTATATTCTCGCGCCCAAAAAATTATCGGAGATGAAATTAGAAATGTACTGTAAAAAGATTGGTGTCTCATAGGTTGCATTGTAGAAACCCTCAACCGTCACTGTTAAGATTAATTGTATCAGCTGAAGAAAAATTAAGTCCTATCCACAATTCTGGTTTCATTTGTACAATCGAATCGCCAGCATGCCACAGTTATTCCTAAAAAAAAGTAACGGTTTATACGAGGGTCATTTCAATAACCTAAAACGCTCTAATCTCTAATAGTTCGGTATAAATGGTTTGAATATAGCCCCGAGAAAATTGATACCTCTGCTCATCAAAAAATTTTGGGGGCAGGTACAATTTCACAAAAAGTTATCTCTTGATGATGAGATCGGCACCCCCGAGAAAAATTCCTGTGGGTACCCGTGGACAACAATATTATTGCTCTAATAAAAAAAGAAATCTGTGCATTGTAGTAACATATCAGCACAATTCAATTTTTTCATAATTTTTGATTTATGCAGGTGCCAACAAAGGCTGTGGAATGAAAACATCTGGTCCATAAAGATGTTAATACTGTTTTGTTTGTAGACAAATGTATATAATAAATATATATTTAGGTATTTGCAGTACCTATATGTTTTTCTTCTGAACCTTTCCAGATTAGTAAGTAGATATGAGTGACCTTATAACAGATTGTGTTATTGACGTTGCTATTTTAACATACAAAAAAGCACGTATTCGGCGAAATGTTAATAACACATGCTGTTATAAAATCTCGCATATCCCACCAAATTTCTATATTTATAAAAGTATAGCAATCTCATATATGTAGAGCTGGCAACGTTGCGGGATATTAATGCACAATCTCGCAACCATGTCGCACTCTCAAAAAATGGCAGCTGACAACCACATAAGTCACCGTGCTGTCATTGAATAGCATGGAATTAAACCTTCTTCAGTATATATGTTCTGTCGTTCTGTGTTTTTTGCTGTCAACTTTCAGCTTTTCCTGTTGTGCATCTATTTCTCAATTTAAAATTAGTTTTTATACATTTGTATTACAATTTATCGCACAGTACATTTGCAAAGTACGTATTATTAAATAGCAAAGTTGTGCAACGGCGTAGCTCAAAAGGATACGATTTTCTGTCAAGGATTTTCAAAAAAGAAAGTAGCGCTTGCGTAATGCATTGTTTTGGAGAACGGTAATGGATACGTAAAATTTAGGAAATCCACAATTTTGAAAATTAGTAATACATTCATAACAGAAGTAAGTATGCTGAGCAATCTTTATTCATCTTTATTTTATTGTCTTGTGAAAAAGCCAGGAGAATACCTTAAGCCAACATAACAGTACATGTATGTTATCCATATAGTGCAAAAAACTGAACGTATGTACCTTCCAGCGAAAGAAACAACACTGAAAAGCAGTCATGTCGGACCAACAACAGTTTTTCTTAAAATGGAACGATTTTCAAAGCAACATGGTGTCATCCTTCCGGCATTTAAGGGATGAAAAGAGCTTCACTGATGTAACATTGGCATGTGAAGGACAGACATGTAAAGCACATAAAATGGTATTATCAGCATGTAGTCCTTACTTCAAGAGCCTATTGGAGGTAAGTTGCTTAAATGTTTATTGATCCTACCCTTTTTGAGCCCAATATGTGTTTATCCAGTAATTGTACCTTACTGAACTTACTTGCTTCCTAACTTAGCTAAGCAATTGATTATGAGGGACTGATAGATATAGGATTTTTGCTGAAAGACATTGGCTGTATTTTGCCTTAGTAAATCACCTAGGCTGCAAGCACATATCGTTGGACATCTGACAATACCTGCTGTCTGACATTGTTCCCCAATTTGAGGTATATGCACATTTTTCTTCGTCTACCTACAGTGCACATTGTGATAGAGTCCACTAACTACAGAAAAAGTTTTTGAATTATTCAGCCAAAACAATACCTACCACTGGCTACAAGCATGCTATTTTTCTTAACTTTGCAATGAAACATGACGTGATTTCTCTCAAATCTATTTGCTGATGACACACTTGTGTACTCAGCCTGCAAAAACCTGAATGAGGCTATCGATATTGTGAACTGTAACCTTGGAAATATTGATACTTATCTACAAATGAATAAATTGAAGTTGAACACTCAAAAATCAAAAGCAATGGTAATATCAAGCAGAAGTAAAAACAAGAATATAATAGAGGCTAATATCCAAATCAAAAATTGAAAAGACAGTTCTTGATATAGTTGATACAATGAAATACCTTGGATTTATGTTGGATAAAAACCTAAACTTTAACAGCCATAGTGACTATATTATTAAGAAAATTTCAAAGAAACTTTATTTTTTTTCATGAGTTTCTAAACAGCTTTCAATGTTTACAATACAATAATAAAACCTCATTTTCAGTACTGTTCATCTTTATTATATTTCTTAAGTAAGAACAAAATAAGCACCTTACAAAAACTTCCAAATAGGGAAATGCAGATAATTTTACAGTGCTCTAGGTACACAAGAATTCAATATATGCTGGATACTCTACAGTGGTTATCGGTGAATCAACATCTTTATTTAACAACAATGCTATTTATTTATAAAATTGTGAAGGGAACGTTACCTAATTATTTAGTTGCTCATCTACGCCCAAATAATGAGATCCATTCATATAACACTAGGACATGTACTCATTTCCATGTAGATAAAACAAATATGAAGAGTACAATGAAAACAATCATGTGCAAAGGTCTATGTGAATACAATAAGTTGCCCCAGCAAATAAAAAACGCCGACTCAGTCGGGTATTTCAAGAAAGCACTTATCAAACACATAAGATCTGACAGAATTTGTTAAAATTATTATATTTGAATATATATGTATGTACTTGTGAAATGCTGTAATGCTACCAGTTGTTGTTGTTGTTGAAATTAGATTTTTTTTTCTAAATAAAGGACTACTACATCAAAGTACATACTATGTTATAACCCCGATGGAAAAATTGAAGTGAAACTAGACTTCACTGTAGAGCCTCAGGAGTTGCCTATGAGACCAAAACAGCTACCCGTCATTTCGGATTATAAGTGTTATGTCTAACGACTGTCACATGTTTTATGACAATTTGCCATATGCCAAGGAAAGAAGCTGAACGTTCATTTAAGGTGTAACTGAGAATACATGCTATTATCTTTTTGATTTGTAAAAGCATTAAACTTTTAATTTGATATAATGAATAACGTTTTTCTAACACGAATCTCACTAAATCCATCTATGCATCATAGTAAAGGATTGTCCAATAGGGACGCAGGAAAGTAAACGTCAATTTGACATACACGCCATCTTTGTTTTCTGTCACCGACATGTCATTTTGTTAGTTGAATGTTTACCATTGATCGCTATGGAGTCGTACTGGATTGAAGACCGCATTAAAGTTATTCAAGAGCTCTACAAAAATGGTGCAAAAAAAAACACGTTTCGCGCGCTTCGTGAACATTTCGGTCGCAACAACCGCCCAAACGAAACAACCATCGGTCGTCTGGTGCGTAAATTCGAGGCAACATGTTCTGTGGCAAATCTGCCAGGCTCTGGCCGGCCAAGGAGCGTTCGCACACCGGAAAATATTGCTGTTGTGAAGGAGAGTTTGCTCCGCATTCTCCACAAGGATTTGAATGTACACGCCTACAAGATCCAATTGACGCAAGAGCTGCGTCGGTCCGACCATTTTTCGCGCCGAACGTTCTCAGATTGGCTCCTTGAACACCGCCAAATTGATGCCAATTTTTCATCAAAAATCATGCGACGAAGCGCATTTCACTTTGAATGGGACGGTAAACAAGCAAAACTGCCGCATCTGGGCGAACGAAAATCCCCGTCAGTATCAAGAGCAGCCGATGCATCCTCAAAAAGTGACTCTGTGGTGAGCATTGTGGTCAAAAGGCATCATCGAACCTTACTTTTTCGAAAATGCGGCCGGGGACGCCGTTACCGTCAATTCTGAGCGATATCACGTGATGATAGAGGACTATTTTTTGCCGCAACTTGAAGGAATCGATATGGACGATGTTTATTTCCAACAAGACGGTGCAACATGCCACACAACCAACGTCAATATCCATCGATTGCAGTCCTTCTTCGGTGATCGCGTGATTTCGCGCAGAGGTAATGTGCCATGGCCACCAAGATCGTGCGATTTGACTCCCTTGGACTTCTTTTTATGGGGATATCTGAAAAGCAAAGTCTACGTCAACAAACCAGCCACCCTCCAAGAACTCAAAAACAACATCATTGCCGAGATAAATGCCATAGAACCGACCATGTTGCAAAATGTCATTGAAAATTTCGACCATCGCGTGGACGTCTGTAAATCCAGTCGTGGTGAACATTTGAGCGATATTATTTTTCATACATAAATGGTATAAATGAACCTTCAAAATAAAGTACCCAACTTGATTTGAATATCAATCTTTCTTGTTTTAATATGCGTTTACTTTCCTGCGTCCATTTCGGACAATCCCATATAATATCTGCTAACTGCAAAGAAAGTTAGCAGAAATATCAGATATCTGCACTAAAAGTTTCCTTTGACGTCATTTTTCAAGCTATTGTCAACTGCCCAAAGTATTAGGTTGTCATCCATACTACAATTAACAAAAATCGTCTTTGTAGGAAAATCCATCCAAACACCCAATCATAATCCTCAAAGATGTGGCGTACAGCCATCTACAAGCAATCCTGGAATTTATGTATGCTGGCGAAGTGAACGTGAGCCAAGAACAGTTGCCTGCTTTTTTAAAGACAGCTGACAGACTTAAAGTGAAGGGCCTTGCAGAAGCCCCTCAAGCAATCAAGAGGGAATAAGTGCATTGTTGATTATGATTCTTAGATAGACCAACTTTCTTGCATTCACTGTATTCACAGAGCTTGAATGACTGAGATATCCAAAAAATCCTCATTGAAGATAAATTGGAAACAAGGATATCATTTTAAAATGTAATGATGAAAACAAAATTTATATTGGGACTACATCGTCTGTATTAATCAATGATACGTCTACAACTCATGTTTTGGTGTTGCAACTGATTTGCAATAAACGGTTTTTAGTTTATACAGGGTGCAGCACAAAATCGGTCATTTTTAGCGTTTGTCACAATTAAGTGCGGAAAATCACATCAGTCATGTGGTTACTGTTTTTGACGATGCATTGCTAGAGTCGTCGATGGAAGTTCGCGTAGACTCTCTACAACATCGTTCTCTCAACTTGGGCGACTTCGTCGCGCATTGCCTTCTTGCGCATTGCCTCCTTGAACTCGTCCAGAGTTCGGGGCCTGTGCTGGTCCAGGGTGTCTCCATAGGAAAAAATCGCAGATGGATAAATCTGGGGACCGAGGAGACTAATGTACATCACCAAACCACGGAAGAGTGGGCGAATAACGTTTATCGTTGCTCTGGCTGTGAGGGCACCCGAATAGGCGGATGGTGCTAGGTTGGTTCAAAAACATCCGTCCTTTGTAGTAGGCAGATACTATTCTGTAAAGTAAATGGCTCGATCATAATTTTGAGAGGTTTCTTGGTGTAAAAATCTTTGTGTTGATTGCTCTTGAGTATGGTGAATAATTGCAATTTTCTGCATATTACGATAAATCAATTTTAGTTGTAAATTTGATTGGGCAGCTTAAGGTGTTTGGAAGAGCTGATCTTTTCGTTTTGTACGATGCAGAAATTATTTGGTAGTGTTTTTCCAAATTAAGGTATTCGTTTTTTCATACAAAAGTGTGTTCATATTAACTGTTCAGACCAAGATACTCGTTGACATGATGAAAAGTGTATCTAAGACAAAATGCACATCTGCTGAAAAATGTCGAGTATGAGACCTATGCCAGTCTTGTTATTTTTTTACAATATTGCAATTCTATGGCTACAAAAAGGAAGTAGTTTTATTGTTCAATTTCAAATGAACAATAGGGGTAGTTTTCTTGAAGCGAAAACGAGGTTTGTACATTTAGTAATTGTGAGAGAAAACACGATTTTTGAGTTATTTGAAATTGGAATTTTTTCGAACTGAAAAGTATTATATTGAGATACAGAACATAGTGTTAAGTATGTACCGTAAATTTAACAGACGAGTCTTTGAGTCTAAGTCAAAAAGTTTCTAATTTCTTTGTTCTCAAGATACAGGGTGTTAGAATATAAAAAAATGGTTTTTCTTAAATTTCCTAGAATATCCTTCACCTAATTTTGTTGTAATTTGGCGGTGGTATTTATAACATTAAGGAGCTAATTTAGCCCTAACTTGATCAAATTCATTGAGTCCAGTGGCGTCGCGAACGGGAACTGAAAGTTATTTGAAATTGGAATTTTTTCGAAGAATATTTTCGAACTGAAAAGTATTATATTGAGATACGGAACATAGTTTTAAGTATGTACCGTAAATTTAACAGACGAATCTTTGTGTCTAAGCCAAAAAGTTTCTAAATTCTTTGTTCTCAAGATACAGGGTGTTAGAATATAAAAAAATGTTTTTTCTTAAATTTCCTAGAATATCCTTTTTGTTGTAATTTGGCGGTGGTATTTATAACATTAACTAACTAACTTGATCAAGTTCATTGAGTCCAGTGGCGTCGCGAACGGGAACAACGAATATTTGTGAGAAAAAAATGTACGCTACTGACTTTTTTTTTGGAATTTTCTCGAAAACTAAGCAAGATACGAAAAAAATTCAAGAGGCAAAAAAGTTGTATTTCTTTTTGCTCAATCCAAAGAATATAACGAAAATTGCACAAAAGTCAGTCTCGTACATTTTTTTGTCACAAATATTCGTTCAGATGCCGCTTGAGAACGAATAATTTTCGGACTCAAAAATCGTCTGCTAAATGTATGGTACATAATTAACGCCCTGTATAGGACATTTAAAAAAAATAATTTGTAATTCAAAAAAACTCAAGGTGCTGAACCGGCACTAAACATTTCAAACCAAAATTTGGACAACTTCCTAATTTTTTTTCATTTTCGATTTGTTCACTCGGAATGAAAGCTATATTACTATCTTTTGATATTATTTGTGCAATAATATCTTGATAAATATCCTGATTCGGATTTTTCGCATAATCCGCATGTTGCCGTGACCAGATTTGCGTCGAAAAGTTTTTTAAACAATTTCAGCGTCGGCCAAAGTGCTTTTATGTTTTTTCTGGAAGCTTCTGCACAAAAAGGAGCTTTAGAACTGTTCTCTAAATTGATAGTTTCCGAGATATGAGCGATAACAGTTTTTGAAAATCGTTTAGAAAATTGTTTCATCAATTTTTTACGCAAATGTGGCCGTTTTTGAATAAGATTATTCAAAAAATCCAAATCAGAACACGTTTCCCATCAGATGCGAAGAAATAGCCGGGACTAAGTGGGTTTGAAAGGGTGTTTAAAATTTTAGAAAATTTTGGGTTTATTTTTAACGCACAGTTTCATATAAACAATTGTTATATCTTCATATGCAGTTTGACGATTTTGTTTCTGATACACTTGAACATTCTTGTTATTAAAAAGGCGATCCATAACCACTACACCTTTTGTTTTATACATCTATAACCTATTTGTTTCAAAGTAATTTGGGTTTTCTGTAATGATCCTGAAGATGTCGCTGAAGGATAACGGTTATGTCATGCCGTGAGGTTATTGTTTTTTTACGTATACCATAAGTTGTCTCAATCAAAACGTAGTCGAGTGATCACTCTCTTTAACATGTAGATATGAATCTAGTAATGTATATCAGTAGAATATGTGGTCAGTTGAGTCACTCTGGCTGTCCATTGACAGATAAGCGCTCACAAAGCAGCAAATGATCACCAATATATATGGAGCTATCGACGCGCGAACATTTATTTGACGTTTCTCTGCTTTTTTGTTATTTCAGCCCATAGTGGAAATATGGTATAGGTTGTGTATATATGCAACCAGGATGTCTTCTGTGGTTGCATATTTGCTAACAACATTTTGTAGCTAGAGTATATCTATACTAGGTTCCACTTTTTTCTATTCAGTTCTCATTTAGTGTAGCTTCTGGTTTACATATTCTGTGATAACATTGATCTGTCGAGTATTACTGATGGAACAAAATTCTTTGCGGTGTGTTGCAAATGAAAGGTGTAATTGGTTATGGATTGTCGATAGTTTGTTTTACAGATACACAATCTAAATATTTTTTTAACAGTTGGTAATTTTTGCAAGTGAATAGGGATCATCCAGAATTTCAACGTATACATTCAATCTAATTTGATTTAGAAGATGCCTTAACGAAGTTTTGGAAAATCCTTGAATATACATGGACTGTAAAGATATATTTCTACATAGTAATTTTTCTACTCAAGTAATTTTATGGAATACTGTTTTGCAATTTTTATCAGTACTTTTTTTATGATTTAAGATGATTATTATTATTGTATAAGGAGATAGATATTTTATATTTTTATAGCATTTTCATTTTTTACCATGTTGTTACCAATATTTTCATCCACAGTTGGTTTACTTTCTTACAGGTTTATTATTTTTCAATTCAATATAAGATTAGTTATAAAAACGAAACGTGTGTTTTGAATTTTTTTAATAATGTGGATCATGAGAGTTATAAATATATTACATAAAAATACACTTTTGGTTTCGCTCTTTTACCTTGGAACATTCCTCACTCAATTATTGGGTAATAAAAAAATTGGTGCCTTATCCCTTCTTGGTAGTCTTGCCTGCACAATTTTACGAGAACCAAGTCGCCTCTAAAGTACCAGGGGACTTAACGAGGTACTAAAAATAACGTGAACGCATAAAATATGTGTGACCTTGTCCATGACCTTCCAAATCAAATCAAAATTCACAAAGGAAGCTTCTCATTTTTGTGCTGCAAATAAAAGAAACATGAATTTTTACGTTCAAATGTGACCTTGACCTTAAATATTCAACGGCCTTGAGTACAGTCGGACCCAAATTTTCCTGCTTTTTCTATTTCCATTATAAACAAAAAAGTTGTCCTTTGGAAATGTTGACTTGACCTTGAAGGTCATTTTTGGGGCATCCGCACAACTGCCGTATGGAGCATTTTAGATGGAGCTAATTGATTCCGTCCGTCTCTTGTTTTGACCTTGAGGGCAATGGTGAAGGTCATGACCTTGGAAGGTCACCACCAACTTGAAACTTTTCTTCTAGAATTCGCACTGTTCGAAATATTTAGTTGGGAAGATTAAAATGGAACAAAGTACAAGTTTTCTTATGCCATTTAATTGAAACACTTTTATATTGCTTCTTCATTTATTGTTTACATACAACTGTTACATATACAGGACAGCGGGTATTTACATTCATTTAAAGTATACAGTACTTAAAATGATTGTCAACAGTAGAAATTTTAGATAAAATATATGTATTTGATTAATAAACAATGTCAGGTCTGCATCAACTATCTAAAGATACATAGAAAATACTTCAAATAAGGAAAATATGTAATATTTACACAAACTTTACATAGTTTCCCACTTTTGTCAGAATACACAGGTATTTACAGAGATTGATTGACAAAGGACCTTATCATAACATCTAAGAAGAAATTGACGCAAAGCAACGCATGCGCTGTTCAAAAATCACTGATGATTCTCTATCTATAGAGTCGCAATCCCAGGTGGTAATCATAACGTCATGTAACATCTGAAACTTATTATCTAGAGGTTGTTTCGTTCATTAATCTGCATTTTCTGCTGTCAAATCAGTCGACAAATCTATAGTTCACTGACTGTTCGGTCACCGCGCTGGACTTATTTCAAAACATTATCTGTCCTCCAGGTGACATTCATTTATTTTTGTCGCTACCACACGTCGCGTTCTGATAACAGGCCGAACGGCCCGGTAAAACTGCCACAGTTTTTAAAGTAAATTAGCCAAATTGCTCCCATTAACCTTGCCAAAACCTCAAACTTTTGTAATACTCTACTTGACTGAGGTCTATAATTCACTCGAACAAATTAGCATTTCTTACAGTATTTGGCTTAGCAAAAACGAAATACATCGATTTCAATTTTTGAAAGCGCTATATGGAAATATATAGGTCCAATAAAAAAACAGTATCTTTAATTTTTGATATGAAACGGCAAAAATCGTTACCCCCATGGTGTAACCTTGGTTATTTTTTAATGGTGGATTAATTTCTTGGGAAACATACCAGGAAGCTGTAAAAAATGGAATATGTGCCAAGACTTTGCATATTGCTGCTTTCATTGACAAGTTGTAAGTCTTGCGTTTAGAACGAGTAATATGTTAGGTGTTTCAGATATCGCTTAGTTATTTTTTATTCACAGTCTATATTGCTACAGAATGAGACGTTCATCCTGATTTTATACTTGAGCGTTATAAAATTATAAGTATCAATTAATGATAAATGGAATAAAAAACACGCTTTAATAGCAAATCAAACTAAAGACAAAAAAATTATTTTCAAAAAATTCAATCATTGTAAAAAAGCGTGTGGAGCTTGTTACTAAATTTTAGAATAATTTCTTTAGTTACTATTTACAAAACTGGAGTTGTTACGAAAATGTGTACCTAATTGCATTTTTGCTAAACTTGATTTTTTTCAGCTCGATTGCTGCTGAATCTGTTTTTTAGTTTTTCCAAACAATAATTTTTTTCTGAATGTTCAGTCTCGAAACGTCACCAAACGTACTTATAGTTATTTTCAATTTTTTTTCCAAATTAGGAATTCACAATTCCTAAATTTTGTTTCAATTTTCAAATTCGAATTTCTTTCCATATTTTAACATTTCCAATTTTTTTTCTAAATTACAGAGTTTTTCCAAATTTAGAAATTACCATTTTTTCAAAACTCTCAAATTTTTTAATTATTTTCCAAATTTCCAATTATCTTACAAATTTTCAAATCCGTTTTTTCCAGATTCCAAGATTAAACTTTTTTAGAAATTTTCAAACGTTTTATTACGCGTATCTAAATCAATTAACAAAAATTGTACAATGCAAAAATCAATTTTTTTCTCAAAATTCCCAAATTCTTCCCATTTTTAATTAAAATGTTTTCAACTTCTGAAAATTATTATTATATATTTATTTAAAATTTTCTAATTATTTTCCAAATATCTGAATTTTTCAATTGTTTTTCAAAATTTCAAATCCAAATTACAAAATTAATTTTCTTTAAAAATGCCAATTTTTTTGCAATTATTGAATTCAAATTTCGCTTCAAATTTTAAAATATCCGAAAAAAATTTCAAATTTCGAAATTTTCAATTTGTTTCAAAATTGTCAAATTTTCAAATTATTTTCCAAATTCTCAAAATATTTTCAAATCCGAATTATTTCAAAATTCAAAAGTGTCAAATTCTTCATTACGCATATCTAAATAAATTGAATACAAAAATTGTAAAATATATACCCGTTTAACAGTCAGCAAGAGAAATGGTCAGACGCAGTAACAAAATGTTTGTCATTTCCTTCCATCTGCCGGTCTTGCATGAAAATCAATCTATTGGATATTTCATGCAAGTTTGCTTGCAATTCTGGTGGACTATCTAGTTATAGTCCTTTCACTGAAACAACGCAGTTACGTCATACTTCGTTGAATGTAAGCCTTAATGCAAAATAGACCCTAAATTGGTACGTACAGTTTGAATTGCCCGGGTACATTTATGTTGGTAACAGTTTTCTGTATTGTGACATTGTCGCAAAGCTTGAGAGGTAATTACGCCAACGACTGTTGTTTATTTGTAGTTTATTTCCTAGGATCTAGTAGTTTTAAGTAATGTGGCAACCATGTGCGTCACTGTCATTATTTGACGTTGTGACGTACTGCTTTTACCAATCCTTTAGTGTTGCCAGGTCTGGTGAAATTTCACCAGATCTGGTGATTTTATCAATAATCTGGAGATTGGTGAAACACTTTTTGAAAAATGGCAATTTCTGGTGATTTCTAATATTCCGTCGATTTTGAATATTCTTAACAGTCTTTCAGCTACCAAAAACTCGCGACTTCCGTTACGTATTGATCTACTCAGGCCGTCACTACATTCTGCGATATCTTTCAAGTGATTCCCCTAAACTGTTGTGGGATTCACCGCAG